TGTCTTTATCAAGTGATTTTAATTCTCATTAATAGCATGTTATCACTTAGAAAAACTCCATTCTGGTGCCTCCCTGGTGGTGCAGGTGGTTGAGCACAGTGCTGTAAAGCTGTCCTCAGCCTCTGCAGTGCGGGTTCAATCCCTGCCTGCTGGGGAGATACCCACATGGTGTGGCGGACCTCTCCTGTCTTACCCGCTGCTCCCCTCAGCAGTGTATTTTGTCAGTCTGCCTGTTCTGTTCCCTGGTCTGTCTCTGGTGAATCCTCTCACCCTCCTGCACATCTGGCCTGTACCCCGGCTCTTGTATGCATGAATAAATCAATCTTAAAGGAAAAAAAAAAAAAAGAAAAACTCCATTCTGTTATTTTATGAAAAAAAAAAAAAAAAAAAAAAAAAAAAAAAAATGAGGGGCCTCCCTGATGGCACAAGTGGTTAAGCACAGTATTGTGAAGCTATCTGTAGCCACTGCAGCTAGAGTTCGATCCCCAGCCAGTCAGGGAGCTACCAACATGGCAGAGCAGACCTCTCTTGTCTCACCCACTGCTCCCCTCAACAGTGTATTTCAGTGGATCCGCCTGTTCTGTTCCCCATTCTGTCTCTGGTGAATCCTCTCATCCCCCCCACATTTCTGGCCTGTACCCCAATTCTTGTATGCATAAATAAATCTATTTTTTTCACAAATAAATCTTTAAAAAAAATGAACTGTTTATTGGGAATATGAAACACCTGAAGACAAAGTTTATAAAGTTTACAGATAAGAATTTTAAGTAATTTTCTTCAGCTAAGGTATGAATTTTTATCAAATCACATAAGGAATATTTAACTCAATTATTTAACCCTTATTTCATCTTATAAAATGTTGTAACTTCTTCTTGTTTTTTTAAAGATTTATTTATTTATTTATACAAGCAGTGGGTACAGTCAGATGCGCGGGAGGGTGAGAGAATCCACCAGAGCCAGAGCGGGGAACAGAGCAGGCAGACTGACGAGATACACTGCTGAGGGGAGCAGCGGGCGGCAGGCGAGGTCTGCGCACGATATGGGACCCTCGCCCGGCGGCCGGGGATCGAACCAGCACTGCAGAGGCTGCGGGAAGCTTTGCAACCCAGCACTCGGCCACTGCGCCACCAGGGAGGCCCTGTGACTTCTTTGTTAACAAAAATTATAAGGTGTACTCCCATGTTAGTCATACATTTTTCTACTTTCTCCAATTAAATACTGGAGTCATCATGGGATTTTTATAAGTTAATGGATTTATTTCTGACTTTTTACACAATTTCTAATTGTTCCTAAGTTAAATAACAATTTGATTTACATGTGCACATACAATTTACGAAAACAACTTTCTACAGAGCATAATAATAATTTTAATTTTAATTACAGACCACATTGCTTTACTAGAAATTCTGTAATAAATATAGCATTTACTATGTTGTTTTAACAATGTCTTATTAAAATGTATAAAATTATATTTCTTACACATTATCTTAATACTGACTTATGTTGGAAATCTACCTTGTAAGATGTGTTCTGTAATTATTTCTCAATGCTTTGTAATACATTTTCCTAAATGTGCAGATTAACACATTTTCTTGTATTGGAAAAGAGAAGTTAAGAAGAATGAGTTGGCTGATGGATTCAATAATAAAAAATTGCCTTTGTCAATTAAGTTATATGCTAAGGGTTTTTTCTTAAACTTAATGAACTAATCTGCATCTTTAAGCTTTTTTGATGGAGGTACATCTTAAGTACTAAAAGCAATATACTGAAAGATATCACAGGAAAAGGTCTGTAAAAAATACTTTCTTTTTCGGGGGAGGGAGAGGGAGTGGCGGGGAAAGGAAGGACTAGAGTCAAACAAAGGCGGGGTGCAATTGTATGGGGAATATAACCAAAATGAAAATGCATACCTTGTGTAAAGATGAAAAAAGATGTAAGAATTATATAAAATAAAATATTTAAATAATAAAAAAAATTTTCTTTTTAAAGATTGATTTATGCATACAAGACCTGGGGTACAGGCCAAAGGCGCAGGAGGGTGAGAGAATTCACCAAAGACAGAGCAGGGAGCAGAACAGGCAGAAGGACTAATACACTGCTGAAGGGAGCAGCAAGAGAGACAGGAGAGGTCTGCCACACCATATGGGTTTCTCCCTGGCTGGTTGGCAATCAAACCTGTGCTGCGAACAGCTTCACAGCGTGGCGCTCGACTAGCTGCATCACAGGGGAGGCCCCTGTTAAAAATATTATTTTCTCAATCTCTTTTGAGACTTGATTAAATAAAGTGCCTCTAAGTGAAAGAGCAAGATACAAATTATTAGGCATTTTACACTCACTGGTCAGTTTGTTATGGTGTCTTTCCCACACACTGAGACAGTGACCACCTTCAATGCCCCAGTAGCAGAACCTAAGTAAGTCAGTGCTGTTTTAAACTTTGGCTTAAAAAAATAAAAAAAGCTGATAAACCATCAAATATAATTTAATGATAGTTCAGTCTGATTTTCTGACATATTACTCAAAAGAGTTGGAAAGAATTGAGGGTCATTATTAAAATTCTTTCCACTTTCAACTACTTATCTATATAAACAAACTTTTTCAGGTCTTCTATCTACATATGAATGCAAGCTAGAATATATCCAGGACTGAATCCTTTCATTCTAAAAAGCTAAGAAATGTAAAATATTTAAAATTTTTCTCTTGGAAAGCTATATAGTTGCGTGATCAAAAAAAAAGTATAACGTAATGTTAAGATAAAAACCACATGGGGGCCTCCCTGGTGGTGCAAGGGGTTAAGTCGCAGCATCATGAAAGTATCCATAGCCACTGCAGCACAGCGCGAGTTTGATCTCTGGCCAGGCAGGGAGCTACCCACATGGTGTAGCAGACCTCTCCTGTCTCACCTACTGCCCCCCCGAGCAGTGTATTTCAGTCAATCCACCTGTTCTGTTCGCAACTCTTTCTCTGGTGAATCCTCTCACCCACCCCTACCCACAGGCACCTCTGGCCTATACCCCAGCTCTTATATACATAAATAAATAAATCTTGGGGCCTCCCTGGTGACACAAGGGGTTAAGACACAACCTATGAAGCTGTCTGCAGCCACTACAGTACCAGTTTGATACCCCAGCCGGCCAGGGAACAACCCACATGGCGCAGCAGACCTCTCCTGACTCGCCCGCTGCTCCCCTCAGCAGTGTACTTCAGTCAATCTGCCTGTTCTGTTCCCCACTCTGTCTCTAGTGAATCCTCTCACCCCCCCACCCCACACCTGTGGCCTGTACCCCAGCTCTTGTATGCATAAATAAATAAATAAATATTAAACCCCCCCTCAAAAAAAAGAAACTGTTTAAAAAAAAAAAAAAACACATGGGAAAAATGGAATGTCAATCATGATCATAATAGTAATTAACTATTACTGCATTTGTATTGTGTAAAACTATATAACAACTACAGTACACATTTTCCCCCTCAATTGGACCATATAGAAATATAATGTGTCAGGAATTGTTATTCTTGCTTTACAGGTAAGTTCTTAAAACTCAGGAAGGTGAAATAATTTGCTTTGTACAGGACCACTCTTGACTTCCATTTGCCCATGAAGGAGTGACATCTCCCACAAGAAAATACAACTCTGGAGATTTTTTTTTTTTTCTAGAACTGGGGTACAGGCCAGAGGTGTGGGGGTTGAGAGGATTCACCAGAGACAGAGTGTGGAGCAGAACAGGTGGATTGACTGAAATACACTTCTGAGGGGAGCAGCGGGCAAGGCAGGAAAGGTCTTCTGTGCCACGTGGGTAGCTCTGGGGCTAGGAATGGAACTCGTGTTGCAGCGGCTGTGGACAGCTTCAAAGGTTGCATCTTAACCTCTTGCACCACCAGAGACAGATTGCGGAGCAGAACAGGTGGATTGACTGAAATACACTTAGCAGGCGAGGCAGGAAAGGTCTTCTGTGCCATGTGGGTAGCTCTGGGGCTAGGAATGGAACTCGTGTTGTAGCAGCTGCGGACAGCTTCAAAGGTTGCATCTTAACCTCTTGCACTACCAGAGAAGCCCCCTGGAGATTATTTATTTATTTGTTTGTTTTTAGATTTAGTTATACAAGCACTGAGGTATAGGCCAGAGACGCAGGAGGGTGAGAGAATTCACCAGAGACAGAGCAGGGAGCAGAATAGGCAGAAGGACCGAAGTACACTGCTGAGGGGAGCAGTGGGCAAATCAGGAGAGGTTTGCTGCGCCATGTGGGACTCTCCCTGGCCGGCTGGAAATCGAACTGGCACTGCAGCGGCTGCGGACAGCTTCACAGCGCTGCGCTCAACCTGCTGCACCACCAGGGAGGCCCTGGAGATTTTTTTTAAAACTTAAAATTTTCATAGCATGCCTATGCAATATGTATAATTCCAAATACAAGAGCCATAGCAAATACATAATGTTTTTTTCTTTCCACTTCACTTTATAAAGTTAGCAATTGTCTAATAAAAACATAGTATTAGAAACTAAAATTTTAAGGGCTATAATATACACAATAACATGGATCTGTCATTTTCTTAAAGTTAAACTTCTTTCCCTCATAATACTTAGGTCCCTTCTTGTTTAATGGTTATAACATTGTGAGTTTGGGTGTGGGTTTAGTGGGCAAAACCTGTGTGAGACAGAAATGTGTGCCATAATGACACCATGGCCTAACACGGTTTTCACCACTACTGAGCTCTATCCTGCCCTAAGCCTAGGACAACAGTGCTTACATTCCAGAGGATGAATTGAGACTACATATGCAAATGGGTAGTACAAAACCTGGCAAAGTGAGCTCAATCAAGAATAACTGAGAATGCATTAAAATATCATTGTATATAAATCTCTGACCATATTACCAAATAATTCTTTTGTATACATAACTAGAAGTATAGAAGTATATAATGAATGGTTCGGAACATATAACGCATTCAAAAGTTCATAGTTATCCAAAACAATGAACCTGGTTTGTATCAGAGAAGGAACTCACCTTTTTGGTCGAGGAAGGCCCATGGGGGTAAGATTAGGGTCTGGTTTAGGAATGGTTTTCCGGATGCGAATCTGTGAGACTTTCTTTGGCCTCTTCTCTGGCTCAACCTATTTTTTAAGGTTTAAAAAGAAAGATGGTCAAGTTGCAAGACATTTGAAATACATAAAAGTCCCTTTCCTTGACATTCAAGATAATGCTTCCTCAGGTTATAGATAACTCTAGTAGAAGTATATGACAAAGTTTCTACTTCTAGTCCTGCTGATAGTATTTTTAGCAACTACCCACCCCCCCATTTTGTCACAACAGAATTGTGCATTCAGTTCATGTTTGAGATTATAAAAATGAAAGCGTGCAACTGTTGAAGACAACAGAGAACATAAAATTAAGAGAAACCGTCAGTCACTCATCATCTTTGAATACCTGAAGTAGTTTTTTGATCTAATATACACTGGTAAATGGTGTCATCAAGAAAAAAATGGATCTGGAAAACAACAGAGACTAAGAAATCCAGGGTATCCTTCAGTGGTCAAGTTGAAAATCCATCCTGGTTATCTCTAGTACTCAGCCGAAGTTAAAGGTGTTAAGTAGAGGAATTCAGAGGTGTCACTGTACCTACTGTATGATCTGTAGTCAGTGATGGACACCGCCAGTACCACTGTCACCTGGCCCCACCAGCATTTTACATTTACCTCTTTCTGCTTTGGAGGGCTGCTCTGTGTTCGGGGACATGCTGCTGTCACGCCATCGAGCTCATCAAATTCAGGAACCTGGAACTCAGAGGCTGAAAGCAGGAGCTTGCTGACAGCTGAATCTGTTACCAAGCAAGACTTTGGTACCAAGGCAGGAAATGGAGGCTCTAGCCTAGCACCATGGAGACAAATCCAAAGAAGTAAAATGTGAGATGAGTTCACTTTCTACCTTAACATCCAGACAGGCCTCAAGACTTTTTCTTTCAAGAAATAACATTTTCCAGGACCTCCCCTGGAGGCGCAGCAGTTGAGCGCTGGGCTGTGAAGCTGCCAGCAGCCTCTGTAGCACCGGTTCGATCCCTGGCTGCCGGCGAGGGTCCCATATGGCACGCAGACCTCTTCTGCTGTGCCCGCTGCTCCCCTCAGCAGTGTATTTCGTCACTCTGTCTGTTCTGATCCCTGCTCTGGTTCTGGTGGATTCTCTCACCCTCCCACATTTCTGACTGTACCCAGTGCTTGTATTAAAAAAAGAAATAACATTTCCAGTCAACCTGTTTTGTCACTTCTGGACGTAATCTATGCCTGCCACATGTAAAAAATTATTAGAATGTGATCAATCCATTTCATTAGTATGAAGGAAAAAGGAAGACTTTTTGGAAGGAGATAAAACATACTGAACTAAACAAATGAATTATGCTCAGATGAGATCAGTGATGTCCAGGAACTAGAGTTGACTGAATGACCAAGACAAAAATAAGTGGAGACATGAGGCACAATGAGCCAGCTGGGGATTTTAACTTTTCCCTACAATATGGTTTTGATTATACACCCTTAGTTTCCACATGTAATACAGCCCATTTTAATCTCAGATCAGGTTCAGAAGATGCAGAAGTTGGAATCATGCCATGCCTGACCTCCCCCCCACCCCACACACACACACTATGCGAGTCCTAATGTGCCAGGTGCCACTGCAGGCTTACCTCATCTGACTATCAGTGTTGTAAGTAGCTTCCACGCCTGGAAGAGGCACATATGGTAACATGATGTGGCTGAAGTGAAGCAAAAGTAGAAGAGCAATAGGTTAGGGTAGTGGAACAACAGGAAAGGGTATGATGCCACTGTGGATATTAGAACCTGACCCAGGCCTAGAAGACAAGAAATGTCAGTCACTTGGAAAAGAAGAAAACCTCCCAGCTGTGAAATTTGTATTTATGTGTCCATCACTGGAAGGAAGGCAGGAAGACAAGGTTATTTTTCTGACTTAAATGAAAAGATAAAGAAATGAAGACAGTTAAGAGAAAGGAAAGGAGCAAAAATGATTTAGGTCTGATATTGCTAATTATTAAGTTATGAACATGCATATTAAAGATTTCTAAAACAGTAATCTAACAATAAAAGTATCTTTATCCATTTTTCTATAATCTTATGAAAAATTATGAAGAAATCTTATTTAATTTAAAACAACTTCCACATAAAACCCGGCTATTTAGATAAAAACTGTTGACAGGATTGGGGGCCTCCCTGGTGGCCTAGTTTAAGTCTCAGCATTATCACGCTATCACTGCCAAAGCCTGAGTTTGATCCCTGGCCAGGGAGCTAACTCACATATGGCGCAGCAGACCTCTCCTGTCTTGCCTGCTGCTCCCTTAGCAGTGCATTTCAGTAGATCCATCTGTTCTGGTCCCCCCCCCCTCAATACCACCACCCCCCCTGCACCTCTGGCCTATACCCCAGTTCTTGTATGCATAAATAAATAAAATCTTAAAAAATTAATTTAAAAAATTGTTGACAGATTGGTTCCTTTATAATCAAACTTTTATTTTTTAAAATTTTTTAAACTTTTTTTTTTTTTAAAGATTTATTTATTTATACAAGCACTGGGTACAGTCAGAAGCGCGGGAGGGTGAGAGAATTCACCGAGCCAGAGCGGGGAGCAGAGCAGGCAGAGGACCGAAGTACACTGCTGAGGGGAGCAGCGGGCGGCAGGAGAGATCTGCACGCCATGTGGGACCCTCGCCCGGTGGCCGGGGAGCAGCCGGGGATTGAACCGGCGCTGCAGAGGCTGCGGGCAGCTTCGCAACCCAGCGCTCAACCACTGCGCCACCGGGGAGGCCCCAAACTTTTATTTTTATAGGTGAAACAATAGTATTAATCATTTACAGATACATTAATATGTGATGTTTGAGGGCTTTTTGTGCCTCTGAAAGTAAAACCTGTATCCATTTCTACTGAATTTAGAATACAGTTCAGTTTTAATTAATGGGAATTTTATATGGTGACCACACACACTAAATTCATCTCTCAGAGATAAATTTGTTTAATGGTTAGGGGAACACAGAGAATTTAGATTTTTAGAGTATTCAGCACCAACTCAAGATTCTCTAAGAAATACCAATAAAAGGACAGAAAGGCAGGGTAGAATACTGGAAAAAGAGCTGGCTATTTTAGAAAAATGAGACCTGAGTTCTAGGCCTAGGTCAGTTGAAACAATAATCAGCTAAGTGAGCTAGGTTAAAAAACGTTTCAGGTTTATAATCTACAAAATTGGCAAAAAGGATGTTTGTTCAACCCATATTATAATCATGCATCACTTAATGACTTTGGGGTCAAGAATGGAGGACACGGGGCCTCCCTGGTGGCGCAGGGGGTTGGCGTCGTGCTGTGAAGCTGTCTGTAGCCTCTGCAGTGCGGGTTTGATCCCAGCCAGCAGGGGAGATACCCACATGGCATAGGAGACCTCTCCTGTCTCGCCCGCTGCTCCCCTCAGCAGTGTTTTCCGTCTGCCTGTTTTGCTTCCCCCTGTCTCTGGTGAATCCTCTCACCCTCCTGTACCTCTGGTCTGTGCCCCAGTTCTTGTATGCATAAAAATAAATGAATCTTTAAAAAAAAAAAAAAAGAACAGATGGCATGTACCACCATGTTCCCAAAGGGCTATGCTACACAGCCTTGGTGTGCAGCAGCCTGTGCTATCAAGGTTTGTGTAATTACAACTCTACGATGTTCAAGTGCCAACAAAATCACCTAGTGATACATTTCTCAGAACATATCCTCCTGAACTGACACATGACTGCATAGAGTGCTGAAGTTCAAGAGAATAGTTTGAAGTCAGAAATTAATTAAACCTGCTAGTCCTATTTTCTAGTGTTACCCAATTTATCAGGTCTAACATTTCAAAGTATGTTTAGAAAACCAGCAAACTACCAAAATCTAAGCCAAGGATGTACGAAACAAGGAACCGCTATAGACAATGAGAAGATTATATTCCTATAAATACCACCCTTGCCTTCTAATTGGAAAAAAAATTAATCATATAAAACATAAATACAAAAATGAAATGTATTAATTTACATAAAATATACTTTAATATAACTATAATAAAAAATAAATATTAAAATAATGGGCCTTTCTGGTGCCCAAGGGGTTAATTCTCAGCGCCATCACTGAGATGGCCTGAGTTTGATCCCTGGCCTGGGAGCTGACCCACACTGGCACAGCAGTCCTCTCCTATCTCACCCACTGCTCCTCTTAGCAGCGAATTTCAGTCAATTCACCTGCTCTGCTCTCCACTCCTCTTACCATCTGCATCTCTGGCCTACACCTCAGTTCTTCTATGCAAAAATAAATACAATTAACTTTAAAAAACTACAAAACCTCATTTTTTATTTTATAAACATAAAATATAATATAAACTAACATAACAAAATAAATTATATATTACCACAAAATATAAACATGAAATACATAAATATTTTAATTACATTTAAAAAAACAACTAGTCATAGGAAGCAAGGGAGAGAGAAAATATTACACACCAGGAAACAAAAAGTAGGTGGAAGAGTTCTAGAAGAATAAAAAGGGCCATAGGGTCACACACTGCACTTTCAGAGGCTGAAACAACTAATGGCACGCTACACTAACCTCAGGAATGAGCATAGTTTAAAGAAGGTAACACAATGTTAAGCTTTGGGTAACAGAAGACCAGAGAGCAATTATAAGACTACAGAAGCACACCAAGAAACCAGATGATAAAGTACCTAGCATTTAAAATGATCTGATTCACCTAATATATTTTTATGGCTGCATTTTAAGAAGTGAATCTTTTTCTATTAACTATCAGACAAGTACTTACGAGAGTAATTCATCTTTCAATTTCAATCAGTTATGTTCTGGTACTATGGTGTTTTTCTCAAACTCTTTAGTTTTCCGTTAAGATGCTGGGGGAACTTCATAAAATACACTAACCACTTTTTTTTTTTAATTTGTTTTATTTATTTATACAAGCACTGGGTACAGTCAGAAGCGCAGGAGGGTGAGAGAATTCACCAGAGCCAGAGTGGGGAACAGAACAGACAGATGGACAAAATACACTGCTGAGGGGAGCAGCGGGCATGGCAGGAGAGGTCTGCGCGCCATGTGGTACCCTCGCTGGTGGCCAGGGATCGAACCGGCGCTACAGAGGCTGCGGGCAGCTTCACAGCCCAGTGCTCAACGCTGCGCCACTGGGGAGGCCCCACTAACCACTTTTTAATGACACAGAATGATTCTACAAAAGAGTGCCCAATAGTATAAAAAGTACAAGCCCTCTCCAGGCTAAATTGGAATTTTTTTTTTTTGTTATTTTTTTTTTATTTTTTTATAGAGGCATGTTTTATTTATTTATTTGTTTGTTTGTTCTGTTTACACATGCACTGGGTACAGTCAGAGGCGCACCATGTGGGACCCTCCTCCGGTGGCCGGGGAGCAGCCGGGGATTGAACCGGCGCCGCAGAGGCCGCGGGCAGCTTCGCAACCCAGCGCTCAACCGCTGCGCCACCGGGGAGGCCCTAAATTGGAATTTTAAGGCTTTTTTGCTGGTGTTGAAATTTTAAACTTTTTGAAATGACAAGGACAGATTTTTACAATTTTAAAGTCACTACTTATCCAAAGGATTACAAATGCGAGTTTATGTATTATGTTTAAAGCAGATTCTTAGGGATGTTAATTCTCAAATTATTTTTCTTATTGTGTTACAAAGTAAAATGATATTTGTGAAATTATTTTCAACTCTTCTTAGTAGTTCAACGATAGAAACTCCCAGTTCGCTTTAAAATTCTATAAATTCTGGGCCTCCATGGTGGCACAGGTGGTTGAGCGCAGCACTGTGAAGCTGTCCACAGCCTCTACAGTGCCGGTTTGATGCCCGCCGGCCTTGGAGCAACCCACATGGCGAGCAGATCTCTCCTGTATCGCCCACTGCCCCCATCAGCAGTGTGCTTCGGGTTGGTATGCCTGCACTGTTCCCTTCTCTGTCTCTGGTAAATCCTCTCACTCTCCCACGCATCTGGCCTGTACCCTGGTTCTTGTATAAATAAATCTTAAAAAAAAAAAAAAAATTCTATAAATTCTACAACTACAGCACATAAGTACAAATTTTTAAAATCTCTCAGCTCTAGAGAGAAATGTAGTGGGGCATATAAACAAATTATAGTTGGTGATACCTTCATGATTTATTTATACAAAGTGTACTTCTGTATCTTTCACACACTAACCATTAAGTATGTAAGTATGATACTTTGTAAACAAGATACAGCTACAAGCCATTATTTGTCTCTAATTATAGTCTTATAATGGTGCTTGTTTTTTGCAAATGGGGGCTGAGGTAGAGAAGAAAAGATTCAAAAGATTTGATGATTTGCAGAGTGAAAGTGAAAAAGAATGGTACAAAACAGTAAATTTTTCAGAGAACTGGATCTATACATAAAAATTGCTGTTGCATTTTCTAGCAGAGATGTGGCAAAGTAGACAGAAAATGCAGAAACAGACTGAATAGCCTAGCATTTTCAGTAGTGCTCCTTTTCTCTCCCCAGTGGCAAGAAGCAACATGGAACATTCGCAAAGAATCAAGGGCTGGATTTTACCTGCTTGTGGTGCCCAGAGTTGGCTTCTGCTTGCTGTGAGCGGAATGAAGCGCAGAGATTTCGATGGGGTAGGCAGAAGGCCCATGCTGGCTCCAAATGGACAGTACTCGGCCCACCGAATAGGGCAGAGAGCAGAAGACCTTGTCTGCAATAGAGGCTGGAGACCTTAACCCTTTCAAGCCCTGTGTAAACTGGGTCATGAAGAGCCTCTGCATGGTAGGCTTGTGGCTAGAGAAGCTCCGTTTTTTTGTCCAGATTCTGTAGCATCCAGGAGAACAAAGTGCTAGAAGTGTGTGAAGGCCAAGGACAGAACAGCCTGCTCTGGTCTGGACTATGGTGGTGCCTCCATAGTCTTGAAGAGGCAGTGGAGGTTCTGGTGGAGCCTCGGCACATGCCTGACTATGAAGGCCAGTGTCTTCCCTGAATGTGGCTGTCCCAGGGCAAACGTGGGACAAGAAGAAAGAGAAAGCCCACTTGGGAGGCTGAGATGGGCACAGGGGGGCCTCTCTTAAGGCGAGCCTTGCTGGAGCACAGTGCTCAGGAAAAGTCCTTGTGGACTCAGGCATGCACTCAGAGCCTGATTTCACATGAAAGGATACTGGGAAGATTTCAGAACCAAACAGGAATGATGGCATCTTGTTGCTCAAATCTATGAAGCTCATTTTGATGGTGTCGAGTGAATAAAGTGTCCAGGGCTTACTATTAGGATGCTTATCCCATCCACTAGCTGCCAAATATGGGTTCAGCTGCATCGTATTGTAAGAAAATCCATCTAGGAGCCTTTTATATCTGAGCCGCTTGTAGCTTTTAGCCACTGGAAGAAGTTCAGAGGAACACCGCCGGTATCTAAGTTTCTGGGTCTTTGTGCCTGGGGCCAGTTTGGAGGCAAGAATGGAGAGCTTGTTTAGTAAGGCTGATTCTTTGGTAAGCTTCCTGACATTCAGGCTCCTCAAGGGATGGCATGGAGCAGACTTCTGCTTTGGTATGTGGCTAATTAAGCTCCTGCTAGGTACTGTTTCGGGTTCCAGTCGTGTAGGTGCAGACACAGAATGTGAACTGAGAAATCTGTGTGCTTTTGTGGGGATGGTTTCAGAGGAACTCTTTAAAAAGGCAGAACTTCTTATTTTACTTATTTTTCTCCCCACTCTGACTTGCTCCTGACAGGAAACTTTCTTACAGGTTCGATGGGGCTGCTTCTTTAAGGGAAGCACTCCTTTCCGATGTGAAGTGTTCCCAAAGGCACCGTGTATCGTATCACATGCAGCAGAGCTAGGGTCTTGTGCTTTCTGGGAGGCACCATGAAGGCAAGGACCTGGGCACAACTTACTGTCCTTTTTAAATGGATGACCTACGGTTTCCTCCTTTGGGTCTTTCAATTTCTGAAACTGTGCAGTGATGTTGTTCTCGGCCAGCTTTACGAAGGTGACTTCTTTCATCATGGTGGATTCATCTGAGCAATCCTTATTTTGTACCTCATCTGGCAACCCATTAGATGATGTGCATTGTTTCAATATCACATGTGCTCCCTTTTGCTGTATAAATTCCTCTTCCTTCAGCAACTCACAGTCCAAAACCCTCTGGCTTTGTTGTTGTTTGGTATCATCAAGCACCTTCTGAGACTTAAAGTGGGTCTGAGACATCTCATTTGCACCATCACCATGATCATTTTCTCTGGTAATCATGTCCTCAGATTCCTCCCCAACGGTTAAGTGACCCAGTGGTCCCCCCTGACATTTTTCAGTTTCTTCTTTCACTTTAGTCTCTGTTTCCACGGTTAAAGGCAAATTTTTCATACTGACCTTTATTCTATTTCCGTCACTGGGATTAACAACATTCCTTGGTGTTCCTTCCTTCATCTCAGGGAGGACTATGCAGTCCTTTACATTTTCAAAAAGGCCTTCACCATCTTTTGGTTTTAAAAGATTCTGTAGGTCAGTTTCTGAATTTTCTTGAGAAGAGAGATACAAAGGTATTTTTCTACTGAATGCCAAGCTGCCTAGGGGAACAGAGTTCTCATCTTGGCATCTAGAAGGTATCAACTCTTTTGAGGAAATTTCAAAGGTATTTTCCTTGTCAAATTCAGAATTTATTTCTGGTTTTGATTCTTCAATCACTCCTTGTGTTTCTTTCAGAGATGGTTCTTCAACTTGCTGATCATGATGAATATCACTTAAAGAAACATCTATTCTATCCAGTGTTCTTATATTTGGTTCATGATCCACAACAGACTTTATCTCATGAGCGCAAGATCCTGGACACACTTCCATTTCACAGTCTTTTAATGACTTGCATACTTTTTCTTCACACGATTTTTTTATTCCAAGAGATTCCAGTGTAGAGGAAGTAGCATCTGGGAAATCTGAATCCTGATCAACCACTGCTATACATGCTGCATTCAGTCCTCCTAGGTGAGACAGGGCACTCCTTGAGGTTTCACGTGATGGCAGTTGATCTTGCCTTGGACCACCATCAAGTGCACTACAGGCCACTACATCCAGCATAGTATCTGCAGGCTTACTGCTACGGTCTGTGCAAACAATGCCTACCAGACCATCTGTGGACTCCTCACTTTGAAAGGTGCCTCTCTTTGAACTACCACAGGATAATGAGTTGTGATTCCCTGAACAGACTAGCAGAGTCTCTTGGTTGTGGCTTAGATTTCTGTTAGGTTCTGTGACGATCCCTCTCTGGTCACTACCTAGTATTTTTTTAGCAGGTTTGCCTTCATTTCTGCATTTATCTGGTCTGTTTTGGTTACTCTGGTAGTCAAGGACTTTGTTAGTCTTCTCATCAAGAGTTTCAACTGCTTGGTTCGTGTATTTAAAACTGGAGAACATAATAGTAGGAGACTGGTCCAACAATTTCTTAGGACTTGGAATGTTTGCAGATTGGTTTAGTTCTTGTACGGCAGTGTCAGAGGTGCTACACTTACAAAACACAGTTTCTCTGGGTATATTCTGTCCCTTCCGTTCTAGCCCTTCCTCACTGGGTTGGTGGTTACTAGTGGTGTGAATCATCTTGTTTGAAGCTTCACTATTTAACATGCATGCTGATGTCTCATCTCTGATCTTATCTTCTAGAAGAGTGACTTTAGTTTCATTTCCATCAGGTTCACTTTCCTCTGCTGTATTACTTATTTTATGGCTGCTACTTTCCACGGAGTGGTGACCACTACAGTGAAATGCATTTTTACACTTGGTTAGCATAGAGTTTTCAGCTTCTGTGATGATGTTGCTGGACTCAATAGCTGTGCAAGCAGAACACATGCTCTCTTCTGGTGTATTTCTTCTTATACAATGACAGCTAGAGAGATTGTGAGATTGAACACTTTGACATTCCATGACAGAGATCGTTTGAGGAAAGTCAGCTGCTTCTTTCTTATTTGAAAGCAGACTGGAATGTAGATCATCTGCTGCTACATCAGTCATTTTGTTTGTTCTTTTGAGATTTTCTGGTTTGATATTTAAGGTGGGATTGTTTGAAGAAGTACCACATGTACTGTTACCTGGTAGAGAATTGTCTTTCATTTTTGTCTTCATAGGAATGGTTTGGGTATCAGCAATGACATCTGCTCCATCCTTTAATGGAGGATGATGGTTCTGTTGGGAATCCTCGCTTGTTGCTAAAGGCATCTCTTTGTCAGCTGGCAACTTTACCTGGTCTTCAGTATTAAGGGACACTTGATTTAAAACACATTTATTTTTTATTTTGTTTAAAACCAGTTCATTGGTACAGGGAAGTTCATTCATCTCAGAGGCAATGCTCTGGCTCTGCTCATCTAAATGTGGAATATCATCCTGTGAAGTCTGTACCTTTTGTTTTGAATCAGGTCTGTAATCAAATTCTAGGGATGGTGGGAACTGAGCAAGATCTTTCTTGGGTTTTGATACCTTATTTATAGGACTTATCTGGTCCCCTGGCATTATCATAGGGGATTTTCTTTCGGTCAGAAATGTATTATATGGTGCTTCATTTAATTGGATGTTGCCTTCCAGATTTTTCTGGGTGCTGACAAAAGAGTTAGAGTCTTTACTGTATATCTTATCAGCTACTATATTTGGCTCCATAGTGGTTGTCTGTCCTGGCTCTTCAATCTGCATCACAGAGGAAAAACTGCTCCTTTCAGGGCGTCTGCCTGAATGGCTCATGTTAGTAAGGGTTTCTCTATGGTCCTCATGGTTTGCAAAGTTACTTTGAACATCTAACGCTATTTTTGAATCTTTTTTTTCAGACATTATTTCCGTGGCTTTGGTAAGAGAATTGGGGGTTAAAAAACTAGACTTGTCTGTAATTTTGGGGATGTTAACAGTCTCCTTTTCACCAGAACAAGGGCCATTAGCATCCACTTCTGGTAGCTTGGCATTAACAAGAAACAGTTCCCCTCTTTCACTCTTGGGGTTAAAAATCTGTCCTGTATTTTCTTCTTGAAAAGTCAATTTCTTGCTTTGATCATCCCCTTCAAAACAGGAATTGTCTGTCTTTTCAGCAGAGTCCTTCAGCAAAGCATCATCTTCAAAACTACATTTTTCTGAAGATACTGTTCTGGATTTGGGACCAGACAAATTTGAAGTAAAATACGAAGCTTCAGAATTTTCTTCAGTGGGATCTGTAATAACTATACTTCTTGTGCCTTTGGGGCTGCCACATGCAGAACTGTATTTTTCAAAATGATGGCCAAAAATCTGTTGGTGATTGTCATCTGCTTCATAGACAGGGTTTAATTTACACAATTCTTCTTTCTCATTGTCCACTTTGGAAATGGAACTGCTCCCTGGTAATGACAACCAAGAAGGACAAGTTTTTAATTCTTCACATTCTTTCTCTGTAGGAGTTGCGTCTGTTAATCCAGGGTCCACAAAGGTTAAAGGCTCTAGGGATACTAATGTACTGGTTTCTGAAACCTTACCACTGGTCATGAGTTTGTCTACTTCTGGGTAGTTGCTGCATCCAGCTGAGAGACCTTTACTCACATTGCCATTCTCATGTCCTTCATTATTATCCGTGTTAGTCCCATTGACCTTCATACCTTGCACTTCTTCAGTAGATTTTAGCAGAGTTTCAGTTGTAATCTGTACATTTCCTTCTGCACAAGAGAAATAAATCCAAATCATTGTGCAATCATAAAAAAGTCATTTGCACTACTTTCAAAAATTTAATCATGCAACAAGAAAGACTTAAATAAAAAAGAGAATCGCAAAGTCCGTGTATACCACCACTACGGACCTTGTTATTCTCTGCAAAAGAAAAATAAGGGGGGCCTCCCTAGTGGCACAAGGGGTTAAGTCTCAGCACTATCAAGCCATTGCCAGCCACTGCAACATGAGTTTGGTCCCCAGCGAGGGAGCTAACCCACATGGTGCAGCAGACCTCTCCTGTCTCACCCGCTGCTCCTCTCAGCAGTGTATTTTGGTCAATCCACCTGTTCTGCTCCCCAATCTGTCTCTGGTGAATCCGCTCACCCCCTGAACCTCTGTCCTACACCCCAGTTCTTGTATGTATAAATAAAAACAAATCTTTTACATACATATATGTTTATGTATGTGTGTATGTGTATATATGTATGTGTACGTGTGCACGCATATATATATAAAAAACCAAGGGCCAATACTGTACCAGGTAGAAACAAGTAATTTTGAATGAATACCTTTTCCTAAATGTTACTTACTTAAATATACTTATTTAACTGGACTGTTGAAGACAACATGGAAACATGGCTCAGTCTTAAGAAGCCTCTATTCTAAAACATTAATAGATTCACAATGTAACAGTTTATACTACTAGATAACCATGACAATAAATACAAAATAAGTCATAAGTAAAGATACCTTTGAAAAAGAACAATTACACATAAAAAGTTAATTTGTAAACTGAATTATTAGCCATGAACTCAATTATTGCGATAATTGCTTCTCTACAAGCTTGTTCATGAGTTGGTAACTTACTAAAGTTAAGTGATAGGTACCTGAGTACACTCTTTTCCACTTTTGAATAAATCTGAAAATTTCCATTATGAAACATTAAAAAACAAGCAAAAAAAATCTTTCTAAGCAGAATGTAAATAAATTCACAAATGAGTTCTACTGTATAGTTTCTCTGAAATAATAGATATATGATATAGTATGAAGTTACCCAAACTTGTTAATCTACAAAAAAATTTCACCCCACCATTTTAGAAATCAAACCCAAAGCTAAACACACACACATCTGTATGCATGCACATATGTTAACAGGACACCTGCAAACAGATAAATCAAGATCTAATAATACCTACTGGAACATAACTGCTATATAAAAGCACTTAATAAATATTTGTGGAATTAATAAATACAGTCAGGACAAACAACAATTACCGTTATGAATGTCTTCTAGGGCTTTCCTATTCGTTTCTCAACAGGTACTAAAAGCAGTGACTCTGAAGCCAAGCCAATTTGGTTCTATGATGTTACTTACCTCTCAGAGCCTCAACTTCCTCCTCTGTGAGAAAGGGGAGAAGTACACTTACCTTAGTGTTATTCTGAGGATTAAATTAAAAAATACATGTTAAACACCATCTGGTACAGTGCCTGCCATTTAAAGGAAAAGTGTATTTCCTTTGCTCTGTTTTCTTTGATTCTTATTTTACTGGACCTGAGATTAGTTAAAATGATAAACTTGAAAACTACGTGCTAGGACACAGAATTTGAGATATTTGGAGTAAGCAAATATTAAATGGATATATACTAGATTCCATAAGTTTGCATAGATAACAAACACTGACTAAGAGGCAGTCACAAAATCCTAATACCACACTTTTTTGGAAGTATGTTTTTGGAAGTAGCCTTCATATCACCTTAGACAATTCAATCATATTCATTAATTCTAAGCATAAATACTCCAAATAGTTGTAGTTTATCTCTTTAAACTCTATAGTATTCATCAAATTATTTGTGTATATTCTGGGTCTTCCCTCTCTGTTCCAGCACTATCCTTGTATACCTAACTTCATCTTACCTGCTCAGGAAAACGCAAACTCTTCACCCATCCCCAAACTATTTACTATGCAAGGCATTAAGGCGAGATTCTCAGAGTCCCTACTTGGTAGAAGAAGGCCTGCTTTCTATTTAGTCAAGAATCTTTTAAATTAGTAGATCTTTGATCTTTTTTTTTAAACCCCTGCGCCACCAGGAAAGCCCCAGATCTTTGATCTGGACTGTGGCTAAGTAAGCTGAAACACTGGTCACATTATGGTAGAGCAAATGCAATTGTTTGACTCAATTCCATGGTGGTGACATGTTCTACTTATGCTCCGAGGGCTCAAAGCCTACTAGATATACCTTGCAGAACCTTCCTTTCTGCCTTATGACTGGCTGGGACTGTGGACAGGTGAACTTGTCTTCTATTGTGTAACACAGGGACACCTTGGGAAGTTCTCAGAGAAATGAATAGAAGAATGTATCCCAACCAGCGATGAGGTCATTGTTGCTAAAAACTCTGTAATAGAGTTGCTACCTTATCAAATGGGACAACCTCACACATGGCTTTGGGGAAAAAATAAAAACACATTTTACCAATTTAAGTCATTAAAGGAAAATATTAGGGCAGTAAGGAAAGTGTCATAAAGCAGTTTATCTGAGGACACTTTTCAGAGGAGCTCATCTTATCCATATCCAATGTAGGCCAGCTTTTTAGGTGGAGAGCAATCACAGTTAAGTCTGAGAAAGCAGATTTCCTCACAGAAAATAAGTCTGCTTTTTCTATTGGAAAGGTCAGTTCAATCTGTCAAATTTATCCATATTAAAAAAAAAATTAAATTTCAGTGGATAAATGAAAGTGTAGTTCATACATTTTGCGCTAAGATTTGGGTGAAAAGATATCAAAGACTCAGGCCTCCCCGGTGGCGCTGTGGTTGAGCTCTGGGTTGCGAAGCTGCCTGCAGCCTCTGCAGCACCAGTTCCATCCCCGGCCGCCGGGCGAGGATCCCACATGGCGCACAGACCTCTTCTGCTGCCCGCTGCTCCCCTCAGCAGTGTACTTTGTCACTCTACCTGTTCTGCTCCCTGCTCTGGCTCTAGTGAATTCTCTCACCCTCCCGCACTTCTGACTATACCCAGTGCTTGTATAAATAAATAAATAAATCTTAAAAAAAAAAAAAAAGAGATATCAAAGACTCAATATAGCAATACTTGAACTCCACTAAAACGATCTTGGTGGAGGTGAGGGGATGATAGGAGGGTTTTAAACAGCATCAAAGCCCTAAGAACCAGGTGAGGCTAATGTACAAAGTGAAACTCTCATCTTTACAGCTTTAATCTAAACTGGCCAGTCAACTGAGAGTCAGAGAGAAAATTTCCAGCACCAGGAAGCAGGTGGGACAAGTCTTCTTTTCTCATAAGTTTGTGCTTCCTTTTAGGTTGCCAAGAAGCAGAGTCAAATCTGATGCTGCATCATAGACACAAAATGTTCATAAAATTAAATGTATTTGCTATATCTTCTTTCTTTTGAGGTTCTTCTGATCATTCTGTGTTATTAACCTTAGCTGCATACACATAGTCCTCTCTACAATACCTAAGATGAGTTTTAGCCTGGGATAGGGATAGGAGAATAACCTTGGCTCATCTATTATTTCTTTCTTTTTTTTTTTGGTGGTTTCCTCTTTATTGATGTGCCTCCTACCAACCCCTACAATCCTCCTACAATTTCCGTCCTTTCAATCTACCCCTCAAAAAGTGGTGGAAGGAACTGTTGGGGTTCTGAGCTTTCTGGGCAGCTACAAAGGGAACAGAAACCAAACAATCACTGGATCTGAAAGAGACTGACGATCAAGAAGTCTGAAGGAGAATGAGAAAGGTGGTAGAGAAAGGGGGAAGAAAGGAGAAAGAAGAGGTGCTATAAGCCATTTCCCTCAACACCCTCCTGTGAAGAGGGGCTGAAGGGAGGTGGTGTTTGAGCCTGAAGGAAGAGGAGCCACCTGTCTCTTTGCAGAATGGGACCCCCCTCCACACCTCAGGGGTAGCAGCTTCACAGGCACTATATAGAAAGAAGTCTTCATGGTGCACCTGGTATAACTGACCCATTGTGGCACTGGTGGGTGGAATGACATTGGTGACAAAGAAAAACAAGATATCTTCAACTCAAAGATGAATTCGCTTCTGGATCAAGAAATAGAACTGACAGTGAGATCAGAAGGCACCAGATGCTCCTTTTTGTCCAGGTCTCCAACCCGAGGTTTGGGAGCATTTTGTATTATCACTGGGTCCCAGTCTGGGCATTTCTTTCAGATCTTCTTGCCCTCAGATGGCACTTCTTGAACAGATACTCCTCTTCATATACAAACGTCACCCTCCTGGTACCTTGGGGATGTGATTGGATCAAGCTAGGCTGAGGGAACCTCCCCCGTGGGAGGGTAGGGGTGGTGTAGGTGAATTCAGCCTCAGCTGTTCTTTCTACTGAGCCTCAAATTCCTCTTCAATTAATCAATAACTCAAACTATAGGTACTATCTCAGATGTCTATATCCAACCATTGCTTTGAGCAGCAAAGCGAGTTAATGGAAATGAAACTGCTCTGAAAATTCTCAAAGTGACCTGGAGTGAACACTTTTTCCTGTCCCTGCCAAGAGAACAAGATGATGAAGTACTGCCACAGTGCTGAACAACTCTGCTGGGTAGGGTCTTCTGTGGTCCATGTTATCCCTTCCAAAAAGGCAGCCAGTTATACAAAATAAAAACTATAATAAGGGTTCAACACACTTTTTTTTTTTTAAGTAGATGCCATCTTTTTTTCTTAAAGATTTATTTATTTATTTATACAAGCACTGGGTACAGTCAGAAGCGCGGGAGGGTGAGAGAATTCACCAGAGCTAGAGCGGAGCAGAGCAGGCAGAAGGACCGAAGTACATTGCTGAGGGGAGCAGCAGGCAGCAAGAGAGGTCTGCACGCCACGTGGGACCCTCATCCGGTGGCCGGGGAGCAGCCGGGGATCGAACCGGCGCTGCAGAGGCTGCGGGCAGCTTCACAACCCAGCGCTCAACCGCTGCGCCACCGGGGAGGCCCTAACGCACTGTTAACAGAGACTCATTTTTGAAAAACTATGTGGGAAGCAAATGATGACCCAAAATAAGGCACTGCTGCTACTAGTAGGAGTCTTCAACTATACCCATCGGCAATATCAAGAACTTCTATAGTTTAGTCCATCTGGAAAGGCAGGAACAATAACTGGTACATTCCCAATTCAAAATGGAAACTGTAGACCAAAACAGTGGTTGTAATTTAAGTGGAAAAAGTAAGATTTGATCGAAATAAATACCTTTGCTCCTCAGACAATCTTCAGGGAGGTTTGTGCATGGAAGTTCTTTGCTAGACTGCATCAGGAGGCCCTCCTGCAAAAAGAAAATCCAACAGTCAGAGGATTCTGAGATACTTGATTCATGAACGTCAACTTCTTTGTCATTCCAGGAAATTTGTTACCAGTCACAAAAATTTGGAACTGAAGGAAATCTCAAATATGAGAAACACAATCAATAAAACTGCTACTTCTCTAGGGTCTGGACTTGAAAAGCCAGGCCTCTCAAGGTCTGGACAATACTAGAGGTTTAAATTGCTGACCTGAAGATACAAACAGAACCCTACAAATAATTCTGAATCAAGAAAAAAAAATGCTGGAATGTAATCTTCACTTCATCTGAAAAGAAAGTATCAGGATATTGGATATATCCTAGTCCCTAATCATGCTAGCTATCATATACGCATTCTCTTCCCAAACTTTTAGAAGTTTTTCCTTTCATTCTCCTTCATCAGAGAAGGGCATAAGGGAGAACACTATCAATGATAAGCAGTTTCCTCCTACAGCAGAAACTAGAACAATGGGAAAGGGCTGTGTGCACTCTGGGGTAGCAACTGGCTTGAAGCCCCACGAGGTAAGGGTCTATCAGGTTTGCAACCAGGTTCATCAACTGAAGATGGCTGCTTGCACTAAACTTTCCTCTGGGTCACATTTTTCCTCATCCTAAGGTTTAAAAATTTTTACACATTAATTTAATTGGAAGTAGAAGACTCTGTCATAGCATTCATCTAAAGCTGCAGATAATGAAATCATTGCTATAACTTTTAATAATTTACTGATTTCTACAGCACTTATTTAAAAAAAAAAAAATAACAGGTAAATGCCATTTGGGCCCTAAGCAAGTTCTGAGGTGGAAACAGAACCCAGGAGAGGGAGGTAAGATAAAAGCAATGACAAATACCAGTGGACATAGGCAGAAACAAAACATTGGTATTAGAAGACAGAGACAAGGACTAGTGTGAACTATCATATATGAAGTAGGACTAATCTTTTTCTGTTGAAAACTTTAAGTTTTGTAGAACATGAACATACAAAAAGAGTATGAATCCTGGGGGCCATAGGGGTTAAAGTCTCAGTGCCACCAAGCTATCACCAGGCACTATGGCATGAATTCGATCCCTGGCCAGGGAGCTGACCCACATGGCACAACAGACCTCTTCTGACTCACCCACTGCTCCCCTCAGCAATGTATTTCAGTGGATCTGCCTGTTCTGCTCCCACTCTGTCTCTCACCTTCCCCAGCACCCTCCCCAGAATCCTCTCACCTTCCCCAGCACCCCGCACCTCTGGCATGAACCCCAGTTCTTATATGCATAAATAAATAAAAATAAATCTTTGGGGAAAAAAAAAAAGAGTATGAATTCTAGTATGATGCCAGACAGAACTTATTTGTACATGGAAGCAGAGACAGCTCTTACTTACCATAGAAGGAAAGACAGAATTAGGAAATCATCATTTGGCAACTACCACAGTAAAAATTATATCAAGCAAGCATCACCAATGGATGTTAAAACTAGTGGCTATAAATTTGAATAAGAAACAAATATTTACGTAGTTTCAAAATATCTCCCAAGACACTTTAGTAATTACAAAGGGAAAAATAGCAACTTCACAGTGGGAAACCCTGGCAGACCCCACCTGACATGAACCAAGTGATGGAAATCCACCTGTGCAGAAATGAGGCACCTCAAAGTCATGTGGTTCCTGAGAAGATATATGAAGACAACCCCCCATCACTTCTGTGGGATGCCTGCCCCCAAAATGTATAACCAGAATCTAGTCAGACAAATCCAAATTGAGAAAAATTGTACCAAACAAATGGCCTGAACACTTCAAAAGTCCTAAAGTGTCAAGGTCATGAACTAAGGAAATGTTAGACTAAAGAGCCATGACAAGGGCCTCCCTTGGTGGCGCAGCGGTTGAGCGCTGGGTTGCAAAGCTGCCCGCAGCCTCTGCAACGCCAGTTTGATCCTCGGCCACTGGGCAAGGGTCCCACATGGCACGCAGACCTCTACTGCTGCCCGCTGCTCCCCTCAGCAGTGTTTCTTGTCAGTCTGCCTGCTCTGTTCCCCGCTCTGGCTCTGGTGAATTCTCTCACTGTCCCGCGCTTCTGACTGTACTCAGTGCTTGTATAAGTAAACAAACAAATAAAATAAATAAATAAATAACAACATGCCTCTAGAAACAAAAAAAAAAATTAAAAAAAAAAATAAATTAATACTACTCTATTATCTACAGATCTTATTCAAATCTTGTGAATGGCCCCAGAATGTTTTTTTTTTAAATTTTCTAGAGGCATGTCTTATTTATTTATTTATTATTTGTTTGTTTGTTTGGTTTATACATGCACTGGGTACAGTCAGAAGCGCGGGAGGGTGAGAGAATTCACCAGAGCCAGAGCGGGGAGCAGAGCAGGCAGAAGGACCGAAGGACACTGCTGAGGGGAGCAGCGGGCGGCAGGAGAGGTCTGCGCGCCATGTGGGACCCTCCTCCGGTGGCCGGGGAGCAGCCGGGGATTGAACAGGCTGCAGAGGTTGCAGGCAGCTTCGCAACCCAGCGCTCAACCGCTGAGCCACCGGGGAGGCCCAAGGCCCCAGAATGTTTTTAGAACCAGGGTCTAATTCAGGTTCCACTTGCATTTAGCCGTTATGTCTCCTTTGTTTTAAACAGTGATGGTGCCTTAGGTTATTCGGTTTTCATGACCTTGACACTTTTGAAAATTCTCTTGATCTCAGGCACATGTTTCCTCAGGATTAGATGCTGGTATACATTATGGGAATGGGCGTCCTACACAAGTGATGCTGGGTCTTCTCAGTGCATCATCTCAGAAGGCACACGGCACTGAGGTGCAATGAGGTACCTCATTCCTTGACAAGTGAACTTCCATCAGTTGGTTCGGGTAGGGTCTGCCAGGTGTCTCCATTGTAAAGCTACTATTAATATTTGTTTGATTTTTTTTTAAAGATTTATTTACTTATGCATACAAGAACTGAGGTACAGGCCAAAGGTGTGGAGGGTGAGAGGATTCACCAGCGATAGAGTGGGGAGCAGAACAGGCAGACTGACTGAAATACACTGCTAAGGGGAGCAGGTAGGAAAGGTCTGCTGTGCCATGTGGGCATCTCCCTGGCCAGGGATCGAACTCATGCCTCAGTGGCTGCAGATAGCTTCACAGGTTGAATCTTAAATCTTTGCGCCACCAGGGAGGCCCATATTTCTGTTTCTTATTCAAACTTTTAGCCACCAGTTTTAATATCCATTGAGTTCTTACTGAGATGATTATTTCTGTGATGGTTGTCAAGTGGTAACTTTTTATTTCCTTCTATATTAATTGGAATACTTTTTCTTTTCAAGTTATTTATTCAATTATTTTATATAAATATGGGTTCGTGGGCATTTGTTTGAGCCTCTGGGTTATAATTTATTTCCATCATTATTTGCTATAAGCTTAAATTAGCTCAAACTTGGCAATGAGAAGCCCCTTCAAGTTGGCTTCGGTGCGGTTCTGATGTTTCCATAATTTTCTGAGCATTTCACCACAAACTGTTACAGGATTATCTTGTAATTTGTCCTGTTCTGGCACTGGAACAGCTTTTCTCCAGTCTCCATTCCTTTAATTGGAAGATATCTAGAAACCAAGACTCAGACAGTAGGTGTGTTTGTTGCTATGAGGTGTCACTGTTTCTAGACCTATCTTATATGTCCACACACATACATTCATATATCTGTTAAAACCCTATGTTCATACTAGTAATTCCAATTTCCATTCCACAACACAGGGTTCATTCTAGCCCCAGACCCACACCACACCCATCTGTAACTTCTGTGTGAGAACCTGGCCTCGTTATCAACAATAAATTTACCCAGCCAATTGTAGAATACACACAAAGTAGTTTAGGTACTAAACCACATAGCATGTGAAAAACAAATTTACTAAAATGTTTTTTTTCTTTTTTGGGTTTAATCTTAAGAGTATAAAGTCAAAATACTGGTTTTTCCCCAAAGTTACTTGGGTTATTTTTATTTGGTATTCCACCCCCTTACTGTGGTTTCATTCTTTTAAATATAGTTAATGTCATCTGTTAGTTTATATTCAATTGTGGGTTTCCCCCTATATCCTGATTGCCTATATTTCAAGTAAGAAGTCATAACCATACCAAAAAGTGCATTCAGAAGTGTCGCTTCCTCTTATCCCTTCTATCCTGTCCTTCCGTCTTGCATGAGAAAGTATACAACTGATATTCCCTTGCACTTTGCTCTTTTTGCTTACCCTAGTTTGCAGAAAAGAGTTAACACAGCAGGCCTACCTGTTATCTATAGAAAAATCTGCTTGCAAGGAAACTTAGATTTTTAGAGCTTCCATTATTCTCTAGTGAAAAGAGTAGCTCACTACAACTAAACAACATTGTGGTTTATGCTGAATACCTGCTTTCCTTCTGTAAGTCTGGAATTTTATTATATGCCAGTCGGGGAATGCCTACGGATAGCCCTTAGTAAAAAACCTAGGCTCTAACAAATTTTTGCTGATAGGCACCATTGCATGTCACTATCTGTTCCCAGAAGTAGTTTGACTACTCTGAGCGCATTCATGGAAGTCTACCCTTCCCTGGACTTTGCCGCATGCCTCTCTTACCTTTGCTGATTGTTTTATACTCCTTTGCTGTAATTAATCTTGGCTATAAATATGACAACATCCTGAGTCCCACGAGTTCTAGTGAATCACCAAATGTGGAGGTGACTTTGGGGACCCTGATACACTTGGAAATCATTCCATATATAGAGTTCTTCGTTCTTCATAGTGCTCCAAATGTGACTATACCACACATCATCATTTATTCAATTTCTCACTTACATGCACATTTTTGCAATAATAAACAAAGCTTTGCTCATTTTAAAATTTTTTACAGTAATATCTTGCAACAATGCTGGGCCTTCCTGGTGGCACAGGTGGTTAAGCGCCGCACTGTGAAGCTGTCCGCAGCCTCTGTAGCACGGGTTTGATTCCAGCTGGCTGGTGAAAATACCACATGGCGAAGCAGACCTCTTTTGTCTCGCCCGCTGCTCCCTTCAGCAGTGTATTTCGTCAATCTGCCTGTTCTGTTCCCCGCTCTGTCTCTGGACAATCCTCTCACCCTCCTGCGTATCTGGCCTATACCCCAGTTCTTGTATAAATAAATAAATCTTTAAAAAAATGGAAAAAAAAAAAACAATGCTGCAAAGGATAACCTTGTTTATAAGTATTACGCTGTTGAAGGTATATCCTCCAGGATAGAGTCTAAGTGCTGGTCAGTAGGTCCTCAGGGCATATGTATTTTTGTCAGATGTAGTTTTGTCAGGTGTACTCAAATTCCTCTTCTGAAAGGCTTCTATATTCTTGCCATCAAAGTATGATAATAGTTTTTTTCTCACTGCTTTGCTGGCTAGATATGTAGTTGTAATTTTTCACTTTTGCAACTTGGGAGATAACCAAGTGATATCTCAGGTTGTTTAAATTTGCATTTCTCTAATTATGAATGAGGCTGACCAGCTCTTCATATGTTTTTTTTTTTTTTAATAGAGGCATTTATTTATTTATTTTATTTGTTTGATTGTTTTGTTTATACATGCACTGGGTACAGTCAGAAGCGCGGGAGGGTGAGAGAATTCACCAGAGCCAGAGCGGGGAGCAGAGCAGGCAGAAGGACCGAAGTACACTGCTGAGGGGAGCAGCAGGCGGCAGGAGAGGTCTGCGCGCCATGCGGGACCCTCCTCTGGTGGCCGGGGAGCAGCCGGGGATCGAACCGGCGCCGCAGAGGCCGCGGGCAGCTTCACAACCCAGTGCTCAACCACTGCGCCACTGGGGAGCCCCTCCCCCAATTTCTTATTGGGTTTTCATTCCTCAATTTGAAAGTAATTTATATTTTAGAGAAATAGGCCTTTTATTCATTGTAAATCTGTTCTCCCAATTTGTAAGTTGTCCTTTATCTGTGTTTGTGATGTATTGCCAATCTAGAAAGAGTTCTCATCTTGAGGTACAAGGATGTCTAGGGTCTACAAATATTCTGAAATGGTATGCAAGTGCTATATCAGTTTATCCAAGAAATCTGTAGCATTTAGATTTCAGAGTCCTGGGACCCAAGAACAATCAGGTGCTCCTACTGCCTCAGGTCTTCCACTGAAACTAACTGCCCCCACAGAACTAATTCTACTAGTCAGTCCTCCAAATTCTTGAAAGCTTCTCTCATTTCTCTTGATTCCTCTCTTTCATAGGACACACCCCACAAGTGGCTTCCAATGGTGTACTTTCAGTTTTAGTTATTAGTGTGAATTTTTTTTTTTTTGTGGGACCCTTGCCGGCGGCCGGGGAACGAACCAGCGCTGCAGAGGCTGCGGGCAGCCTCGCAGCCCAGAGCGCAACCGCTGCGCCACCAGGGGAGGCCCTGAATTTTTTTTTTTAAAGATTTATTTATTTATACAAGCACTGGGGTACAGGCCAGAGGCGGGAGGATGAGAGAATCCACCAGAGATAGAGTAGGGAGCAGAACAGGCAGAAGGACCGAAATACACTGATGAGGGGAGGAGCGGTTGAGATAGGAGAGGTCTGTAGAGCCATGTGGGAATCTCCCTGGCCGGCCTGGAATCAAACCGGCACTGCAGAGGCTGTGGACAGCTTCACAGCACTGCGCTCAACCTGCTTCGCCACCGGGAAGGCCCTAATGTGAATTTTTATCATGAGTGAATTCTTAATTTTCTATAATCTTCCCATAAATGACACCAGGCTCAGCTGGGGGGGGATGGGACAGGATACACTTTGGTCAGGAACCCTTACATATTTCTTGCCTCTTGACATACTCTCCTCCCCCATTCCATCAGCACCCTGAGGTCATATACATGTTGGGGGGAGAGAGGTGGGATCGTTAAGTCATACTCTAGTGAAAGACTTATCAGCACATAACGGGAGTACACCTACCACCTCTAATCTCGTAACACATCTCTGTTCGCATATATTAAGAGCAAAACGACTTTTCCTGACAATCATATAGCAATGTCAATCCTAATAGACCTGGTAAAACCTGTAGATTTTCGGTTTCCCCATACTTTTTATTGTTCCTACTCTTTTTGGAACCAAGTATAAAATCTTACATTTGTAACTATTAAATTTCATTTTGCTTTACACAAAATAGTATTTATCTTTGGTGAAGGAATAGGAATGCTTTAGGAAAAAAAAAAAAAAGGGAGACAGTAATCTTCTAGTTTTAGGTTGGATAGTTGTGTGTGTATTCATTATACTTCATAACTTATATAATTACCCATGCTTTTATTTTATGTCAAATAATACATTAAGAAACTTTTCATCTAAGATTCAACCCACCAAATCAAGAATGAGCTTTTAGATCCTGAAGTTTTACCTCATTTAACTGTATTTTTAAGGGCAGGTATTCACAGCATAAAATGTGGTATCATATTCAACTATTAATTATTTGCAAGAGCCAACTGCCCTGTAACCTGTATGAAGAAATGAATTATATAATAGTTGGAAGGAGCAGCGCCTAATCTAGGAAGCCCATAGAATATGAACTTGGGGGTCTAGTAGGGATGGGTAAACTACAGCTCACAGGTCAGCACCTGTACTGATGAAGTTTTATTGAGAAACAGTCACATCCCCATTCATTTATATGTTCCCTATAATATCTGTTTTCATGCTACAAAGGCAGACTTCAGTAGTTTGGCCAGAGACCATACAGGCTGCAAAGCCTAAAATATTTACTTCATGGTCCTTTATAGAAAAAGCTTACTGCTTGCTTTCTCCCTCCTTCACATCCAACATTTCTGAGTGCATCCGACAAGCCAGGTGCTCATCCTGTTAACCCAGGATGAAAGAGGCTGCCAGGTATGCGTGGTAGCAGCGGGGAGGGGGCTATAGGCTGGTCATCATGCCCTGTGGTTGTGGATGGGCCAGAGTGACTGCCCAACCCTGGTGCCCCCCCCTCAGATCTGTCACCCCACTCCCCTCACTCACCATAGCATTGACCTGTGTGCCATTATATCTTTGATTGATTGTAGAAACCCCAGAAGTTCCTTAAGCAGTAAGCGTTCAAACAAATGTGTGATAAATGAGGATAAAAAAGGAAGAAAAAAAGCTTACTAATATCTGGACTAAGACCACCCAATGGAGAAAATAAGTTTACTAGTGCACTTAATTATAAACTTAAGGATATTCCTTTAGGAATTTGGGTTCATCAGGCTATCACAGCACACTAATATTTAGGCTTGGCTACCTAATAATCTCTCCATTCGAATTTCAAACTCTTGCTTACAGAAAGACATACTGACCAGTATGACCATTTCTACCATGAAGTAATTCTATTTTTCATTATAAATTAAATAAAGAACTAGTTTTCTGATTTATATTCCAGACTCTCATGAAGTGGATTAACATGATTCAATCCTTTGGAGACAATCACTTCCGATACACTAAAAATCAAAAGTCAAGCTTCTAGATTTGTAAAGCTATGGAACAGCTTCTGAAATACGGAGATTCCTTTAGGGTATCCATCCTATGAAGCCCTACCTGGTTCAAGAGCTTCCCTCAACAAGATTCAAGTGACATCTCACTAAATCCCAATCATGACACTACCAAAACTTAAAGAACAAGGATACTTCATTTCTTAACATCAGATGCAGAAATCACACACAACTATCACAAAGTCTCAACATTCCATATAGAGTGGCTGCTTCAGAGAAGTGACGCTTTTTCATTACAGAAGCACTTCCTCTCTTCAAGCTTGTTATGTGACACCAATGTTTTTAAAAGATCATCAGAAAAAAGTTAACATCTGAGTCAACAATCTGGAAATGTTCAAGAGTAAATCATAAGCTACCTGTCAGCATCTGCATTTACCACGTGAAGTGTTACACTGGAAAGCTGTCATTCACACTCATCTAAATCAGGATCTCATTTCTTACCTGACTTGGGCTGATCTTTTCTTCAGCAGCTGTGGAATGTTGATGTGGGTCTTCCTTTGTGCCCTCACAGGGGTGTCTTACAATTTTCTCCTGGTCCCCTTGATTTCTGAAGACCTTTAGCTCCATGCTCTTGGCTTTCTCTTCCCTAGTCAAGATCCCAGAAGCCACAGAGCCTCCTGCTGTGGAGTCCACCAGCCCACACCGCCCAGGCTCACCCCCATGATCCAAGGTCTCAGAGGTTTCTTCACAACAACTTTCCGCATGAGTCCTCTGCAGCTCCAAGGGCACTGCCCTACTCTGACTTAAAAGAGAGCTTGAGGCTCTAAGTTTTACATCTGGAATCCCACTTGGCTCGGGGTCAGCATGAAGCTCTTTGGAGACACTTACTGGGAGTTCAGAGTATAATTCCTGTACCACGGCAGACATGGAGGAATCAAGTGGAACTGGCTGAGTCTCTACTCCGGATGACAGCATTAGGGCAGATGTAGATTATGGAGTCAAGTCTTTTACATCAAACGGTTCACCCTGACACAAATCAAAGGAAGGGATAAAAGTTTAAAACCTTGGAGGGTAGAAGAAAGCTGTCTCAACTCAAGCTGGCTAAAACAAGGACAATAAATTCTGCTTCAAATGCCAGTATTATCTGGCACCAAAAATTCCTCAATAGACTGAGAATTTGTGGAAAAATAAATACCTTAAGCCTTTGATAGACAGCTCTCTAATCTCAACTCAAATACTGCTTGTGAACAATTCTCTAAGTCTGGAGGGCCAGCAAACACAGATGAGACTGAAACAAGTCTAAACATCCAAAGACAGACCTGATGTCTATAAGCAGGTAAAGACAGTTTTCTACTTGTTGTCAGGCATCACCTTTACCTGTTTTGTTCACTGCTATATCCTCACTGTCTAGAAGAGGTGCGGGACCACAAGGTATTGAGTAGATATTTGCTGAATAAATATATATTAGGAACTTTGAAGAATTTGACACATTTCCTCAGGAAGAATTCCCTACGAAAGCTATAGAGAAAATGGAATTCCATTCCTTTACTGTTTGCCAAACACTTAAGCTTTATCTACCCAGGCTGGTGCAAAACACTACAAAAGCAGCGCTTCAGCAGAATCTTTCCCGACCTTTGATCAGCATCTTGAGGTTTTCCAAGTGCTTCCACAAATACCACTCTTGGTTCTCACATAATCCTGTGAGCTAGGTAGAGCAGCCATCACCTTCTCATTACAGATCCTAACAGCAGTCCTGAAGAGGTTACAAGTGACCTGCCTAAAATATTACATGGTCAACTAAGGAAAAGGGGGAAGACACCTCACAGGTACCCACTGTTTTGGGAATATTTTATTCCTTACATCTGCTAAAATATTTATATCTCAGGAGTTCATAATATTTTATTATGAAAGTAGTCAAAGCACAACATACTGCACCACACTTCTCCCCACCCCCCAGGGAATAGTCGACTTGGAACCAAGGTTTCCTGCTGGGTAACTTCTCCATTTTAGTTTAGTCTACCAAAAGTATACATTTCCAACAACAAACTTCACTTTGACCTGACTAAGAAGGAAACTGGCTAATCAAATATGATACAGCACGCTTCATTCTTGATACTTTCTCTAACCCTAAACAAGGGAAAAGAAAAGAAGTATTTACAACTTAGAGTTCATAACAAGGATTCATGAGAGGCACTGACAGCAAAGTCCTCTGGCCAACATGCATATAGGAAAGATCAAAAGATCAGCTGAACCAATTTATATGTTGAGATATTTCACTCTCTTGCCACTGACCACATTCAGATATCTGGGCAGGATGCAATTTCCCACACGACATGTAAAATCTTTACAACTCGGTTTTCTTGTTTCTACTTCTACCCCTATTATCTAGAGGAGCCTAGACACTGCTTACACAAAAAGCACACACCTGCCCCTTCTATTACATCTGGGCTTACTCATGCCTGTTGCTCAGAAGGGCTTATTGTGATATCTGGACAGAAGCTAAAGAAGGGCAGACAGGTGATCTTTTTTGGACTACTCTGCCCTTCTCCTGGTACTCCTACCTTTGGTAGGTGGCTTACTTATTTATGTTCCAAAGGGGAAAGGAGGTAACACTACACTAGTAACCAATTTACTAGAAATGATAGGAAATCAGACTGCTGGTCCATAAAGTTTAGGCAACACAGAAGGGTGATGGAAAAACTTCAATCCCAAAAAGAAGAGAGATGAAATGTTGAGTGTGGTGAGATGCAAACAAAAATCATTAACAGTGCCGAGAAAAATGCATCCCCCTTTTGGAGCTCCAAACTTCCCTTTTTACTTGTAGCTCCTGGATCTTTTGGGGGTACTTTGGATTGCAGGGGGAGGGGGTGAGAGACAAAGTGGAATTGCTATTTGATGACAAAAAAGATGGCAGGAAGTGTTCAATTTTAATTTGGCTGAGTTTCTCTTTCCTAACAGACAGAACGTGATTTTTGGTTGTCATACCACATACGAACCAGAAGAATACGTGCAGATATAATACTATAAAAGAGCAGGTTTGTCAAAGGAGATGGCTTGAAGGATCTTCATGCTGCTCATGCTGAAAAATTCTTCATCTGCCTGCCACTTAGGTGTGGGTGTTCTCAAAAGTTTAATCCCCCACAAGTCTCCCTTTTCAGGCTTTACATTTTTAATGATCTCACCTTTTCTTGCAACCTCTCTGCTATGAGGATGACTCAAAACAGCCCCTTAAAGCATAGTGTGACTACATGACCTAACAATTCTATGCTTAGGTACATATGCAAACAACATGGGTACACAAAGTTCACACTAGCAGTATTCACAATAACCAAAAAATGGAAATAATTAAAATGTCTGTTAACTGATAAATAAAATGTGGTGTGTTCATACAGTGGAATATCATTCAGCCATGAAAAAGAATCAAGTACTGATTTATGATACGACATGGATGAACCTTGAAAACAGTTTATCATAAGTAACAAAAAAGCCCACATAAGATCCCATCTATATGAAATGTCCAGAGTAGGCAAAACTATAGTAAGAAAGTGAATTAGGAGGCCTCCCTGGTGGCGCAAGGGGTTAAGCGTTCACACTAGGAAGCGATCTGCAGCTATTGCAGCACCACTTTGATCCCTGGCCAGGAAGGGGACCCACATGGAGCAGTAGACCTCTCCTGTCTCACCTCCTGCTCCCCTCAGTAGTGTATTTCAGTCAATTAGCCTGTTCTGCTCCCCATTGTGTCTCTGGAGAATTCTCTCACCCCCTGCACTTCTGGCCTGCACGGCTCTTGTATGCATAAATATGTCTTTTTTTAAAAAAAAAAGAAAGTGAATTAGTGGTTGCTTAGCTGGGAGAGTAGAGAAATATTGATTGTTAACGGTAAAAGTGATTAAAAACAAACGTTAGCTCTAAAGTTTTTCTCAAGTTCCTGCTGCACTCACAAGGATGGCATGTCCAAGCTTAACATGTCTAAAATAGAATCCCGGGCCTCCCTGGTGGCACAAGGGGTTAAGACACAACACTATGAAGCTGTCCGCAGCCCCTGCAAGTGCAAGTTTGATCCCCGGCCAGGGAGGTAACCTACACGGTGCAGCAGACTCTCCTGACTTACCCGCTGCTCCCCTCAGCAGTGTTTTTTAGTCAATCCACCTGTTCTGCTCCCCACTCTGTCTCTGGTGAATCCTCTCACACACACCCCACCCACCTCTGGCCTGTACCCCAGTTCTTGTATGCATACATAAATGAATCTCTAAAAAAATTAAAATAGAATCCACTCAACCCAATAAATGAGTCTTACTTACTACAAGGAAACAACTTACATGCTTATTATTAATTGTGTTGTCCCGCTCAGTAACGACATGCCCATTAGCCTTGAGCTCAAACTTGAATCTCTGGACATAACTATATATCTGACCTTCCACTTGATATTCAATTAGCACTCCAACTCCTGCAGTGTCTGACAAACCCACTCCTTTCCATTGTCATAGTTCTAATTCAAGATTTTTTTCTGAACAGTGGACTGTGGATAATACCGATATACTAAACAGATCTTTATCATAAGAAGTCAATATTGACAACCATATAAAATAGTTCAAGACAGTCTTATGCCTGCATCTATGCTGTAAACTGTTCTTGACCAAAACAGAATTTTAAAGTTTTGGTCACCAAAAGATAACTTCCAATTTACACAAGCCAACCACAGGATCATCTCTTTATACTCCTGTTTGGTAGAGACGTAATTCTCAGAATTTCAACCCGTGAAAACAAGCAGGTACATTGGTTGTGAAGCCAAAGACACTCCCTCCTGGGCCTCTCTGGTGGCGCAAGGGGTTTGTCTCAGCACTATGAAGCTATCCACAGCCACTGCAGCATGAGTTTGATCCCCGCCCTGCCAGGGAGCTACCCACATGGTGCAGCAGACCTCTCTGGTCTCACCTGATGCTCCTCAGCAGTGTATTTCAGTCAACCTGCCTGTTCTGCTCTCCACTCTGTCTCTGGGGAATCCTCTCACCCCCCCACACCTCTGGGCTGTACCTCAGTTCTTGTATGCATAAATAAATCTTTAAAAAAAAAAAAAAGGGCCTCCCCGGTGGCGCAGCGGTTGAGCGCTGGGTTGCGAAGCTGCCCGCAGCCTCTGCAGCGCCGGTTCGATCCCCGGCTGCTCCCCGGCCACCAGAGGAGGGTCCCACATGGCGCGCACACCTCTCCTGCCACCTGCTGCTCCCCTCAGCAGTGTACTTTGGTCCTTCTGCCTGCTCTGCTCCCCGCTCTGGCTCTGGTGAATTCTCTCACCCTCCCGCGCTTCTGACTGTACCCAGTGCATGTATAAACAAAAACAAATAAATAAATAAATAAAAACATGCCTCTATAAAAAAAAAAAAAAAAAAAGACACGCCTTCCTTTTTCTCCTAGCTCAATTCTCCCTCCTCAAGTTTCTGAGCATCTGCAGTTGAGTGCCATAGCTGGAACCCTCAGAGATGATGTAATAATAAGAGTCAAATCTGGAGCAGCAGATGAAAAATTATCCTCAGCTTGCTAACATATCACCAAACTCTTCCCTCACTTTTCCCCATCTACCAAGTAATGGTAATGACAGAAGACTGCAGAAACAGAATAAAATTTTACTGATAGTCAAGCTCTTCAAAACTTAGTTTCTGAATACAATTAGAAATAACAGTGGGTGTAGAAATATATTGCTAGACAGAAAGCTGCCTGGGATATTTTATCAAAGTCAATAAATATCAGAACTCTTTCATATTGGTACCAGATACATATACATAAGAAAAGTATTTGAAAGGATCTAAGCCAAACATCAAGAGTGTTAGGCTGGGTAATGGAGTCAGCGACTTATCTACATATTGTACTTTTAAAAATGAGTATGCGGGGCCTCCCTGGTGGTGCAAGGGGTTAAGCACAGCACTGTGAAGCTATCCACAGTCTCTGCAGCACGAGTTCAATCCCTGGCTGGCCAGGAGCTACCCACATGATGCAGCAGACCTCTCCTGTCTCTTCCGCTGCTCCCCTCAGCAGTGTATTTTAGTCAGTCTGCCTGTTCTCTTCCCCACTCTGTCTCTGGTGAATCCTCTCACTCCCTGCACCTCTGGTCTATAACCCCAGTTCCTGTATGCGTAAGTAAACAAATCTTTAAAAAAAAATAAGTATGCACTACATATGCATTACAAGATTCAAATATACAGTAATAACTGGCAAGTATATTATTTCTTTATCAGTATCTCTCCAAATGTCAACTCTAACTCCACCTTAAGTTTTCACATTAAATTGTTAAATTGAAGAAGGAAGAATATACATGCTTCTGTCTTGCCCACTGCTCCCCTCAGCAGTGTGTTTCAGTAGATCTGCCTGTTCTGCTCCCCACTCTGTCTCTGGTGAATCCTCTCACCACCCCCCACCCTTCTGGCCTGTACCCCAGTTCTTATACATATAAACAAATCTTAAAAAAAAAAAAGAGTATACATGCTTATGAAATGTAGGCAGGAACTCAGTTTAATCCTCCTTAACAATTTATAACCAATCAACTGTGTGGGGACACCAGATAATTAACTAGTTTGAGGTATAAGCAAAATATAAACCATAGGTTCCCAAATAACCCTTGCCAGCTACTGCTGGCTTGCCATCTTTTTACCTAACACAAGAATTAGATTGTTTAGGGAATGGATTTATCCCTGGAAAGACTAATATTTATGGGGAATATTCAGTGAAATTATTCCAATAAAAAAATTATTTTTGAATTTAGAACAATCTCTTTCCACTTCAAATGTAGATACAGTCCTGGGATGCAGTCTGTTTTTACCCCCAACCCCCAGCCCTCTGTGGGAAGCAGTCTAGTTGCTAGTCTCCAGTGGGAGACTATCGCAGCCTATAAGGATCTCTTACACTACCTTAAACTTATTGGCTGAGCGGCCTTGAGGGTGCCATTTAATTTTCCTGGGTTTGTTTTTCACATGTAAAATGAACAAATTAAACAAAATAATCTCAAAGGGTACTGCCCCCCATTAAAATCTCATGACTCTAAATAACTATTTCAGCAAAGCACGCCTATGGACATCAACAACTAATCCCCACAGCAAGTACTTACAGGCACATGAGATAATTTAAGAACACTTTACATATAAAATAGCTGGAAAAGCTTTGGTTAGTGTCTTTATATAACTTGGCAGTGTAATTCCTACACCACCAAATCAAAAAGAAAAACTACCAGAGAAAGATTAACATTGCAGCTCTTAATATTATTAAAACATTTTATAATACTAAAAACATTTTATAATACTAAAAAAGAAAGGTAACTTCTACTTTAGTTGTCCAGACACTCCCCAAAACAAGAAATTCTGGGGTTCAAAGTATACAGCAATAAGGAAAAAAATGACAGAAGAAAACTAATTTTAAACAAAGAAAAAAAATAACAGAAAACCCTGTGTCTCAGTAATCCCAAATCTATAGATCTCCCTTTTAATTCCAAGGCAAAGAGGCTGCTCTTAAGGAAACCAAGAAGTGACTAACTCTGGGCACTGCCCTGCTTGTATTGAGGGACAACACTTATAATAATGACCAGACCCATCAGGCATTCCCAACACTACTTTCACCTTGAGAAAGGGGCTTTCTTTCCAACGATGCTGACACTCTTGGAGATCCCTCCAAGAGGAAGGTCAGAGAACAGACCCCTTCTTGAGGGACAGAGAAAGAAAAGCATTTTACAAGATCTCTAGACAAACTGAAAGTGGGGCAGACCATACACTAATAGGGGCCAGTTTTCTCAAGATCTCAAACAGCACCAAGCACTATTTTCCTTTAACTCCCTTTACTGCACGCAGAAAAAGGATGCTTGTCTCCACCTGGAGAGTGAAACAGTGAAAATGCTCCTAATTTCTACTGACAAAGACTCTACATGAAAGGTTTTCATTTCTTTTTCTAAGGAAGAGGAGAAAAGAAACCATCTGCGCCACTCTAAATATACAGCAGAAAGAGTCCTCCTTCCAAAGGTATAGTGTTATCTTGGGAGGGAGAGCAAGAAAAAAGTTGGGCTTACTTTTCGGGGGTTGGAGGGGCAAACAGAAGGAAGCGTTTCCTTCACTAGAGCTAGCAGAGGGAGTGGGAGAGGACATCTCTAACCCCTCAATAAGAAGTGATGGCTTCTCTGGACAAAGGAAAGACTGGCTTCGGTATCAAGTCTCCCCCCTCTACAGAAATAAGTTTGTAAAAAGTCTTTTTTCCTGATTACTCTAAGTGTTAATTTGGGGAATATGGCGGGTTCTAAAAGTGGAGGTGCTACTCCACCCCTGGGGGGGAAAGTCCTCTTTCTTATGAGAAGGGTTGAGGGGGGCCGTGGGGGGAGTAAACATGGAAAAAGGCCTCTCTGTTAAAGATACTAGTTTTTGTCTTTTAAACAAATTAACAGGAATAGCAATAATTTACCAAAAGCTTACTATGTATTAAAAACACGCACACAAATCCTCTCTTACCTCTCCTGGTAATTCGCTAAAGAGTACCCAAATCAGAGAAGGGGTAACCAAGACTGAGAAAGCTTAAGCCATTAGTCAAGGTCACAAAGATGCGAAGAGGGAGACACGGCTTGCAAGTACCCCACTCCAAACGCCATGCTCTTAATTGTGCAACAGAAAGGAGCTCGCTGCACACCGAGAGACCTCGGGGAAGAGGAGCGAGGCTCCCTCTGTGGACAAGACTGGGGGAGGGGAGAAAGGACGATTTCTAAAACCATCAAGTAAATTCAGAGTCTTCCTCGGTATCTCGGGGTAAAGGTGAGCAAGGAGAGACGCTAAGTCTCTTTCTAACAGGAAAGTAAGACCCCACCCCCCAACCCCCGCCTCACTTTTCGGCAAGTTGATGGTCGCTCTTCATCTGGGGGGCGCTGACCAGACTGGGGTAGGGGGAGGTCTTGTTTAGCGGGTATTTCTCTCACTCCTCCTTAAAAATAAGTTCAGAATCGCCCTCTCCGATCCCGGGAGAGGCTCTCCTCCTGCTGACAAACGCACCGGCGCTGGGGCAGAGCGTCCGCCCACGACGAGGGGCGTCGTCCTACCGGAGGAAGAAAGTTGGGGGTCCTCGCCATATCGAGGTGAAAGAGGACTCTCTCTCCCCCGCCGAAGCCATGACTCGGAGAAACCGTCTCCCTCTTCCGATGCAGGGCTGGGTCTACGCTCTCTCCACGGGTCGCTCCGCGGCCGACGGCCCAGCCTCCGTCCCCTTCGGCAGCCGGGAGGGGGGGCGGGGGGCAGGGCTCCCCTGCAGCCTGCACCGCCCGGCGGAGGGTTCCCTCAGGGTGGATGGGGCGGGGCGGCTACGCCCGAAACCTTCCCGCCCCCGGCCTCTTACCCTGAGGCCTGCTCCGCGGCCCGCGCTCGCTCGGCCAGCCCAGCCTCTGCAGCCGCAGCCCGGTCGCCGCCAAGTCTACCTGAGCCTACTGAGCCAAGAGAGCCCGAGGGCGCTCCGCCCGCCACCGCCGCTTCGTCTCTATGGTTCTCCCCCCAGTCCCCTCCCCCCGCACTTCCTTATCCGGGGCCCAAGCCAGCCATGCGGGTTCGCCCAAGTCCCGCCCCCGCACGGCGCGCGCGCACTCCTAAGGGCGGCTCTTCCCGCGTTCGGCCCCCCGCCCTCTGCTAGCCGTCGCGTCCCTCCGCCCCCCCCCAGCGGCCTGGATTCTTAAAGGGAAACACACCTATGGCTTGCCGGTGTGAGAGCCCAAGGGCCTAATGTCTGTTTCCACTGCCATCACTCTGGTCCTGCCCACGGGTTTTCTGGCCTAGATGGCTACATCACTAGCGTTCTCCTAGCTTCCTCTCTGGCAGCCCAAGAGATCTTTTATAACTGGAATAGGTGTTTTAGGTAATGTCACTCCCCTGCTCCTTACAATCTCACCGACTAGTAAATCTATGTCAAATCTGATCTAATCCTTTACTGCACCTTGTTTTTGCAACAGGGTGGTCCCCAGGAAAGGGGGAGGTTCCCTGCCCCACCCAAGGGAGGGTGGAGCTGAGCAGGAAGAGGAGAAGCTGCAGAAGAGACTGAGGAAGTTTTGTGTTGATGCGGCGGATGGCAGAACCCATTTAGAATAGGCAGGTTTGCGGGGCTTGGGCTGCCCCTCTCCCTGTCCTATAACATTTTGATTTCTTCATAGCTTTAACGCAAGCTGAAATTGTCCTGTTGCATCTCTTGATTGATTCATTTACCGTCTGTCTTCCACCCCCCACCGTTTTGTTCGCTATTCTTTCTTTACTAGACCCTTAGCATAGTGTCTGACACAAGCAGACATTCAAAAGACTTGATGGGAAATGATGCTTACCTGGGAGGAAATTGAGATTCAGAGAATGGAATCAACTTACCCCAGATCACACAGCCTTGTCTTAAAAACAGAAATCAGTTATTTCTTGGATCTTATCAGTTTAGCTGATTAGAGAGGTAGGGATTTGGAGGTTTAAGGAGAGATTTTAATTTTTTTTAAAGATTTATTTTTATTTATGCACAGAAGAACTGGGGTGTAGGCCAGAGGTGTGGCAGTGAGAGGATTCACAGAGACAGAGTGGGTAGCAGAACAGGCCCATCCACTGAAATACACTGCTGAGGGGAGCAGCAGGGGAGATAGGAGAGGTCTGGTGCACCATGTGGGTTATTTCCCTGGCTGGAGATTCAAATCATGATTCAGGACTGGGGTGACTTGATTGTCTGAGACTTTAACCCCTGCCCCACCAGGGAGGCCTGAGATTTTAATTATTTCTTCTCTGATCAAGGTATCTCTGAGTTAGTCAACATGAGGATCATTTTGGGCTGAGATAGTTGTTTTCCCAGCATTAGTTAGGACTGAGTCTTAAAAATCCAAATGCCAGTCCTATTGTCTTCAGCCCTTGCAAGTCCAAATAATGTCCATAGCACTTACAACTCATACATAGGCCACTACAGATACTGTTGGGATGCATTAAGTAGAAATTCACTTTAAAATATTTGCAGTTTTCACTTTCTTGAGTACTTTCTCTGGCAACTACACACCCATGGTAAGGGGATTTGAGAAACTCAGTATTACTGGTTTGTTCTTCATCCTCAGGCTCTGATACAATTCTGCACAGCACCATTACTGATCTTGTCTTTTAAAATGTGTTCAGAGCAGCACTCCCTCTGCCCACCTGTGCCTATGCTGGTGCTTTTTTCATCAGCTTTCTCCCACTGCAGGGCAGCAGCCTCCCTGCCTACCGTGACCTGTACCTGCTGGGACTTTTCCTCACTGACCTCCCTCAGTGGAGGCCTCTCTCCACAAGGCCGCCCACCTGCAACCATGCAGGCCTCTCAGCAAACCTGTCCCTTTGGGGCACCTCTTCCTGCCTGCTTGTGTCTATGCAGGTGTCTTTTACTCTTCCGTCCCTTTCCCTAATAAACCTGCCTTTAAATATAACTAACTAACCGTCTCTGTCTTGTGGAGAAACCTGCCTGGGGAACTCGCCGCATGCTGCTGAAATGTGAGCTCTGGTGACACCTTTTCCAGAGTGAACCCAAGGACCTGGCACTCCAAACCCACAGACTCCAAAAAACAACAGTGATGGTACACGAGTGACTTGATGGTGGGAATTTTATGGGGACTACACCTGAGAGAAGAAAGCAAACATTTTTCAAAAATGAATGCTGATGTAAAATATATATAAATAAATAAATTTTTAAAATTAAAAAAATGTGTTCAGAGAGGGTGTTTGTACTGATTTTTATTTTTAAAACTATTTCATTAAACATTATGAGGTTTTGTCACCCCTTTAACATTTTTGTACTCTAAGGTGACAGCCCCAGCCCTGCTCTTAGTACTATATTAGGCACAAGGGTTCAAAGATGCTTCATTTTTATCATTAGATTTCCTAAACATTGAGGGGAGCTAATTTCCCGATTCCATGCTTTGGGTTAGCTAACCATACTCTAGATTTACTAGCACTTTAAATTTCTTTAACTACAAACACCTAGTGTAACATATTCCTCATCCCATTTGAACCTTGTGAAGGACATGTACTTTTGTTCCTATTGATAGGGGAGAAATTTAAGAAAAGAGACTTCTCTTGTGCAAAACCATGTAGTGAGAAACAGGCAATCCTGCAGGTGGTTAAACACAGGGATGGATGGATGGATGAGCCAAGGCACTTGGCTCCCCAATCTGGGGGCTACCAGCTCCAGCCTTCCCTAACCTTGCCCAGCTTTAGACCGCTAAAAAAATAAATCTCAGTATTTGCCAAGTTTTTTTAATGAGACTCATCAAATTTAAAAGTGAAATATTTGCATTTCTAAGATACGACAACAATTATGACTATCTCTCAGGAGAAGGAATCACATTCCCCTGCAGCCAAAGAGAGAATCCCCTTAGCTCTCCCTTTGGGGTGGCAGGACTTCTCACCAGCCATTAATGTTAGGGGTAGAAAAGAGTCTGCGGGACCTGGGTATGTATCCTCAATTCACAACATAAATATCTTTTACATTTTACAATTTATCCGGGAAAACTGTTGTCACTGTTGCAGGTCACCTGTGTTTTTCTTCAATACAATATATATACACACACGCATATATTTAATAGCTATTTACCCTCTGAATTCTAAAGCAAAAGCACCAATGCATAAAGAAGCTCTTGTCTTGCTACAGGGTTCCCTTTGCCCACTCCTAAGTCGCTGTGTGGCATGGATGTTCTTTTCCTTTCAACACTGGACAAATTCTGAAAACCATAAATGAATTAGATGGAGCCGGCAACTTGTCGGGAGCCCTTGGTCAGCTTCAGCCTACGCAGCTCTGACTCCTCCAGGAAAGATGTACCTACAGACAGCCTGAGCCCATGGGTGAGAGATTAGGCTGCTGCTTAATCACTCAGCCTTGGGATCCAAGCTGGACGCGACCGGGTCAGGATCCATCCTTGCTTCTTTCTGAGGAGTTTCGTGTTCCTGTTATAGGGCAGCCCCGATATTGAACGGGTTGCCTGGCTGTGGGTCCTCACCCGCACGCTTAAAAGGGACTTATTAATACTCCACTACAGGCACACACAAAAGGTTAATAAAAGGTTTATTTACAAGGGAAAAGGAAATAAGGAAAATGTACAACTCAGGGAGGAAAACAGGGAAATAAAGCCTTTTAGGACATCCTTTTCCCCCAACATCCCCAGCCTCCCTGTCACCCAGTAGAGGCCTGCCCTTTATAGGGACGTCTGGGAAAGCTCCAGTAACTATTGTTATCATTAGCTACAGACAAAATCATTCGGGGTTTGGAAGGGGGTTTCAACAGCCCCTCAAAGTGGCTACTTCTCGGCAGAGACCGCCGCACGTGCCTCCTACGGTTCCTCCAAAAACCAGTTTGTGTCCCCCAGCAGCCTGGGAGGCCAGGCGAGGGTCCATAAACAGCCTGCACAGATCCGGGGACACGGGCCCGAGTTTGCCCTGTTGCGTGATCTCTACGTCGGAAATGCAGCTCTCGGGCACGAAGCTATCTCAGAACTTCTGAGAGGACAAGGGGACAAGGACTTCCTTTCTAGGGCCGCAGCCCCCCATGTCCGCGAGCGGGAAAGGCCGGGAGCGGCGGGAGGAGGCCACCCGCGACGCCCCGCCCCCGGCGCAGGCCCCGGATGGGGAAATGGCGTGGACACTGAGAGGAGGCGGAGGCCGGGCCAGAGCGGCCCGGGGCGGGGGGGCGGGAAGGGGGCGGGGCCCTGGGGCGGAGCCACCCGAGCGGCGCGGGTTCTCAGGTGAGAGCGCTCGGCGGCCGAGGCGGGCCGGCCGGCTCCTGGGGCTCCCGGGCGGAAGCCGCGGGGGCTGTGGGGGCGTAGGCGGGCCGTCCGGAAGAGGCGCGGGAGCCCCAGCCAGGGTCCGGCCCTCGGGCCCCGGGCCTGGCGCGGGAAAGGGCTGTGGAGCTGCGGGTGAGTGGACCTGCACGTCCGGGCCGGGGTTTGGGGAGCGTGAGGAATGGGGCCGCGACCCTGGTTCGAGTCCTGACCCCACCCCCATTCGGCTGTGTGACCAAGTTCAGTTCCTCTCTGAGCCTCAGTGGCCTCGGCTGTGAAGTGAAAGAGAGGGAGGAAGCAATCACTAGGAGTTTGTATATAGATGAAGATTCGGAAGCGAACCTCTGCCCTCCAATTTATACTCATCTTGCACTGGATATTGACGGCAAAGCGTGACCGGTGGGAGTCCCTCTCTGTATGAGTGACCTTGGGCATGTCCCTTGGCTGGCCTTCACTTTCCTCATCTAAAAAAAATGAGTGCGCTCACCTTTTTTAAGATCTCTTTGATATTTGGCTGTTTTGATTTAGAGTCTAGGTAACTAGTGCCCCGCTCGCTGTAAGTTTCCCTTTGGGGTGTAATAGAGCATCTTTTTGGCAGTTAGCTTCCATCCTGAGTGAGTGATTTCATGCAAGTGTGGGTGCCACCTCTCAGCTGATTAACACCAGTGTTTTCACTGACCTGAAATCATAAAGCATTTATAGGGAAAAATCTGATGTTCCAGTCTTTTTGTTTGTATTTCAATGACAGGGAGGCAAGATGACTTCTCTCCCCCAAGCTTGGAACAGCTGAAGGAAACCACGGAGCAAGATGAGAACAACAAAGGTCTACAAACTTGTCATCCACAAGAAGGGCTTTGGGGGCAGTGGTCAGTATTGATTGGTCTTTGGGGGTTGTGTAAATTGGCTGAGTTTCTGGTGTGTCCAGTGCCTTGAAAATTACACCCTGACTCATGTGACTTTCAGAAGCTAGACAGACTACTTAACTGAGTGAAGCAGCAAATATAATACAGTAATTGGGAGGGCAGTAGGGCCAGAGAGCACAGGCTCCTTCTGAAAAGCATTTCCTTTCTGAGTTTTAAGAAACGTTATGAATATTGCCAGTTTACTATTGGTGTGTTGTAGTTTTGCTACATGTTTTCTGATTAAAATTCCAGCCTGCACTAGTTTGGCAGATAAGAGAAACTTAGATTTAGTGAGCGAGAAGGCGTAGATGTACGTGAGACAGGTATGATCAAAGAGTGAACCTTTGCCTGGCTCCAAGGCATAGTGAGAAGGGGCAGGACACAGCTTGTTGTCTTGCATTAAACTAGAATCTGGAGTATCAGCTCTGCTGCTAACTTTCCCTGGGACCTCTAGCATACCCCCATCTACAGATTCAAGTGCTATAAAATAGTTTCTCTTAGCATCTGGCGAGCACTTAGTCATGTGATTTCCTTTTCTTTTGTAAAGGAATAATTTCCTCTTCTGTTCTAACAACCAGAAATTGGAATTAGCAACACTACAAGTCTTTTTAAAATTGTATTTTAGCATGTATTTGCTCCTGTGACATGTATGTATAAGTCTTACCAGGGAAAGGACTGCCCAAAAGGGAAAACAATAGTTTCTATATCATAAGGTGTTGCATGGATTAAGTAAGATGATGTATGTAGTCTTTAGCAAAGAACTAGGCTGGTTTGTGCTGTGCAATAAATGTAGCCATTATAATTAAGGAACAAGGCTATATCAGTGATTGCTATATTTGAAACACAATTTCTGCTAAAACAGCAGTCTGTTGGTGACACTATACTTTGTATGCAGTTAATGCTCCCTAAACAGTTTGGAGTAGAATGAATGAATAATAGAGGTAACTTTTGACAGAGGAAAAGATATAAGGCTACAGTATATACAGTTGTTTATAATGTATGCAAATTTCTTGTACATGTGTACAAGACAGGTAGCTACATGCTGTACCTTCCTGAAAGACTATAAATAAGAATGCACCCAACAAAATTAGGTGCATACCTGCCCCATATATAGATTATGAGTGCAGCAAGGTCCTTGGTCTCTGAAAAGCTTTTAGCTTGATGAGAAATGTGCAAAAAAGAAATGATAAAGCAGAATAGAATCCATGCTCAGATTGCTCATTTCAGGTTATTGAGGTTTGGGGAGAATTTTATAGAGGATTTGGCATAAAGCTCTCAATGGAAAAATATACCAAATAAATTTTGGGATTAACCCAGTGCTTTGTTTTACTACACTAAATTTTTTTTAAAGATTTATTTATTTATGCATACAAGAGCTGGGGTGCAGACCAGAGATGCAGGGGGTGAGAGGATTCACCAGAGACAGAGTGGGGAGCAGAACAGGTAGATTGACTGAAACATACTGCCAAGGGGAGCAGCAGGTGAGACAGAGGTTTTCTGCGCCATGTGGTTCATGTCCCTGGCTGGGGATCGAACTCGTGCTGCAGTGGCTGTGGATAGCTTCATAGTGCTGCATCTTAATCCCTTGTGCCACCAGGGAGGCCCCTTGACTAAATTTTTGTGGGGTCTGATTGCATTTGAAATCTGCTTATACTTATTTGTCATGGTTTTAGCATAATTAAAGGCCATTTCTTGCCCCCAAAATTAAAACAGAAAACACCATTCCACCTTTATGATTCTGAATTTATTATATTTGTGAGTTCTTCCCAACTCCCATTGGGAGGTAGAGTAGATAAACTTAGGAAATCATGTCTTTGCTATGGGGTCTTATTGGATCCTAATGTGAACTGATATCTGACGTTTTCCCCTGATGGGGTGCTGCCCTCCAAAGTCTATTGCATTTTATTTGCCTTGATTTTTTATGACATGTGAGAAGTGGTGGGTTTTAGGAGGAGGAACCTGGACTAGTAATGAGTCCTGGGTGGGCTATTTATTACCAGCTGTGCACCCTTAGGGAAGTCACCTCATTGCTATTGAGGTTTTTTCCTCTCTACACCATGATCCAGTAGATCCAGAGACTTAATGTGAGGGTCATATTAAGACAGTATTTGGGGAATATTTTTGAATCAGGTTGTGCTAAATCTGTGGAACCCAGGCTGTTCTTTGTATATGCTACACACATGATTTTTTTAAAGATTTATATATTTATGCATATAAGAACTGGGGTATAAGCCAGAGGTGCGGGGAGGTGAGAGGATTCACCAGAGAAAGTACTGAGCAGAACCGGCAGATGTACTAAAATACACTGCTGAGGGGAGCAGCGGCTGGGGCAGGAGAGGTCTGTTGCGCTTTGTGGCTTGCTTCTTGGCTGGCAGAGGATCGAACTTGTGCTGCAGTGGCTGGTGATAGCTTGATGGTGCTGTCTTTAACCCCTGTACAACCAGGGAGGCCCCACACATGATATTTGAGGGAGTAAGGAACTCTCAGAGGCCTAATTCCAGGAGAGCAAGGGCTGTTTTTCCCTGGGCACAGTGGGCTCTGGGAGACAAGGGTACCAGAATGCTGTCATGCTGTCCCACTTAGCTGCCCACCAGCAAATTTAGTTGATCCATTAGTTGAAATGGAATGTCATTTGTGAGATGAAGTAGTAATACCAACCTGCTGGGGCCGGAAGGACCCAGGGTGAAAACACAGCAACCTGTTACCCAAATGAATGTGCTTTCTGCTTAAGGTTGCTGAATTGTTTTTCAGATGATGAGCTAGTCGTGAATCCCAAAGTGTTTCCTCACATCAAACTTGGAGATATTGTGGAGATTGCTCATCCTAACGATGAATACAGGTGAGCCTCTCACTTGATTCAGGGGAACTAACTGAGCAGCCTGCTGTTTCCAAATGATTTTTTGCCTAAGGGGCAAAAGAGACTTTTGCCTGTGGATGAAAATGCTTCAGCCCTATTGGATTGATAAGCCAATAATTTGTTTTTAAAGTAGTCCATCCTTTCTGTTTCCAAAACAGAGAGGACAACTCTGAAAAGTTCTGTAGCATTTATCCATTTCCTTGAGCACAAGTACAGAGTTTCTTTGTTTCTAAAGGAAGCTTTTTCCCATTGCTGTGCTATAGTTACAGTGTGTCCAGAAATGGATTTGTCTCTTTAGGGGGCAAAGAAAGCTGGTTAGTTACTGCCTAGTTTCCCATGGCTTTTTTGCTTTATTTTCCAGCCCTCTGCTTTTGCAAGTCAAGTCACTTAAGGAAGATTTACAGAAAGGTAAGAATTTCATGTGGCTCTCTGAGATGTTTGCCCCTTACTGTCCCAGAAACTGCAAGAAATCTCTTCTCATGCTCTTAGGGAATAAGGATACACTTATACTTCTCTCCTTCTTTAATTGTGTTAACTCTTTAAAAATGGTCAGATAACAAAACTGTCAAGGCATCTCATTTGTCAGCATCTTGAGAGTGCTGAAATAACTATATTTAGGTTTAGGATAAAGATATCTGAAAAGGTAAAGCTTTACACTTAACTCCAAAAAAAATTATTGCCAAAAAGTGCTTTCCTATGTATATTTTCCCCCCAAAATTTGTTAAGTGCCTATTGAGGATGGGGTGAGGAAGGGACACATTAATCATGGCCTACCACATGTGCAGGGCATGGGGACCTTTTTGTCATCTCTCTTTATCTTTCCACAAACTTTTTTTTTCTTTGCATAGAAGGACTGGGGTATAGACCAGAGGTGTGGAGGTGAGAGGATTCACCAGAAACTGAGTGGGGAGCAGGCAGATGGATTTACTGAAATATACTGTTAATATGTGGGTTACCTCCCTGGCCAGGGTTCAAACTAAGCCTTGATGGTGGCAGTGCTGAGACATAACTTTAGGCCACTAGGGAGACACCCCACAAACTCTTGAGTGAATGAGGAAACAGTCTCTGTGACTTACTGACTTGCCTGAAGTCAGTAAGTGTGGGAGGCCCAGCTATGGTTCTACTACTCATTTGGATCCAATTCCTTTCTGTTTTTTCTTTAACAACTATGCCACGCCCATTATGGAACCAATAAGTTAACTGACAGCAAATAAGATAAATTCCTTAAATAGTATTTAAAATAAAGAAGACTTAATTTGCTCTAAAGGATTTTGATGTCCACTTTATATTTCAACTTGATGGACGAATACTATCTATAGCCTAGATCCTAAAAGTACCCAGACCCTAAAAGTACCCATTCCCTCATCTCATCTTCTGTTAAGTTTCTTACCAGACTTAAGGCCTTTTTGATGGCTAGGGGTTACGTCTTAGAGCTATCAACACTAAAGCCTAACTTTGATCCCTGGCCAGGGAGCTAACCTACTTATGTCGCAGCAGACCTCTCCTCTCTTGCCCGCTGTGTCCCTCTCTCAGCAGTGCATTTCAGTCAGTCTGCCTGTTCTGCTCCCCACTCTGCTCCCCACTCTGTCTCTGGTGAATCCTCTCACCCACCTGCACCTCTGGCCTACACCTCAGTTCTTCTATGCAAAAAAAAAAAAAAAAAAGTTTCTTACCAGACTTAAGAGCTCATTGAAAAGTGTGTTCCTTCCTTAATTACTCCCACTACTCTCAAATGAGAAAGGACCTCTTTCCTCTTCTGTGTTTTTATAACCCTTTGAAAGTTCTAATTTCTTCCTTTTCTCTCTATGTGTCTCTTTCCCTGTTTTCCTCTCCCATTTTTTCAGTTGCTTAGGCTCAGGTCTTATTTCTTCTGAAAAGAGAACTCCAGATTTTAAGCTCTTGGAAAGCAGAGAATATGTCTTACCCATGGCAAATGATCAGTTGTATTACTTGCTGAATGTCTGCGTATTTAGATTAGAATATATTTACCTGATTTTTCAGAATGTTACCTGATGCAGATTTCTTTTCTGTTCCAGAAACTATCAGTGTAGACCAGACTGTAACTCAAGTTTTTCGTCTAAGACCTTATCAAGATGTTTATGTGAATGTTGTAGACCCTAAGGTATTACTTTGTTCTGGACATGAATATCTTTTTTTTTTTTTTTAATATTTTCTCTTGTCTCTGGCTTATCTTTTCATTTTCTTTTTTTTTAAAGATTCAGTTATTTATTTATTTATTTATACAAGCACTGGGTACAGTCAGAAGTGCGGGAGGGTGAGAGAACTCACCAGAGCCAGAGCAGGGAACAGAACAGGCAGACTGACGAAATACACTGCTGAGGGGAGCAGCGGGCGGCAGGAGAGGTTTGCGCACCATGTGGGACCCTTACCCGGTGGCCAGGGATCGAACCGGTGCTGCAGAGGCTGGGGGCAACTTCGCATCCCAGCGCTCAACCCCTGCGCCACCGGGGAGGCCCCCTGGACATGAATATCTTTTTGCAATGATTAGCACCCTTTCTCAAGATTAGGTCTCTAAGGAAATAATGAGTTACTTAAATACAGTGTTGGTCTATTAAATATGTGATCATATATAGGTAACTTCAGTTATAGGTAGTATGTAGGTTGCATTTAAGCCTCCCTCCCCCTTTTAAAGTACGTCTTTAAAAAATTTGGTATATATGTATTTATTGACGTTGTGTAGGGAAATAAAGCTCACAACTCAATATCATGTTTCTTTAGCAGAATCAGGATTACAGACAGGACTGGTACTCTTTGTACTAACCCCTGGTACAGCTGCTATAGAATCTGCTGTAGACTTATCTATCCTTGAAAATGGTCCTTTGACAGGAAAAAATTCTGTTTGTTAGGGTTCAGCTTTCAAGTGGGCTTCTAATAGGTTATTTTTTTTTTTAACCAAAAGATTTCTTTATGATGACTGGACTTTATTGTATAACTATGCGGGTGTGTCAAAGTAATGGAGAGAGATTTTTTTACTATCCTTTTTAGGATGTGACCCTTGACCTAGTGGAATTAACCTTTAAGGATCAGTATATTGGCCGAGGAGATATGTGGCGACTGAAGAAAAGTTTGGTAAGATTAAAAAAAAAAAGCATTATTTTTCCATTATATTAATAATCCATATTCATAAGTAGATTTAGAAGATTTAATGGACGAATAAAAGTTTCTAATTCTGTCATCTACAATTATTGCAAATACTTTGTATATCTTTCCATAAATATTTTTTGAGCTTTCTTTATTTATGGTCACAATTTTTTACTTTACATTTTAGATTTGAATAGGAAATTATAATATTTTACCTTTGGTGGGGACTTTCATTTTCAGATTTTCACTTGTTCCTCACATCTCCTTGTGGAGAGGTATTTGTTTATAATTTCTAGATGTAATTTATAAACTATTTTCCTAATTTATAGGAAAAGTGAGATTAAGAATTTAGGTGATTTTGGATCTCCCGGGTGGCACAGGGTTTAAGTCTCAGCACTGTGAAGCAATCCACAGCCACTGAGGCATGAGTTCAACCCCCAGCCAGGGAGCTGACCCACATGGCACAGCAAACCTCTCCTGTCTCACCTGCTGCTCCCCTCAGCAGTGTATTTCAGTAGATCTGCCTGTTCTGTTCCCCACTCTGTCTCTGGTGAATCCTCTCGCCCACCAGTTCTTGTATGCATGAATAAATAAAAACAAATCTTTAAAAAAAAGAATTTAAGTGATTACCCAAGTCAAGACAAGAAAGGTTGTACGTAAGCACTTGACACTGGCCTAGAATCAAGGTCTTGTTGCTTCTGGGTTAGACTACTTTTTGCTGTGCACTCCTCCAATTTTCCTTATTCATTTATTTTTTTTCAGCATGAGCATTTGCCACTTAAAATGATCAGTTCATTAGAACTGTAAACTAGTACTGAAAATTTTCCATATAGGAGTTTTTGAGTATTACAAAATAACAAATTATAGGTGGAATTTCCATACACTCATTTTCATTTTTTATTTTTTTTTTTTAAGATTTATTTTATTTATACAAGAGCTGGGGTACAGGCCAGATGCGCAGGAGGGTGAGAGGATTCACCAAAGACAGAGCAGGGAGCAGAACAGGCAGAAAGACTGAAATACTCTGCTGAGGGGAGCAGCAGACGAGCCAGGAGAGGTCTGCTTGCCATGTGGGTTGCTCCGAGGCTGGTGGGGATTGAACTGGCACTGCAGAGGCTGCGGACAGCTTCACGGTGCTGCACTCAACCAACTGTGCCACCAGGGAGACCCCATACACTCATTTTTAGGAAAAAAATCTTTGTTCATTTTTTTTTTAAAGATTTATTTATTTTTTATTGATTTATGCATATAAGAACTGGGGTGTAGGTTAGAGGTGCAGGGGGTTGGGGTGTGAGAGGATTCACCAGAGACAGTGGGGAGCAGAGCAGGCAGATCTATTGAAATACACTGCTGAGGGGAGCAGCAGGCGAGACAGGAGAGGTCTGCTACGCCATGGGGTTACCTCCCTGGCTAGGGATTGAACTCATGCAGCAGTGGCTGGTGATAGCATGATAGTGCCAGGATGTTAACCCTGTGCCACCAGGGAGGCCCTCTTTGTTCATTTTTTTATTTGGTGGGGAAGGGTTCTATTTTATAATGTGAGAAATAAATGTTTTATTTATAAGCGAGATATATAAAGGTAGGTGAAGGTAAGTATATTAGTGAAGTTGGACTCCTGTTCTTTACTATTTCTGCACTTGCCAAGCTCTTGAGAATCTATTGTTCTTCCTGCCCAACAGGTTTCTCTATGGGACAAATTTGTGACTCCCATGTTAATTGAACTTTGGATTATTAGAAAAGATTGGAAAGTCAAGAGACGTTTGTGACTTTTTTTAATGGCCTTAATGTGTTGAATCTCTCTCTCTCTCTCTCTCTTCTCCTCTTAGGTCAGCACATGTGCCTATATCACACAGAAGGTGGAATTTGCTGGCATTAGGTAGATATTATATTACTTTTGACTTATTAGCAAGTAAATGGGGGTAGGGTATAGTGCAGTAATGGGGCTGTATTAGGCATTAGAGGCATATGGATTTTCATATAATAAAGTACACAGTAACTTAAAACTTTAGATTGTTGGAGTTAAAAGATTCAAATAAACAAAAATTCAAAATGCACTGTAGTATTCTTAAATGAGTAGAAGTTATTGAAGCCACCTAGTATTCTGGAACAAATGAGTAATAGACTTAACAATTTCACAACTGAAAAAAAGCCTTAGGTGACTATATTTAATGAAACCTCATTTTACGGATTAGGAAACAGATTTGGAGAGAAAAAATAGCACAAAGGTTCTGATTTGCTTCTTTTTAAATTATATTGTGTTGCTTATGATTTATTAAAATTATTTCTGTATTTTAGTTTATGAAGAATAGAGAAAAAAGGACTTTTTGAAATCCCTCTTAAATTAAAAAAGCCCAGCAGTTACATAGTAAAGTCTTTAAGCAGCACTAAATAGTATATAATGAGACATAAATCCTTCTTCTGAGAAGAAACTTGTGTTATTCCTGAAATTTACTATATCAACACAAGCATATTTACACCTGCTTGACTCACTTTTAGTGACACTGATAGTGGCTGGTGGGCTCCAGTAATGCAGTGTAGACCCCCATTATGAAGTTCTCTATCAACTTCTCACCTAGTGAGAGAGTGATAATTGTTGCAGGAGTGTGGTAATTTTCTAGGTCAGCCATCTCATCTACATTTATTAGCCAAAATCTTCATAAAGAACTTACTCATTAGCAACAAGGGTCATTTACGTTGAATGATTGATCCTGAAAGGATTAGTTTTTTTTTTTTTCCTAAAGGGATTTTTAAAAAGATGTTGTAGGGTCAAAATTCTTTAGGAAAAAAAATAGTCTTAGCAACTAAAGTACAATACAAGAAGGAACCTAAGTCTTGAGCAGAACAAGAAATGCAGTTAGGTTCATACCTTCTACTAAAAGCTAGTCTCTCTGAGGTGGCAGGCCAGAATCAGGAAATCTGTATATCCTGCTGCTGCAATGCCAGTGATTAACAGGAAAGTGTGTGTTGAAGAGATCAGGGGATCTTGGAGTCTATTCATCTGAAAATGAATTGTTTGCTTTAAAATCTCTTTCTGTAAAGGACCATGGTAAATATATTAAACTTCGGGTCATGTGGGTCTCAGGTCTTTCTTGCAAATTATTGTCAGTTCCTGTAGAAATCATTCTTAGTTGTGAACCTTGCAAAAACAGGAGATGGGCTGGATTTGGCCTCCAGTCTATAGTTCACCCTAAACCTTCTTTCCTTCTTAAATTCTTTTTTTATAAAGATTTATTTTATTTATTTATGCATATAAGAACTGGGGTGTAGTCCAGAGGTGCTGGTACTGGCGGGGGGGGGGGTGTATGTGTGAAAGGATTCACCAGATATACAGTGGGGAGCAGAACAGGTGCATCTACTGAAATATACTGCTGAGGGGAGCAGCCGGCGAGCCAGGAGAGGTCTGTTGGGCTATGCGGTCAGCTCCCTGGCTGGGGATCTAACTCATGCTGCAGTGGCTGTCAATAGTATCATAGTGCTGAGACTTTACCCCTTGTGCCACCAGGGAGGCCCTCCTTAAATTCTTTCTGTATGTCACTACTCTTAGATACAAAAGCATTAGATGGAGACTGAAAACCCTGAGATGATACAGTTTTAGACTTTTACAGATGTCCTAATAATATACTGCCCCTAGAGGCGTTGCAGATGTGGCTGCTGTGCCACATGTGTGTCATTAGGTGGCAGAGAGAAGAGAGGCTTGTCTATGTCCAGCGTTCTGACCTGTGAACCTTTGGATGAGTGCCAGTCCGACATTGTGGGAAAAAAATATGTTCTAATATTTTGCTCATTCATGGTTAAATGTAAGCCACACAGTTGTCTGCCATTTATAATCTTCCTATACAGAATCAAAGGTCACTTTTTTTTGCTAATTACCTGAAGGCACACAAATTAAGAAAAAAAAAGATGCTATGGGGCCTCCCCGGTGGCGCAGCGGTTGAGCGCTGGGTTGCGAAGCTGCCCGCGGCCTTTGCGGTGCCGGTTCAATCCCTGGCTGCTCCCCGGCCACTGGAGGAGGGTCCCGCATGGCGCGCAGACCTCTCCTGCCGCCCGCTGCTCCCCTCAGCAGTGTACTTCGGTCCTTCTGCCTGCTCTGCTCCCCGCTGTGGCTCTGGTGAATTCTCTCACCCTCCTGTGCTTCTGACTGTACCCAGTGCATGTATAAACAAAACAAACAAACAAACAAATAAATAAATAAAACATGCCTCTATTTTTTAAAAAAAAAAAAGATGCTATGGATCTCATACAGGGAAAAATGGTAATTGTGTAACTAGAAGTTGTTATTATTAAAGAATTTCTTTATAACTTAGCCTTTTAAACTGGTAATGTAGTAAAAAGTTAAGGGTATATGAAAGAATTTCACTACTTTGGGTCCCTGCCTTTGAAATAGTCTCTTTTCTTAAAAGATTAACATTTGATTTTCTTTGGATCATCTCACCTCTCCCACCCACCCCCCGCACCTCTGGCTTATACCCCAGTTCTTGTATGTATGAATAAATAAATCCTTAAAAAAATGAATGAGTGGTTTCACCAGAGACAGAGTGGGGAACAGAACAGGTAGACTGACTGAAATACACTGCTGAGGGGAGCAGCGGGCAAGACAGGAGAGGTCTGCTGCGTCATATGGATAGCTGTCTTGGCAGCCAGGGATCGAACTTGTGCTGCAGAGGCTGTGGATAGCTTCACAGTGCTGTACTTAACCCCTTGTGCCACTAGGGACTACCCTAAATAAATAAATCATTAATTCCAAAGGGCACCTGCATCCCTATGTTTATAGCAGCACTATTTACAATAGCTAAGCTATGGAAACAACCCAAATGCCCAAAAATAGATGACTGGATCAAGAAGATGTGGTACATATACACCATGGAATATTACTCAGCAATCAAAAAAATAAACACATGCAGTTTGCAGCAACATGGATGGAGCTAGAAGGGATCATGCTCAGCAAAATTAGTCAGAAAGAAAAAGAAAAATACCGGATGGTCTCGCTCATAGCAGGAATTTAGAAAACCTAAATAAGGGACCAGGAAAAAGACTAATTAATACAAAGTGAAAATCAAAATCAACAAGCCACTATAAACCAGAGACTCACGACGGTGGGGGGGCGGGGGAGAGGAAAGACTAGGGTCAAAATAAGGGGGGGATGTAATTGTATGGGGAATATAACCAAAATGAAAATGCATACATTGTGCAAAAATGAAAAATGATGTAAGAATTACATAAAATAAAATATTAATTAAAAAAAACAAAATGTAAAAGAAAAAAAAATCTTTAAAAAATAATCTTGGGCCTCCCTGGTGGCGCAAGGGGTTAACCACTGCACTATGAAGCAATCTAAAGCACAAGTTTAATACCTGGCTGCCCAGAAAATTTAGCATATCATTTCAGAGGATTCATGGATTTCCTGAAGCCTACCCTTAGACCTAAACGTCATTTGTGAACTCCTAGATTAAGAGCTCCTGTTGTACAAACTCAGTATGCTCTCTGGATATCTTACCTGGCTGGGTCTTTTGGGTGTAAGGTATTTTTTTTTCTTTTTTTTTTAAGATTTATTTATACAAGCACTGGGTACAGTCAGCAGCGCAGGAGGGTGAGAGAATTCACTAGAGCCAGAGTGGGGAACAGAACAGGCAGACTGACGAAGTACACTGCGGAGGGGAGCAGCTGGGCGTGGCAGGAGAAGTCTGCGCACCATGTGGAACTCTTGCTGTGGGCAGAGGCTACGGGCAGCTTTGCAGCCCAGCGCTCAACCGCTGCCCACCAGGGAGTCCCTTTTTCTTTTCTTTTTTTTTAAAGCATTTGTAGGGCCTCCCTGGTGGCGCAGTGGGTTAAGCACAGCACTATGAAGCAATCGGAAGCCTCTGCAGCACAAGTTTGATCCCCAGCCTTCCAGGGAGCAACCCACATGGCAAAGCAGACCTCTCCTGTCTCTCTGCCTGCTCCCCTCAGCAGTGTATTTCAGTCAGTCTGCCTGTTCTGTTCCCCACTCTGTTCTGGTGAATCATCTCACCCCCTGCATCTCTGGCCTGTGCCCCAGCTCTTGTATGCATAAATAAATAAATCTTTAAAAAAAAAAGCATTTGTAGATTTATAGAGATTGAGCAAATAGTACAGAGTTCCCTTATATCCCTCTTCCAATTTCCCTCACTATTAGCATTTTGATTTTGTGTGGTTCATTTGTTGTAATTCATTAACCCATATTGACACATTATTAACTAAGTCCATAGTTTTTGTTAGGGTTCATGCTTTATGTTGTATATCTCTCTATATTTTTATTTATATACTTTTCACAGTGTTATTCATTCTCCTCTCAGGTGTAATCCCCATAAAATTACCACCACTGAGACATCTGTGAACCATTACCATAATCTCTTGTGCTCTTCCCTCCCATGTTTTGGTCCTTCTCCTTCTCCCTCCCCAGCTGAATGTCTCTGATTTATTGTTTGCCTGCTGTTCCCTGCCCCCCCACCACCACCCTATCCCTTGTTTGTTTTTCCTATGTTCCTTCTATACATGTTCCTATGTTCTTTTATACATGTTCCTATGTTCCTTCTATACATGTTTCCTATGTTCCTTCTATACATGTTCCTATGTTCTTTTCCTATGTTCCTTTCCTATGTTCTTTCCATGCAATGTTCTCCTATTTCCTTCTGACTTATTATACTAAGCATAATGCCTTCCAGCTCCATCCATGTTGCTGCAAATGACATGAGTTTATCTTTTTTGATTGCTGAATAATAGTCCATTGTGTTTATATACCATATCTTCTTGATCCAATCATATGTTTTGAGGCATTTAGGTTGTCTCCATATCTTTGCTATTTTTTTAAAGGTTTATTTTTACTATTTAAACATATAAAAACTGGGGTGTAGGTCAGAGCTGCAAGGATGAGAAGATTCACCAGAGACAGAGTGGGGAGCAGAACAGGCAGATTGACTGAAATACACCACCGAGGGGAGTAGCAGGCGAGACAGGAGAGGTCTGCTGCACCATATGTGGGTTAGCTCCCTGGCCGGAGATCGAACTCAGATCCTCTCTGTGGTAGCACTGAGACTTCAATTCCTGTGCCACCAGGGAGACCCTATCTTAGCTATCGTAAATAGTGCTCCATCTTTTGGGTATAAGTAACAGAGTAGAGCAAAGCATCCAGAAGTCACTCCCATTTCTTCTTGGTTTTTGTAAGACTTGTAATAACTTGTGTGTGTGTGTGTATCCTTTCAGGGCACAGGCTGGTGAGCTGTGGGTCAAGAATGAGAAGGTCATGTGTGGTTACATCAGTGAAGATACCAGGGTAAGATTTATGAAATGCTTTTTTGGTTTTGTTCTCCCATACCATAATGTCTAAGTCCTGAAATTAAAAAAACAAAACAAAACACAAAAAACCCCAGAGAAATAAGCAAAACATTGATAATCTCATGATTGCTACTATCTGCCCAGTAGGTAATATTGTCAGGGACCCCCCCCCAATTCTAATCTTTCACAGTTGGATCTTTCCAGTTTGGGGTTGATCTTCATTTTCTGCTCATATTTAATCAGAAGATGTAGAGATAGTGTGTAGCTTGCAGGCTCCTAAGCCCACTAATCCATTACAAAAGTGGAAGATTGTCTTAGTGCTCATGAAGAGAAATCTTTGCAAAGGAATCTCCTCCTTCCAAACTCTGTTCTGACTGGAAAAATCCAAGCCTAGCCACTGTGAAACATCACCCATGCTGATGAAACCACCTCTTTGCTCTTCCTTGTTCCCATCTCTCTCCCTCCTTTGACAGCAGTGGTTCTCAACTGGAGGAGATTTTTTGCCTCCCTAGGGAACTTTGGCAATGTCTGGAGACACTTTTTGTTGTCACAACTGGGTTGTGTGGAGGATGCTACTAAACATGTTGCAATTTTTAGCACAGTCTCTAGAGCAAAGAATTATCTGGCCCCAGATGCCAGTAATGTCGTGGGGGGTTGTTGTGTGTACATTGTGGGATGTTTAGCAGCATCTCTGGCTTCTACTTAGTAGATGCCAGTAGCAGCCTCCACCCACTACCCTCCAAGTCATGAAAACCCAAAATATCTGCAGATATTATCGACTGTCCCCGGGTGAGAACCAGTTCCCTTTAAAGGTAGCCACTAAGTACATATTTTATCTTTGAAGTATCCTGTTGTTTGCATTATGTTAATGCATATATATTTTTTATTCTAAACACTATTTTTTGTTTATTTTTGTACTTTGTTAAAATGAAATAAAAATGTAGGTAGCTTTTTTTTTTTTTTTTTCCAAATATATCACTTCTTTTTTTTTTTTAAGATTTATTTGTTTACACAAGAACTGGGGTATAGGCCAGATGTACGGGCGGGTGAGAGGATTCATCAGAGACAGAACGGGGAACAGAACAGGCAGACGGACGAAATACACTGTTGAGGGGAGCAGCGGGCGAGACAGGAGAGGTCTACTGCACCATGTGGGTTTCTCCCTGGCCGGCTGGGATGTAACCCTCACTGCAGAGTCTGTGGGTAGCTTTATAGTGCGGTGCTCAACCACCTGAGCCAGCAGGGAGGCCACTATGTAGCCTTTTTTAGCTGACTTTTTTTGGTAACCAATGATACATGTTTTATTTTATTTATTTTTAAAGATTTGTTTTTATTTATTTATGATTGCTAGAACTGGGGCATAGGTCAAAGGTGCGGGGGTGAGAGAATTCACCAGAGACAGAGTGGGGAGCAGAAAAGGCAGATCTACCGAAATACAGATCTACTGAGGGAAGCAGCGGGTGACACAGGAGAGGTCTGCTGTGCCATGTGGGTCAGCTCCCTAGCTGGGGATCCAATTCATGCCCCAGTGGCTGGTGATAGCTTGATAGTGCTGAGACTTTTCCTCCTGTGTCTCCAGGGAAGCCCTAATACATTTTTTGATCTATAATTAGTGTGTTTTCTGGGTAATACGTTATACTTTACAAGATTATAAAATTGTTTCTCAATTTTAGGAAAATTTATATTCCTTGTAGAAATACATAAAATCATCAGTTGTTTTTTACTTTTTCCAGTATTTGGTATTAGATTTTAAAACATTTGCAACTGTAATGAGCATACATTTGTGAGGTGCACAGTATTTCAAGCAGAGGAAATAATTGTGAGAGGACATTGTAACAAAAGCATAAGTGATGAGTAGGGAGAATGATGTCCCTGAGGAGGTAGAAAGATTCCAGAGGGTCATGTAGGGCCTTGAAGGCTTTTGTAACTAGTTCAGAGTTTATTCTTATTCTTTCTTTCTTTCTTCTTTTTTAAAATTTTTGTTTACTTTTACATAGAACTGGAGTATAGGCCAGAGGTGTGAGGGTGAGAGTATTCACCAGAGACAGTGGGGAGCAGAGCAAGCAGATCTACTGAAATACACTGCTAAAGGGGAGCAGCAGGCCAGACAGGAGAGGTCTGCTGCACCATGTGGGTAGCTCCTTGGCCAGGGTTAGAACTCGTGCCTCAGTGGCTGGCGATAGCTTGATTGCACTGAGACTTTATTACCTGTTTCATCAATTAGTTTTCCAACCCACAAAGATTAGATTTAATAAATTTAAAGGAAAGGGAGTATGTATGACTGCAATTTATTTTTACATAGACAAATTAAGGTAGACTAATTGTTGCATGAAGGGATGTATAGATGGTGATAGGTAAATGACAAAGTAAATGTCAAGTATAGGATCTAGGTATTTTAAATACAGAAAAAGTTCTAACTAGAATGTAAACTAACATTCTAGTTAAGCAGAATTAACATGAAGCTTTCAAAGTATCTTTGGAAGACATTCAAATATAACAAAAGATTGATTCGCTTAAGGAAAAATAGGAGGGCCTCCCTGGTGGCACAGGGCTTAAGACGCAGCACTATGAAGCTATCCGTAGCCACTGCAGCACAAGTTAGATCCCCGCCAGGGAGCTGACCCACATAGCCCAATAGACCTCTCCTGGCTGGCTGGCTGCTCCCCTCAGCAGTGTGTTTCAGTCAATCTGCCTGTTCTGTTCCCTACTCTGTCTCTGGTGAATCCTCTCACCTCCCCTCACCTCTGGCCTATACCCCAGTTCTTGTATGCATACATAAATAATTAATAATTTAAAAAAAAAAAAAGAACAAAAGGAAAGCAAACAGCCCATTTAAAAGTGAGCAAATGGGCCTCCCCGGTGGCGCAGAGGGTTGAGCACAGTGCTGTGAAGCTGTCCGCAGCCTCTGCAGTGCTCGTTCGATTACTGCCTGGCCATGGATATTCCCACATGGCGCTGCAGACCTCTCCTGTCTCGCCCACTGCTCCCCTTAGCAGTGTACTTCGGTCCTTCTGCCTGTTCTGCTCCCTACTCTGTCTCTATTGAATTCTCTCACCCTGCCACGCCTCTGGCCTATACCCCAGTGCTTGTATAAATAAATAAATCTTTTAAAAAAAAAGTGAGCAAATGGTTTGAATAGACATTTTTCCAAAAAAGTATACAAATAGAATATATACAAGTGGCCAATAAATGCAAGAGTAGATACTTAGCACTATTAGTCACGGGAGAAGTAAATCACGACCTTGATGAGATAACTTCAGACTCACTAATTTGGCTATAATCAAATTTAAATTTTTATAAAGAAAAATAGTGAGTGTTGGTGAAGATGTGGAGAAAGTGAAATCCTCTTATATCCCTGGTGGGAATGTAAAATGGTACAGCCATTGTGGTACGTTTTGGCAGCTCCTCAAAAGGTTAAACATTGAATTACCATGGGACTGCATTCTTAGGTGTATACCTGAGAGAATTGAAAATATTTATGTTCACACTGAAACTTATGTGACATACACATCTTTGTGGCAGTATTGTTCATAATAGCCAAAAAGATGATACTACCCAAAATGTTCATCAGCACATAAAGTAAAACCATACAATGGAATGTCATTTAATTTAAAAAAAAAAAAAAGGGATTGATTCATGCAACAAGTATGAAAGAAGCCAGTTATAAAAGAAGTGTTCACAGTGGATAAATCCATAGAGACAGAAAGTACATTTGTGGTTGCCAGGGGAGCAGGTAGAAGGAAGTAACTGCTAATGGGTATGTGGTTCCTTTTTGGAGTGGAAATATTCCGGCATTAGATAATGGTGATGACTGCATAACATTGTGAAATATGCTAAAAGTCCTTGAATTGTAGATGTTAAAATAGCAAGTTTTGTTATATGAATTTTATCCTAAAAAAAATTAAGCCACAAAAATGGAAGGGACCAAAAATGAGGAGGATAATTTAAATATAACAATAACTGACATTTCTATAGTTTCAGAGTAGAAAACATTTAAAGAAACTGTCAAGTCCATTACTAAAAATAATGCTTTATGTATTTATGTACATGCTTTATAAATACAGAGTGTTACCCAGATCTAGAAATGTATCTTTTTAATCAACTTACAAAAATGGAGTTTTCGTACAATAAAACACATTCATTTTAAATGTGTAGTTTGATGAATTTTGACAAATGTGTATACTACCACCACGATGGTCTAATATAGAACATTCACATTGCCTCAAATATTTCCCTCATCTCCCTTTGCAGCCAAAGGTCTGCTTTTATCTCTAGAAAAAGTTTGCTAAAAGGTTAGCTTTAAAAAAAAAATCAGCCTTTTTTTGGTGGTAGGCATGGTGTGGTAACATACATTTGGACATACACTGTACTAAAACATTTACGGTGCTATGAACCAGGGTTAGCTCAGTTTTAAAAAATTAACTTTTTAAATTATAAGATCATTGCTTGTTTGTTACAAAAAAAGATTTAGACCATATTTCTCTTCAATTCTCTGAAATGTTTCCCAATTTAAAGATAGGCAAAAAGAAGCAAAATCTCTCATAATGCTAATACCCAGAAATGATCACAGTTGACATATTAAGAGAGATATTTCCTCCACACATTTCTGTGTGTTCGAGAGTCGGAGCGAATTTATTGAGTGCCTTTTATGCCCCAGAGACTTCTGTCTTTAAGGAATGTGGTCTCACATAAACCATTGGTGTGCCAGATGCTTGTATTTTGCTTTCCATCAAACCTCTATGGAGCCTAGAGGCAGAAGGAATGATTGGGAAAGGACTTTGTGGTAAAGCACACAGCCTAGAAATCCACTTATACTTTTCTGGAAGGCATTCTGGGTACAGAGGTATACAATATGTGTCACAGTTTTTTAGACTGGCAACTCATCAGCTGGCACATACTAGGCCAGTATTTTGCATGTTTTTTTTTAATGATTTATTTATTTATGCATACAAGAGCTGAGGTGTAGGCCAGAGATGTACAGGAGGGTAAGAGGATTTACCAGAGACAGAGTGGGGAGCAGAACTGGCAGATCCACGGGAATGCATTGCTGAAGGGAGCAGCGGGAGAGACAGGGGAGGTCTGCTGCAACATGTGGGTTAACCCCTTGCGCCACCAGGGATGCCCAAGTGTTTTGCATGTCTTTATCCTCTACTAGAAGCTCCTCACCGCCCAACATGCCAGGGATGAAGCTTGCTTTTTGAAGTCCCTTGTCACAATTAGGAGAATTCTTCCATCAATGCGTGTGCGTGGAGGGGTACTTGGTGGTAAATGACCTGAAGTGTACCATGTCTATCATTTAAAAATGTGCAGTTTGGTAGTGTTCAGTCTCTGTACATTGTTGTCAAACATGTCCACAGAAGGTATATATCTTAAAAACAGAGAGTGAATACACACCTTTGCTTTTTTTTAAAAATAGATAATTATTTTAAATCAATTAAGGTAAATAGCTTATGGTAACAGGAAACAATAACATGACAATTATAGCAACAGTTTCCATGTTACTAAATCAATTTCTAAAAGAGTGATAGTTTTTACTTTTTTTTTTTTACATTATTTTTTATTTAAATTTTATTTTTATATTCCCCATACAATTACAACCCCCTCATTTTGACCCCAAGCCCTCCTTTCCCCGCCCCCCACCCCCCAGGAGTTTTTCCTTTCATAGCCCCCTTTAGCTTAGCAAACATGAGGATTTCATATTCCTGTTGAACAGCTTCTATTTACTGTTTCATGTTTTTTAACACAGTTATATATTTTTTTTATTTCAGGTGGTGTTCCGTTCTACATCGGCTATGGTTTACATATTTATTCAGATGAGCTGTGAAATGTGGGATTTTGATATTTATGGTACTGTTCTTAAGTACTGGTTGTAACTCCACTGGGGAGAATTTTCTGGTTTCCCTTGCATTGGTATCATTTTACACTAAGCTCTTGACATTCTCTAAAAATGTGTCCTGGGATCTTTGCAAATCCTCAAATGCTGAAATTAATATAAATGTATGTATATAATGAATTCCATGAAATGCTGTATTCATGAAAAATTTAACTTATTGCATCTTTAATTTTTCTGTAAGTCCATATGGGATGAAAAAGAGTCTAAACTAGAAACCAATACTTTTTTGCATACCTTTCATTTCTCTTCCTGTCACTCCTGGAAATCTCCATGTTTGTCTCATTTATTAGAATTATTATATAATGAGGAGAAAGCAGTGATGCTGCTGTGAGGTATGGATAGTGTGTCCAACATACCAGCCTCATGATGTGTGCAGTTCAAATTTTCATTTAGCAAAATTGCAAGTTAATTTTTGCTGTGGGTGATCAATAGCAGGAACTGCAAATGATAATTCAGTGAATGCCTAGGGTCTACCAGATCATCTTCTAGCAAAGTTTAAGCATCACCCTAAAATAATCATATTTAGAGGTCAGGTGGTTCTCTCATTCTGTTTTTTTTTTTTTTTTTTTTAAGATTTATTTATTTATGCATGCAAGAACTGAGGTATAAGCCAGAGGAGGAGGGGGTGAGAGGATTCACCAGAGAGAATGGGGAGCAGAACAGGTGGATCTACTGAAATACATTGCTGAGGGGAGCAGTGGGCGAGATAGGAGAGGTGTGCCAAGTAGGTTTCTCCCTGGCCTGCTGGGGCTTGAACTTGTGCTACAGTGGCTGTTGACAGCTTGATAGCGCTGTCTTTAACCCCTGTGCCACCAGGGAGGCCCGGTCCTCTCTCATTCTGAAGGTAGAACATGGTTTTTAATCACTAAAACTTTTTCAATCTTGGATTTTGCTTTGGAGTCATGGCCTCTTATAGTGGGTGAGGCTTTATCTCCTTCTTTTTTTTTTTTTTTTTTTAAGCTAAGGCTATTTTTTTTTTAGAGGCATGTTTTATTTATTTATTTATTTGTTCGTTTTGTTTTGTTTATACATGCACTGGGTACAGTCAGAAGCACGGGAGGGTGAGAGAATTCACCAGAGCCACAGCGGGGAGCAGAGCAGGCAGAAGGACCGAAGTACACTGCTGAGGGGAGCAGCGGGCGGCAGGAGAGGTCTGCGCACCATGTGGGACCCTCCTCCAGTGGCCGGGGAGCAGCCGGGGATGGAACCGGCGCCGCAGAGGCCGCGGGCAGCTTTGCAACCCAGCGCTCAACCGCTGCGCCACCGGGGAGGCCCGAGGCTTTATCTCCTTCTAAGATACAGAAGGATCTACCTTCTTTCTCATTGGTCCATTCCTTTTACTTTACTAAGAGAAGAAATTGTAAACAAGAAATAAAGATCGGGGCCTCCTCTGGTGGTGTAGGTGGTTGAGTGCAGCGCTGTGAAGCTGTCCGCAGCCTCTGCAGTGCAGGTTCCATCCCGGCTGGCTGGTGAGAATCCCACATGGCGCGGCAGACCTCTCCTGCCTTGCCCACTGCTCCCCTCAGCAGTGTATTTCAGTCAGTCTGCCTGTTCTGTTCCACGCCCTGTCTCTGGTGAATCCTCTCACCCTCCCACGTGTCTGACCGACCTGTGTTCCAGTTCTTGTATGTATGAATAAATAAATCTTTAAAAAAAAAAAAAAAGATCATTCTCATCTTCTCATTGTTTCTTTTCAGGAGATCTATATTTTGAGAAAGCTGTGAATGGTTTCCTTGCTGATCTCTTTACCAAGTGGAAGGTATGTTTCTTCTTGCACCAAATGTTATTGATCTAAATCTCAATCCATTACTTAATGCAGATTTTAAAAATACACTATTTCTATTGAGCTGTCTTTAATTGAGATATATTAGGTAAAGCCTAAATTGATGAAACTCATTTAAATTGCCTTAATAACCAGAACATGATAAAGGCCATTTATGAAAAAAACCACAGCTAGCGGTCAGACTCAATGGTAAAAGACTGAAAACTTTTCCCCTTAAATCCAGGAACAATAGAAGGATGTCTTCTTTTACCACTAGTGTTCAATGTTCTAGCCAAAATAGTTACACAAGAAAAGAAAGTAGGAAGCATCCAATATTGTAAAAGAAGTAAAATTGTCTCTACTCACAGATGATATATCCTTTATGTAGAAAATCCTTAAAACCCACAAAGAAGACCTAATAAATGGACTCAAAAGTTTTAGGATGCAAAATTAATACATAAAATCAGTTGTTTTCAGCAACAATGAACAATTCAAGAAGGAAATTAAAAAATGAATTAATTTTTAAAAAGGAAATAATTCTTTTTACTGGAGCATCAGAGAGAGTAAAGTTTTTTGGAGTAAAGTGTGCAAAATTCGTATACTAATACCTATGAACCATTGCTATAAGAAATTAATGAAGACCTAATTGAATGAAAATCCACCCATGGTGCTAAAAGACTTAATATTGTTAAAATGGCAGCACTACCCAAAGCAAATCATCGCAAATGTATACACTCCCTGTCAAAATTTCGGCGACCCTTTTTTTTCCAGAAATGGAAAAGCTGATTCTAAAACTTATGTGGAATTGTAAGGCATCCTGAATAGCCAAAACAACCTTGAAAAAAATGAACAAAGAGGACTCTCACTTCCTAATTTTAAAACTTACTACAAAGCCAAAGCAGTCCAAACATTATGGTACTGGCATCAAGATAGATACACAGAATAAAATTGAGCATACAGAAATCAGCCCATGAGGGAAAGCACAGTCTCTTCAACAAATGGTTGAGACCACTGCATATTCATATACAAAAGAATGAATTTGGACCCTTACCTCACATCATATGCAAAAATGAACTCAAAATGAATCAAAGACCTAAATAGAAGAGCTATTTGAGGGCACATTATATGGTAGAAAAGAGCTGGAGTTTGTGTGAAAGCAGGCTTGACTTCTGCTTTGATTAGCTTTTTTAATCTTTGAGAAGTTTTCTGTCTCTCTGTGTCTGTATTTCTTTATCTGTAAACTAGAGGTAATAATATTCCCTACTTTAAAAGATATTTTATTTTTTTAAAGATCTATTTATTTATGCATACAAGAGTTGGGGTATAGGCCAGGGGTGTGGTGGGGTGAGGGGATTCACCATAGACAGTGGGGAGCAGAACAGGGGATCTATTTAAACACCCTGCTGAGGGGAGGAGCAGGTGAGACAGGAGAGATCTTATCCTCCCTGGCTGGGGATCAAACTTTTGCTGCAGTAGCTGTGGATTGCTTCATAGTGCTGATGTTTAATCCTTGCGTCAGTAGGGAGGCCCCTTTATAAGGTATTTTTAAGTCTCTTCATGTAGTAAGGTCTCAATTGGATCTAGGTCTCCTGGAATAGAAGTCCCATTTTCCTTTTTCAGCAGTGTGGCAACAGTGACCTTCAACTCTGAAGGCTAAAGAAATATAATCAGATGCTTGACCTTAGAGAGCTTGCAGACCTAGGGAGATTGGATTTGTGTATCTGGAACAACAGCAAACCATGTGTTTTAGGGCTTGCTTTAGAATTTAGCTTGGAAGGTTGAGGAAGCTTTGAATGGTTGTGAAGGAAGACAGCGTGTTTCAGATAAAGAGTATGAACAAAAGGGTGAACAGGGTATGAGTGCAGGGTATGATCTTTTTTTTTTTTTAATTTTTTTTTTATAGAGGCATTTTTATTTATTTATTTATTTTATTTGTTTGTTTTGTTTATACATGCACTGGGTACAGTCAGAAGTGCGGGAGGGTGAGAGAATTCACCAGAGCCAGAGCGGGGAGCAGAGCAGGCAGAAGGACCAAAGTACACTGCTGAGGGGAGCAGCGGGTGGCAGGAGAGGTCTTCGCGCCATGTGGGACCCTCCTCTGGTGGCCGGGGAGCAGCCGGGGATGGAACCGGCGCCGCAGAGGCCGCGGGCAGCTTCGAAACCCGGCGCTCAACCACTGCACCACTGGGGAGGCCCGTGGGGTATGATCTTAATTGACTCCATAGAAGGCTTCTGAGGAAATAGGTAATAAGATTGTATTAGAGGGATAGGGTCAGATCAAGCCAGGCTGTTTGAACATGATTTGATAAGAAGTGGGACCTATAGATGTTCTTGAGTAGAGGGTCAATGTGATGAAAGCTGGAATTTGAGGAAGAGTAGTTCAGTAGTCAGGGGCAATTTGGTGAATTTTCAGACTAGAATTAAGCAGACCAGCTAGGAGACTTCTACAGTCCTGTGGCTGAATAGGGTGAAAGGAAGCCTTTGTGTCTGCCTGTGAATGGGCCTGAAGGAAAATGCATAGTAGGGGCTGCCTTAGGGGTGGGCACAACAGATGGTCACCTTGGGTCACATCATGGCTATTTTCTTTTTTTTTTTTTTTTTTTTATTTTTTTTATAGAGGCATGCTTTATTTATTTGTTTGCTGGTTTGTTTGTTTGTTTTGTTTATACATGCACTGGGTACAGTCAGAAGCGCGGGAGGGCGAGAGAATTCACCAGAGCCAGAGCGGGGAGCAGAGCAGGCAGAAGGACCGAAGTACACTGCTGAGGGGAGCAGCGGGCGGCAGGAGAGGTCTGCGCGCCAACATCATGGCTATTTTCAATGTTGTGTCCATAGATGTCTTTTAGCCCAAGAGTCTATATGTATATGTGATTAACTATAGGCATAAAATAACACTATAGTCATTAGTTTGTAGGGCTTTGCTCTTATGGTTTCTTTTTCAAAATCAAGGACTTAATTTTATTTTATTTAAAAATTTATTTTATTTATTTGTGTATATAAGAGCTGGGGTGTAGAGCAGAAGTGTGAGGGTTGAGAGGATTCACCAGAGACACTGGGGAGTAGAACAGGCAGATCTACTGAAATACACTGCTGAAGGGAGCAGTGGGTGAGAAAGGAGAGGTCTGTTGCACCATGTGCGTCAACTCCCTGGCCGGGGGATTTGAACTCGGTGCTGCAGTGGCTGACGATAGCTTCACAGTGCTGAGACTTAACCCCTTGCGCCATCAGGGACCTCTCCAAGAACTTAATTTTAAAGCAAGAGCTTGAACATGAAATAATTTTCTGTAACTACTCTGTATTGATTTAATGAGGTAGGTGAAGTTTGTTTATTCTTCATATATTCTATTTTGAGTAACTTATAGCTCAAATCGTGGGTAGCACAATTGAGTAGGGGAGCTTATGAATTCATTTCTGAGTTCAAATAATGGCAGTGGCCATAATAGGAGTAGTCCTAGTTATTTTTTCTTTAAGATTTATTTATTTACAGGCCAGAAGTGTGGGGGGTGAGAAGATTCACCAGAGACAGAGTGGAGTTCAGAACAGGAGGAATGACGAAATACACTGCTGAGGGGAACAGCGGGCAAGACAGGAGAGGTCTGCTGTGCCATGTGGGTTGCTCCCTGGCTGGGGATTAAACTTGTGATGCAGTGGCCTTGGCAGCTTCATAGGTTGTGTCTTAACCCCTTGTGCCACCAGGGAGGCCCCTAGTTGATATTCATTGAGTATTTTGACATATCAGGTATCATGTGTTTTATCATTATTATTTTACTTAATCTCATGTCCCTATTACACAGGCAGGAAAAGTACAGCTCACAGAGGTTAGGTAACTTTCTCATAATCAATAGTCTGTGAAAGCAGCATGAGGATTCTAATCCGGTTCCATCTCTTTATTCAGAGCTAGCCTGAGGTCATAGCCCTGTGCTCTCCTGTGGTACTATAATCCCAGGCCATGTCACTTCTGCTCTATGTTATCTCACATGAGCCCACTGTAAGGCGTTTTTCCTATATATCACTTATGCCAAAATCAGGTAAGTTTGGAGCTGAGTTTGGAGCACTGGGAGTCCAGTGAATTAATTAGGTGACTAATAAAGGTCTGCTCTTTCCTCATACTTTGCTTTTGGTACCATGGCTTGTACTTAGGAATTTCTGTCCCCTTGAGATATATTTGTGAAACACTGTAAGGGGGCATGTAATATACATTGTGCTGCATATTTACATGGTAAATGCTGAATTGTGTAGTCAGTAAGTACAGTTACATTAGAGATGGGGTTGGTTAGTGTAAGCTTTTGTCTTTTTTTTTAAAGATTTTTTTTTAAAGATTTATTTATTTATTTATACAAGCACTGGGTACAGTCAGAAGCACGGGAGGGTGAGAGAATTCACCAGAGCCAGAGCGGGGAACAGAACAGGCAGACCGCAAAATACACTGTTGAGGGGAGCAGCGGGCGCGGCAGGAGAGGTCTGTTGCACCATGTGGGACCCTTGTCGGAGGCCGGGGATTGAACTGGCGCTGCAGAGGCTGCGGGCAGCTTCGCAGCCCAGCGCTCAACCACTGCGCCACCAAAGGAGGCCCAAGATTTATTTTATTTTTATGCATACAAGAGCTGGAGTACAGGCCAGAGATATTTGGGTAGGGGTGAGCGAGGGGGTGGTGAGAGGATTCACCAGAAACAGAGTGGGGAACAGAATAGGCAGATTGACTGAAATACACTGCTGAGGGGAGCAGCGGGCGAGCCAGGAGAGGTCTGCTGCACCTTGTGTGTTGCTCCCTGGCCGGGGATCAAACTCGTGCTACAGTGGCTGCAGTTAGCTTCATAGGTTGTGTCTTAATCCCTTGCGCCACCAGGGAGGCCTATAAGCTGTTGTCTTTAAAGACCTAAGAAGAGGGCCTCCCCGGTGGCACAGCGGTTGAGCGCTGGGTTGCGAAGCTGCCCGCGGCCTCTGCGTCGGTTCGATCCCCGGCTGCTCCCCGGCCACCGGAGGAGGGTCCCACATGGCGCGCAGACCTCTCCTGCAGCCCGCTGCTCCCCTCAGCAGTGTACTTCGGTCCTTCTGCCTGTTCTGCTCCCCGCTCTGGCTCTGGTGAATTCTCTCACCCTCCCACGCTTCTGACTGTACCCAGTGCATGTATAAACAAAACAAACAAACAAACAAATAAAAAAAAAAAAAAACATGCCTCTATTAAAAAAAAAAAAAAATCTTTTAAAAAAAAAAAAAGACCTAAGAAGAACTGAAATTGAGCTTGCTGGCTCACTGGTGCAAGCCAAGTTCCATGCTATCTTTAAACATCCTACTTCTAGAACATTGATCTCCAGATTCCATGAAGTATTTATTTTCACAAATCCCCATCTCAGACCAAAGGTAATTCACTGCTTTCACTTTAATCCCTGTATCCCAAACAGCCCCCATGACAGTGGTAGGATGATTCTTCTATCCACCACCATGGGTTCTATTCTTATTTTCTAAACGGTAGTTCAGAGAAATTAAAAACCTTTGAAGAGGCACAAATCATGATCCTCTAATGCTGAGCTCACCTGTTTCATGTCAAGTCAATAGACAGGAGATCGCAACCCATGCTTACTGGTGATTTGTAGTTCTGAAAGCACTTTCTACATTCCTGGGACTTTAGGTAACTTGCCCAAGGTCACGTAGTGGTAAGTTTCAGATCCAGGACTCAGTCCAGGTCTTCTGACTCCCAGGCATGCTCTGTCCACTATGTTGTGTAACCTGCAATTACATGGCATCCAATAGTGTGTACTGTTGCTAAACCTAGAATTGAGACCATTGTGTTCATGTAGGCTGCTTCATAGTGATGAAATAAAACTGAGCCCTCTTCTCTACTCATGCCTAGGAGAAGAACTGTAGTCATGAAGTGACAGTGGTCCTATTTTCTAGAACTTTCTATGATGCAAAATCTCTTGGTGAGTAAGCCTCCTACAGTTATTTTTGATGAGCTTCTCCTACCACACCTCCAACCATTCTGTGTCATTTTTTTCCTTTGCATTACTTTATCTTTCTCACTTGCTCTGTTATGAGAATGGGGTAAAAAAGAAAATAGCATAGTCCTTTAGTGGATGCAAGAATTCTGTGGGCTATGATTCATTTTAAAACAAACTTAGTTATATAGATATATAATTATCTTTTTTTTTTTCCTGATGCTAATCTTCAACCCAGAAGTGTAGCAGAGAAACGGAATTTCTCTTTTCTTTTTCTTTTTTAAAAAGATTTATTTACGCATACAAGAACTGGGTACAGGCCAGAGGTGCGGGGGGTGAGAGGATTCACCAGAGACAGAGTGGGGAACAAAACAGGCAGATTGACCAAAATACACTGCTGAGGGGAGCAGCGGGCGAGACAGGAGAGGTCTGCTGCACCATATGGGCAGCTCCCTGGCCAGGGATGGAACTCATGCCTCAGTGGCTGCGGATCGCTTCATAGGTTGTATCTTAACCCCTCACGCCACCAGGGAGGCCCAGAATTTCTCTTTTCAATCTGATCTACATGCTTTGTTTTCTCTTGTTCAGATGAATTTCCTGAAATCAGCCGAGCTTCAATTCGACAAGATCATAAAGGTCGATTCTATGAAGACTTTTATAAGTATGTTTGGGTGCTTCACTATGCCTGTCTGTCTGCTTTCCTTTTTTCTTCTTCTTCTATTTTTTTATTGTTGTTTCTTCCCTAGCTTTAAAAAAAAGTTAACCTTTTTATTTTGGAATTATTTAATAGAGAATCAAGTTTATAGAGAAGTCAAAAAGAGTACGGAGCTCCCATATGCCCTTCACCTAATTTTCCTGCTAACATTTTCGAACATTTTTCCTAGTTGGAACTGTGAGATTAGCACTGGTACATTGTTAATTAGTTAAATTTCAGGCTTTTCCCCCCTACATTTTTCCAGTTCAGGCTACCACATTGCATGTAGACTTTCTAAACTTTTTTTTTAAGATTTATTTTTATTTATCTATGCATGCAAGAGCTGGGGTGTAGGCCAGAAGTGTAGGGGTGAGGGTGCAGGGATGAGAGAACTCACCAAAGACAGAGTGGAGAGCAGAACAGGCAGATCTACTGAAATACACTGCTGAGGGGGGACAGTGGGTGAGACAGGAGAGGTCTGCTGTGCCATGTGGGTCAGCTCCATGGCTGGGGATTGAACTTATGTTGCAGTGGCTGGTGATAGCTTGATAGCACTGAGACTTTAACCCCTGAGCCACCACTTTCTAAACTTTTTATTGTGAGAAATTTCAAGCTCACGGAAAAGAAGCATAAATATATAATGAACCCATATTCCCAACACTCAATTTAGCAATTATTATTTTGCCATCTTCATCTGTTTTTTGGGTAAATATTATTTAGAATAAATATAGGTATTATGACATTTTGTTACTATGTATTTCTAAAGAAAAGGTCATTTTCATATATAACCAGTGTCCTCACAGTTAACAAAATTAATAGTAGTAGTTCTATAATGTCCAATATTTAGTAGATATTCACATTTCCTTAATTGTCTTTAAAGTGAATTCTTATATTTGGTCTCAAATCTAAATCTAAATCTTATGTTAAAATTAAAACAATTTACCTTTTTTGTTGACTTAAAGAATTTGGGTCAGGGCCTCCCTGCCCGCAACCATTGCAGCACGAGTTCGATCCCTGGTCATGGAGATACCCACATGGCACAGCAGACCTCTCCTGTCTTGCCCGCTGCTCCCCTCAGCAGTGTATTTCAGTCGATCTGCGTGTTCTGTTCCCTACTCTGTCTCTGGTGAGTCCTCTCACCCTACACACCTCTGTCCTGTACCCCAGTTCTTGTATGCATAAATAAATCAATCTAAGAAAAAAAAAAGAATTTGGGTCTTTTAGAACAGTTCTGAAACTTGAGTGTGCATATGAACCACCCTCTGGGGATCATGCTAAAGTACTGATTCTAATCAGTTCAACACTCGGGGATAGGCCTGAGATTCTGCTTGTTTAACTCATGCCTATGTTTACTCATTGTACTGATCTTTGCTTCACATTTTAAGTAGGAAGGCAGTAGAAGACCGCTTCTGGATTTGTCTGATTGCATCTTGTGGTGGTTTTTATTTATTTTCTGTAAAGCAGAGCTTATATCTGGGGCAGTTTCACTGCATCCCAGGAAAGCTAGTGGGTATCTAGAGACACTTTTTTTTTTTAATTGTTAAAATGGCGAAGGTGGGTGGATGGGAAAGGGAGGTTGTGCAGCTGCTGTCTAGTGGATAGAAATCCAATATGCTGCTAATCAGCATATAGCACCCAGGAAAAGTGGCACCCCTTACCTCCAGGAGAATCATTTGGCTCAAAATACCAGTGGTGCCAAGGCTCCAGAGACTTGGTTAGATTTACACTGAACCTTTATTTATTTATTTTTAAAAAAGATTTATTTATTTGTTTATACAAGCACTGGGTACAGTCAGAAGCATGGGAGGGTAAGAGAATTCACCAGAGCCAGAGCGGGGAATAGAACAGGCAGACTGACGAAATACACTGCTGAGGGGAGCATTGGGCGTGGCAGAGGTCTGTCACTTGGCGGTGGCCGGGGATCAAACCGGCGCTGCAGAGGCTGCGGGCAGCTTTGCAGCCCAGTGCTCAACTGCTGTGCCCCCGGGGAGGCCCTGTTTTGTTTTTTAATAAGATGAAATATACTTAAGTAGAGAGAATAATATTGTGAACCAACTGTGTTCTTTTCCTTTATGAATGTGTTAGCTATTTGGGGGCCTTAGCTTTGGAATTACTTGATTAGTAGAAATGTATATTTTTCTTTTTCTTTTTTTTTTAAGATTTATTTATTTATGCATACAAGAACTGGGGTACAGGCCAGAGGTGTGGGGTGGTGAGAAAATTCACCAGAGACAGAGTGAGGCAGAACAGGCAGATCTGCTGAAACACACTGCTGAGGGGAGCAGTGGACAAGATAGAGAGGTCTGCTGCACCATGTGGGTTAGCTCCCTGTCTGGGGATCGAACTCAAGGGGTGACCTCAAGTGGTGGTGCTTGGCAGTAGCTTGATAGTGCTGAGACTTTAACCCTTGCGCCACCAGGGAGGCCCATGCATATTGTCTTTTAAGACATTTTATATACAACACCTAGTTGTAATTCAGTGTGTGAGAAGGTCCCTGTGCGTGCTCAACATTGATCATTAATACAATCTCAAGACAATTCAATTTCAATCCTGTGACTTTGTGATTTCATTTTTTTATTACATTTCTTTGTTAATGTTTGTTAAAATGCATTGACTTTATTTTTATTTTTTTAATAAATTTCAATTTTTTTTAATTTAATTTTATTTTTTAAAAGATTTTATTTATTTATTTATACAAGCACTGGGTACAGTCAGAAGCACGGGAGGGTGAGAGAACTCACCAGAGCCAGAGCGGGGAGCAGAACAGGCAGAAGGACCGAAGTACACTGCTGAGGGGAGCAGCGGGCGGCAGGAGAGGTCTGCGCGCCATGTGGGACCCTCTTCCGGTGGCCGGGGAGCAGCCAGGGATCGATCTGGTGCTGCAGAGGCTGCAGGCAGCTTCACAACCCAGTGCTCAACCGCTGCACCACGGGGGAATCCCCAAAATGCATTGACTTTATTATTTACTATATGACAAATTCCTTAACTCTGGGGATCCCATCTTCTCCTTTCCTTCAAACCCTGTAAAGGACCTGATGTCCTGTATCTAATAGTTGTTCAATATCTATGTTATGCTACTACTCCTTTCAGGGTGGTGGTACAGAATGAGAGGAGAGAAGAGTGGACTTCACTCCTTGTGACCATTAAAAAACTCTTCATCCAGTATCCAGTGTTGGTGCGACTGGAACAGGCAGGTACTGCATTCATGTGATAGAAGGTGCAGCTGGGAAAGGGTGGAGGCTGGAGCTGGGATGAAGAAGTTCATGCTTGTTTCCCTTTTAGTGATGTGCATAGCTTCTGTTTTTGGTGAGGTTTCTATTTACAAGTGGGTCCAATAGTCCATTACTTATCAGTAAACCCAATAGTGTTCTTCATAGAGCACAGGGGGCTACATAGAATCAGACACCTTCTACTTTTTAAGACTTCATCTTTTATGAGGCATTTTTCCTTCTCTGTTTCTTTGCTTCAGAGGGCTTTCCTCAAGGAGAAAATTCTACCTCAGCACAGGGAAACTACCTAGAGGCCATCAATCTGTCATTCAATGGTGAGTAAGGACAGTAGCCAGGTGTCTTACTTAACCACATGGCTTATGAACTTCTCTTTACTAATGCCCAAAGACCCAGAACTAGCTAATGACACCTCCCCCCACCTGCCCCCTAAATTAATTAAAAGCAATAACTTCTGATTAGATGGTTGTAATGGCTAACATTTAGATCTTAGTTCTCCTGTTGGGAAATTAACTTGCTATTCTGATCTGCTTATTACAGTAACCTCAGAATAAAGAGCTGAGGCTGAGGGACTCTTCCTTGGGCTCTTTGTTTTTACTAAAAACTGTATTTATTATTTTCCACTCCATCCCTCAATTGTTTCTAGATATATATTTTTATTATAAAAGGAATCCATATTAGAATTCAAGTAACAGAGAGGTTTAGCAAGTAAAAATGAAAATCCCCCCACTCCTGTCACTGTCAGTCCTTTTCTGAGAGGTACCATTGTTAACAGCCTGGTGCCATTTCTTCCAAATGTTTGTCCCTGGATTTATGTATTAGTTGAGATACTTCGTTTGCGTACCGCAGAAATTTGAGCACATAAAGCTGCAGGAGGCAGATATTAGATCTCAATGAGGAAGATTAACAAAGGCAACAGTGACACAGTCCAGTGTTCAGGAAGTTCTTAATGTAGAAGAGGAAAGACAGACGTGCACCATTAACTAGGATTCAGGTCAGAATGTGTCCATTACTATAATAGGAAAATGGACAAAATGCTCCAAGAGCACAGAGATGCTTGCCAGTGGTGGTTTCTAAAAAGCTGTGACGTCTTGTTTGGTTTTGTTTCAAGTGTTCGACAAGCATTACATCAACCGCAACTTTGATCGAACTGGACAGATGTCAGTGGTGATCACGCCTGGAGTGGGTGTGTTCGAAGTGGACCGCCTGCTCATGATCTTGACCAAGCAGCGGATGATAGACAATGGTAATGCTCCCTGAGTCCTGCTACATGTGTATGGCCTGACTGACTCCTGTAATGCTGAGCTTGCCCTGCCTTTGAGGGTGCGAGGAGCCACAAAGGTGCTCTGCCCTAGAAATCTGGGCATGTGAATAATGTTAGGTGACACCAACAGCACCATGGTCAAATTGATTTGGGAAAAGCTGGATAATGCAGTTAGGCGGATTCACTAATTGCAGCTTTTTTGTTTGTTTGTTTAGGAGAAAAGAATAAATATAATTATATTCAGAAGATGGGGAATCCATGTGTTTGTGGATTCTAAAGCAAATAGGGTATATCCTAAACAAAGAAAGGGGATGGGGCTTCATGAAGAGACGAGGGGGCACATGGGCTGGGCTGACGAGAGGCTTCGTAGGATGAAGGCCATAGACTGATTGCAGTTTTTAATTTTAGTGGGTCATGTTTATTTTATTTTATTTTTTTAAAGATTTATTTATTTATGCATACAAGAACGGGGGTACAGGCCAGAGGTGCGGAGGGTGAGTGGATTCACCAGAGACAGAGCGGGGAACAGAACAGGCAGAATGACTGAGATACACTGCTGAGGGGAGCAGCAGGCAAGTCATGGTGCAGGTCTCCTGCACCATGTGGGTTGCTTCCTGGCCGGGGATCGAACTTGTGCTGCAGCGGCTGCGGTCAGCTTCATAGGTTGTGTCTCAACACCTTGCGTCACCAGGGAGGCCCAGGATCGTTTTTATCTTTAAAGGGCATGACTGACAATCTTGATTTTCCAAATATGTTTGCTACTAGAGAACCCCTTTGGTGGGGGCTGTGGGTTGTTTCAAGGAACCAGTGTGCCATCAGCCCACCTTGGAAATTTCCTTCAGGTCATCTACCGTAGTGCTCTGCCCGGCACCCCCTTGATGTACCATGTTTCCCCAACTCACACCCCACTCTCCTCTGCCTTCCCCAATTTGATTTGTGTTTTAACAACAATACAGAGTTGGGAAAGAGCATCTTTGTGTGGTGATGGGAGTTGTTTTACTTTTCACTGAGATTACAAGGAGAAAATTCTACCTCAGCACAGGGAAACTACCTAGAGGCCATCAATCTGTCATTCAGTGGTCATTCAATTTGTCATTCAATGCCGTTCAATTCCTTTTTCTTTCGGGCCTTGAAACTTTGTAAGAGGCCTGGTTGTCTTTTCGACAAATCATGATCTGAATGGTAGTCACAGGCTAATTGTCAAGCATTGAAGAGTGGCAGGTGTGATGGGACTTGGTGAAGAGGAAAAAGAAAAGACATCTATTTACTTCTTTGTTGTGTAGGCAGCACTGAGGAGGTTTTAAGTCATAGGATGGCAAGTAGGCTTTGCCTCATAATCTAACCCAGTTAAACAACATTGCTAATAGACGAGAACATTTATCTCTGCCTCTCCCCTCCGCCTCCGACCTTTCTTTGTGTTTTCTTTTTTAGGAATTGGTGTAGACTTGGTGTGCATGGGGGAACAACCGTTACATGCTGTCCCCTTATTCAAGGTAATTCGATTTGGGATTTGTTTACTAAAGACTAGCTTCTGGTGCCAGGTGATCTTGAGGATACCTAAAAAACAGAGAAGTTGGAGCAGTTCCACATCCTGCTTATTTTCTGGCTGATCACTGCACTGACTCTTTTCTCTCCAGCTGCATAATCGCAGTGCCCCTCGTGATTCTCGTCTGGGTGATGACTATAATATTCCTCACTGGATAAACCACAGGTGGGTATGATCTTGATTCATAGCAGATGAAAAACTTCCTTGCCATTTTCTCTTCCTTGCCATAAAATCTTCTGTCAAGCAAATGGGGAAACCAAAGTTCTAACATTTGCTGCAAGTTTTACTACCTGCACAGAAGTAGCAGTAATGTAAGAACACTCTAGTTTAAAAAAAAACAAAAAACAAACATCTTTGGAGGAGTTATTTCCACTATTATTCCCAACTCCAGCTATTCCAGCTCCCATGGACCATAGCAGACCAACCTATCTCATGCCCTGTAGGGTGTGGTGGAGCAGCATGCCTGGCCTCTAGCCACTAGATGCCAACAACTCAGATCCTTTAGTTGGATGTGACAATTTGACAAAAATGTCTGCAGACATTGCCATGTGTCCCCTAAGCAGCAACTCCTTGTCCTTCCTCCCCACTCCCATTGAGAATTGCTTCTTTAGAACAATATATTTTTTTATAAATTTTCTTTTATTTATATATTTTTTACATCATTGTTCATTTTTAAACAATGTTTGCTTTCTCCAACCCTGCAGGTGTAGTCCCCATAGAATTTCCTTCACCAATGCACCCGTGCACCACCACCTCAGTCCCCTGAGCTCCTCCCTCCCTCCCTCTGATCCCTCTCCCTCCTCCTCCCTGCAGGATGTCTCTGGTTTATGATTGTCTGTTTTTGTTTTTTTGTGTTGTGTTTTGTATTGTTATTATTTATTGTATTGTTATTATTTTGTATTGTTATTATTTTTTCCCCTGATGTCATTGCTCTTTTCCTCTGATTCTTCATGTCTATTTGATCAAGACTAAAACAACTGACAAGTGAGGCGTCCTCTCCCACCTCTTTCATTTTGCATGGCAGACACCTGTATCTCAGTTTCACTTCTGAACCCTGTGAACCCTAATTTGAAGGTCTTTCCACCTGTCCTCTCCCTTTCAAGTCCCTGTTAAAGACTCAGCCCCGGGCCTCTCCTGGTGGTGCAGCGGTTGGGCACTGGGCTGCGAAGCTGCCTTCAGCCTCTGCAGCGCCGGTTCCATCCCTGGCCACCAGCGAGGGTCCCACGTGGCGCAACAGACCTCTCCTGCCACGCCCGCTGCTCCCCTCAGCAGTGTATTTTGTCAGTCTGCCTCTCTGCTCCCTGCTCTGGCTCTGGTGAATTCTCTTACCCTCCCGCGCTTCTGACCATACCCAGTGCTTGTATAAATAAATAAATAAATCGTTAAAAAAAAAATGTTAAAAAAAAAAAAAGACTCAGCCCCATCATCTGTCTTCTGTGAGCGCTTCCTCTGCTGCCCCAATAGCCGATAGCTATTTTCTCTCCAGTGCTTCCAGAGCATTTCTACCCTTCTCTGCATTGTCTGTCTTTTTTTTTTTTTTTTTAAATTTTATTTATTTATTTATTTAAACAGTCTTTTTAAATTTAATTTTATTTTTTTAAAGATTTATCTTTATTTATTTATACAAGCACTGGGTACAGTCAGAAGTGCAGGAGGGTGAGAGAATTCACCAGAGCCAGAGCGGGGAGCAGAGCAGGCAGAAGGACCAAAGTACACTGTTGAGGGGAGCAGTGGGCTGCAGGAGAGGTCTGCGTGCCATGTGGGACCCTCCTCCAGTGGCCGGAGAGCAGCCTGGGATCGAACCAGCGTTGCAGAGGCCACGGGCAGCTTTGCAACCCAGCGCTCAACTGCTGCGCCACCGGGGAGGCTTTGTCTTTTTTTTTTTTTTAAGATTTATTTATTTATGCATACAAGAGCTAGGGTACAGGCCAGAGGTGTGGGGGGTGAGAATTCACCAGAGACAGAGTGGGGAACAGAACAGGCAGATCTACTGAAATACACTGCTGAGGGGAGCAGTGGGTGAGTCAGGAGAGGGCTGCTGTGCCATGTGGGTAGCTCCCTGGCTGGGAATCGAACTCATGCTGCAGTGGCTGTCAACAGCTTGATAGCGCTGTCTTTAAACGCTGCAACCAGGGAGGCCCTTTCCTCCCCTTTTTTGACCTCTCTCCTTCCCCATTCCCTATAGTATGTCTCAGTTCTGCAGTTTGCCTGCTAGTTTTGTCTTTTTTTCCCATTGCTATTTCCCTGTATTCTTCCTATTAGCGAAGCCATTGGTATTTTTCTTTTTCCTTCTTGTCTTATTTCACTGAGCATAATCCCTTCCAGCTCCATCCATGTTGCTGCTATTGGCATGAGTTTGTTTTTTTTTTCCTTCATTTCATGCTGTAATGTTCTTAATGTGCTGCCCAGATCACTCCACAGTCCACTGGTATCTGTTGATACTACACCCCACCCTGTTTCCGACTTATGAGTAGAGTTATGATGGGAGGAGGGGATTGAATGGTCAGTTCAAAATCTCTTTACCACAAGTTAATTATAAGTAAAAGAGAAGCTTAAGCAATAGGGAAGGTGGCACTGCTGTTCCTCACTCATTTGCTAAACATGCCAATATTGAAACTGGAGTCTCCAGTTTTCTTGTTTAGGATATGATTTTCAGAGATTTAATGTTTTCTTTTTTTTTTTAAAGATTTATTTATTTATTTATACAGCCCTGGGTATAGTCAGAAGTGCAGGAGGGTGAGAGAATTCACCAGAACCAGAGCGGGGAACAGACCAGGCAGACTGACAAAATACACTGCTGAGGGGAGCAGCGGGTGAGACAGAAGAGGTCTGTTGTGCCATGTGGGACCCTCGCCAGTGGCCCAGGATCGAACCAGTGCTGCAGAGGCTGTAGGTAGCTTCGCAGCCCAGCACTCAACCGCTGCACCACCAGGGGAGGCCCCAGAGATTTAATGTTTTCTGCCAACTTTTCTTGAGTGACACCTTTTATTTTCTTACCTGGGTTATTCTTGCTTACTGTGTAGTTGTCAAGCAGGGAGCGATAAGGACTCTTCTTTGACCCACCACCACATCAAGGTGAAGAAATATCATGGTATAAATAGATTTAATTGCTCCCACAAGAAATCAGCACTGCACATGCTGAATGATTTATGGGGGAAAGAGAATAGAACAACAATTAAAAACATAGCTAAGGTTTTGTAGTAGTAATTGCCAAAGAAATTAGGAGTGGGGAGATCAGTGATGACTGAGATAAAAAGACTTCACAAGAGGGTTGATCCATGCCTAGGATCTCAGCTGTGTCTTGAGGTTTAGATTAGTAACCCTGTCTATTTCTCTTGCAGTTTCTACACATCCAAAAGCCAGCTCTTTTGTAACAGTTTCACCCCACGAATAAAACTGGCAGGAAAGAAGGTAGGTTTCACCCACCAGCAGGGACTGCCTCACCCAATGTAGTTATTTTGGTCTTGACATACCCCCCATTTCTCCAGTGATCATGATTAACATTTAAGAACTATGTCTTAGACAAAATCAAGCCAAAATAAACCCTCGAAGTCTGACTAGAACTGAGGCTAGCAGAGAAAGAGGGGATGAAGAGCAAGGGATTGAGGAGGTCCAGTAGACTGGTGGAGGGTTAGTCAGGCTTCAGTGGTAGGTGTGGTAACATACACTTGAGGAGTGAGAGCTTCTGTCCCTAAATCATTACACAGTGTTGTAAACCATTACTGCAATAAAATAATTTACTTAAAAAACAACAAAAAATAAATGTCTTAACTTTCCAATTTTGTGCATTAAATAAATTACTAGCAAGGCAAACCCAGAGTGCAAGAAATATGACAGAGTTATTTCTGTTATGGTGTAACTGGTTTATTCAGATATGAGACTCCATTTAGATACCAGTAGGGACAAAGACATGGACCCACATTGCAACAAAGAGGAAATAGGATTAAAAAAATCACTTCTTAGCAGTATGTAAAGAAATGCAAATTCAGACAAGGGATGGGGATTCTTTTCTGGCTTACTGAATAGGTTTAAAGCTTACCAGTAATGCTAAAAGTATGGTGAAATTGGTACTTGTGTACCTGGTTGGTATAAAATACTTTTTTTTTAAAGATTTATTTATTTATGCATACCAGAACTGGGGTACAGGCCAGAGGTGTGGGGTGGTGAGAGGATTCACCAGGGATAGAGTGGGAAACAGAACAGGCAGATTGACTGAAATACACTGCTGAGGGGAACTGTGGGTGAGTCAGGAGAGGTCTGCTGCGCCTGTGGGAAGCTCCCCAGCCGGAGATTTAACACATGCTGCAGCCTGCAGAGGCTTCATAGTTTGCATCTTAACCCCTTGCGCCACCAGGGAAGCCCTGGTGCAAAGTACTTATGGAAAGCATTTCAGCTACTAAGTATCCAGAGTAATACAATCTTTTGTGCCATTTGACCAGATAATTTAATTTTGACAATGTGATCTAAGAAAATCAGTGAGAATATTGTTTGAGAATAGGTCTTGTTCTGGTTTTATTTATAACAGTGAGACCTTGAAAATAATAGAAAAATGGCTAAGTAAACTAGGAAAGGTCTTCTCAATGAAATATACTTGCAGCCAACAAAAATGCCAGTTTTTGAGAACCTGAAAAGGTATTTTTGATGTACAATGAGGAGAAAAACAGGCTGTCAGGTATGTTGGCCTCACACCAGCTTGCTCTCACCTATCTGCCCATTTCTAGCTGAGCTGAACTCTGTAAAATTTGCCCCATTGGGGTTGTGTTACATTGGTAGTATCAGGGCTACTTCTTCCCCTTTTTGGAGGGGATAGGTTATTGTCTGTCTTTTAATAGGGAGGTAATTTGAAGGACTGTGAAGACTCCTGAAATGGTTATTCAGGTAGTGAAGTGCTGGGAGACGGTATTCTGCCCACAAAGGGCCTCTGACTTCTGAACTTTATGCCTTCTCCATGGCCATTCTTGGCAAAGTGGGACATGGAGGAATTTCTCTGCATTATGATCATTTTAAAGAAAGAAATAATAAGTATTTTATGGAAGCTTAAAGGGGCCTAAAAAAGAATTATGTTTTTAAAAAATTAGCTCTTTGAGTTTTCTCTCCATTTCAGCAAATTGGACCTCCTGTGGAGGGCTCTGCTCTGGCAGGAGCATTGTGGTAAAAAGGTGGAGACAGCCAGGGTTTGGGGCCTCGGAATCTAGCCTTGGCAGAACAGACAGACCACTGGGTTGAGCAAAAGTGTGAAGAGTTGACTTGGCTTTTGGCTCTGCCACCTCTAATTATGGGACTTTGAGCATGTCCCTTATTCTCGCTAGAACTGAATACCCTCCTCTGTAAAGTAGGATTTAAGCCCCCATTAGATAAAGCTGTGAGAGTGCACAGAATATAAGGTGGAAAGTAAAGGACCTAGTGGAAAATAAAGGGCCTGACCCCATGCTAGGTAGATGCCAAGTGGTAGTTCCTGCCCATCCATCAGCGTGTGAGGGTTGTGACACAGTCTCTGCCTTGGAGCAACAGCTACATACTGTGTCTTGTAATACATTCTGTCCTAGCCAAGGAAGGAGTGATTAATTATCTATTTAATTTTACAGCCTGCCTCTGAGAAAGCAAAAAATGGCCGTGATACCTGTGAGTATTTTGAAATCTCTTTTCATTACTTTTTGAACGAATTGGCTCACCTTTAGCAACAAGGTTATGTGAGGTTCATGAAATGTTCACAGCCAGATTGGGAGACATAAGTTCCTTTTGTGTGACCTCTGGATGATTTCTTAACTCCCTGGTATATTTTTGTCCTATTAGCTACAAAATGGATGATGACAGAAACTTCATGGTGTTTTCTATGTTTCCATAGGCAATTATAGGGAGTAGGTAGAAAGTTTCAGAGTATTAAACATGCATATTAAAATGACATTTTAAAAAGTGGGATCACTGAAAAATAAAATACTACTATCACCTGGCATTTTTTTAGTGCTATCCTTTTTCTATTAATGCTTTGACATGTAAGTCATTTAATAGACAACCTAATGAATGGGCTGTTATCCCATTTTTTTTTCAGGGGACAGTGATCACTTGTGCCTTACAGGTTTTGATAAGGATGCTCTGAAGGCATCCATTGGAAGTGTATTTTGATAACAGTTAATATTATTTGTGCATTTCAGCTCTTGGGACTCCAAAAGAATCTGAGAACGCCCTTCCCATCCAAGTCGATTATGATGCCTATGATGCCCAAGTGTTCAGGCTTCCTGGACCTTCCCGGGCTCAGCGCCTCGCCACCTGCAGGTTTTCTGCCACATTCACTTGGGGTGGATATAAAATTTGCTTAGGGACCTTCATGAGAGCAACCTTGAAATTGTTTTACATTAAATCAACCAAATGGAAGCTATGCCATGTAGATTATTAGGGATTCTGTTTTCAGGTTCTCTGGTTGTCTAACCCATCCATTTTGTTAGCTGTATTTGCTATGAAGTATTGTTTCCAACTAAGGAGAGCATTCTTCTGCTTTTCCTTGCCAAATGAAGCAATTCACAGATTCCAGAATCTTCTCACTGGACTGGAGTTAATATGTGTAGAGCACAGATGTTAAGAAATTTATTCAATTACTACTTTTAAAGTTTGCTCCATGGTGTTTGGTCATATACTAGTTTTTAATTATAATTTAGTCAGGGTTACCAATATATTCATTTCTAGTTCTTATGTCTGACCTCAAGCTTAGAGATAAATATTTTATATTTTCTTCTAGTGCTTTATAGTTTTGATTTTTATGCTTTATGGTTGCTATGCTTAGTTCATTCTGTAGAATTCTGTTATGAATGTGTGAAACAAAGTTCCAGCTTGCTCTTTTCCCCTCATTGACTAATACTATTAGTCTGTTTTCCACATTCCGTAAATATGCAAGATTATTTAAGCACAAGCAATTGGAAGAACATTCCATCTCTTCACAATGTGGCAAGGGAGCTTGTGTTGGCCCTGTTGTTATCTCCTGTCATTTCCCCTCATTTCATCTTAAGAGCTCTCCTAAAATGTTTAGAGTTCAGAATAAGTACTTTAACAACAGCTCCCCTACACATAGTGCTCTTCTTCTGAGTATTTAACATCTTTTTTAAAAAGATTTATTTATTTATGCATACATGAGCTAGGGTAAAGGCCAGGTGTGGGGGGTGAGATGATTCACTAGAGACAGAGTGGGGAACAGAACAGGCAGATCGACTGAAATACACTGCTGAGGGGAGCAGCAGGCGAATCAGGAGAGGTCTGTGCTCTGCAGAGGCTGAGGCTAGCCTCATAGGCTGCATCTTAACCCCTTGCGCCACCAGCGAGGCCCTTCTTCTAAGTATTTTAAAATGCTTTCATAGTTCAAAGTCTTTGCTTTTCTTTCTTATAATCAAAGAAGGCAGAACCTATTGTTTTTAGAGACCTAGGTTGTGTGTTCCATGAGGGCACAGATCAAGTTAATCAGTGCTCTATCCCCCACAGTGGGCTGAGCAACATATTGAGATAATGATCTGTGTAGTCAGCCCCAGGAGCCTAACTCTAAGTTCTTACTTCAACAGGGCCTCCTTCCAGGTGGCAAGAGAACAGCTCTGATGTGAGAGGCAGCCCTGTCAGTGGTGGCTGACGTTCAGTCTAGATTTTCGCCTCCCCATTGGGCTTCTCTCCTTCTGATCCTTCTTCCTACCACTTCCAGAGGTTCCCACTTTGGGAGTTTTTTGTTTTAAAATAAAGGTATACCTTAAAAAAACAAAACAAACTTTTTAAAAAGGAAATGTTCAGGCATGCTCAAATAGAGAGACTGCTGTGATGAACCCTTAGTGTGTGTTTGCCTTGTTTCATCACTTTTACCACATTTTAAGTTTTGCTTCAGTATTTTGAGATAAATTGCAGGCATCTTTTTTTTTTTTAGCTTGTAAATATTTCAGTATATGTCTTTGGCAAAGAAGAATTGTCTTCTCTGAATTTCCTATATACTAGCAGTTATCTCTAGAGGCTTGATTAGATTTAGGGTTTTTTTTTCTCTCTCTCTCTTCTGCACACATACACACACACACACATTTTTTCTTTAATGTGAGATTTCTTTGGTGGAGCTCTATATTTTCTTTTGCATCACTTTGTATCATGTCTGGTTACCCCATTTTCAGTGATAGGAGATGAATAGGTGGGATTACACCAAAACTTGCATTTCTTTATAGCCATCATCCTAGGATATTGGCCATTTGAGAACATCAGTCACGTCCCCCTTTTCTTTTCTTTTTTTTTTTTAAAGATTTATTTGTATACGCATAAAAGAACTGGGGTACAGGGCCTCCCTGGTGGTGCAGGCAGTTGAGCGCCGCGCTGTGAAGCTGTCCACAGCCTCTGCAGTGCCAGTTCGATCCCGGCTTGCCAGCAAGAGTCCCACATAGTGAGCAGACCTCTCCTGTCTCGCCCGCTGCTCCCCTCAGGAATGTATTTCGTCAGTCTGCCTTTTCTGTTCCCCGCTTTGTCCTTGGTGAATCCTCTCACCCTCCCGTGCATCTGGCCTGTACCCTGATTCTTATATAAATAAATAAATAAATCTTTAAAAAAAAGAACTGGGGTACAGGCCAGAGGTGTGGGGGGGTGATAAGATTCACCAGAGACAGTGCAGGGAACAGAACAGGCAGAGTGAGTGAAATACACAGCTGAGGGGAGCAGCAGGCAAGTCAGGAGAGTTCTGCTACACCATGTGGGTAGCTCCCTGGATGGGGATCTAACTTGTGCTGCAGTGGCTGCGGACAGCTTCATAGGTTGCGTCTTAACCCCTTGCGCCACCAGGGAGACCCTACGTCTGCCTTTTCTTAAAGAACATCTCAAGCTTCTCAGGGCAAAGTACCTCCTGCAGTATTTCCCATGCACAGATGACATTGGGGATTTTTATTACTGGTTTCTCACTCAGGCTGGCGACAGTTTGTAGTTTTAACCCTAGTTGGGCCAACTTCTTCTGCTTGTTGGTGACTTGTCTTTCACATGTCAGGTCTGTGCGAGAGCGCGAGAGTCATAGCCGAAAGAGTGTCAGCTACTGTGATGTCTCGTCCAGCCCTTCCCTGGCCAGCCGTGCGCTGCCGCCTGAGGAAGTAAGGAGCCAGGCTTCTGATGACAGTTCACTGGGCAGGAGTGCCAACATCCTGATGATCCCCCATCCCCACCTACACCAGTATGAAGTCAGCAGCTCCTTGGGCTACACCAGCACTCGAGGTCAGAGAGCTTCCTGCCTGCCTAAGGGATGGGGGTATGTGGCTGGTTGTGGGGTGATGTCCCTTATCTTAATTATTTCCATATCAGTGCAGTGAGTCTAAATGACCTTAACTATACGTGTGTGTATTGTATTGCTTTGCTCTATCCATTCTTCCCTGTCACTAAAACTGTATACCGTTCCACATGTTAATGAAAAGCTTTTCTGGGGCTTAGAGACAAAGATCTTTGCTTATTTCCTTATTTCCATTTGTGCTAAACTTAAAGCATCCTTTCCTGTCATCCGCTTTAAGATTTCTCCTGTTTACCTGACTTTCACTGAGGAGCACAGCACTGTTTTTCCTGTTCATCCAGCAGTACCTGCACTAGAGTATACAGGTCTTTCCTGTTTTTGTTTTTTTTCCCCCTAAGTCTTTATTTTGAAGTAATTAATGGATTCATGGGAAATCACCAAAAAAAAACCAGACAGGCAGGCCCCAATACATGTCTCTCATTTTCCCCAGTGGTGACACCTTGCGTAACTACAGTATAATATCAAAACTAAGGAACTGACATTCGTACAATCCACAGAGCTCCTGCAGATTTCCCCAGTTTTGCATACAGTCATTGGCGTGGGTGATGGGTGGGTGTGTATTTCCATGCAGTTTTGTTACTTGTGTAGATTTCTGTAGCCACCAACACAATGAAAATACAGAACTGTTCCATCATAGCAGGGGCCTGAACAGGCCCCTCCCCCCTTATAACCACACTCTTCCACTGATTGATCTCCTTCTCTGTGAGTTTATTATTTCAAGAACATGGCATAAATGGAAGCATAGCCCTCCTGACTTCTGATCACTGATTTAGGAATGTTACGTGCACACAGTATGTAATCCTTCCTGTTGCCCTGGAAGGATTCCCAAAGCGCAGAGAGTGTTTTCCATGATCCAGAATGTTGATGGGGATGCCATTAGCCCCAAGGGCCTCGGGACTATGGACCAGGGCACTTTTATCTACTGGACACCGTTAGGCACCAAGGACCTAGGAAAACTTTGGTTACTGAGAAAAAGGTTTTTTATTGTTTCAAAGAATTAAAAGGAAATTCTGAAGGAGAAAGGAGCAGATATTTAATTATGTGAGAATGGAATATAACCTATACATGTTCACCTACATATTCAAAAAAGTTTTAATGCATTTGAAATTAGGTTAGCTTTTTCCCACCTTCTGAAGGTGGGAAAGTTTGCATGGTAATACTCCTATTTTGCTGAAAATATTCTTGAAGAGTCTGTAACAGAAGCTTTATTAATATTAATCTTTTAAAAACCTTTGTTATTCTAAAAGCCAGATCTTCTCTGAGGAGATAATAGTGTACTTAATCCAAATAGCTTTGAAAGTAGTGTTTATAAAAATTAACTGACTAGTAGAATTGATTTCAATTGTCTTTCGGTGATATTTTGTAGTTTATTGGAAAAGGCAAAAAGCATTTCACTGGAATATGTGGAGGCCCTTAGTTTCCTCATTAATTGTTATATGTAAGAAGTCTCCCCATGTGCAGTCCATGTAACATAGAAACACTTCCCTTTTCCCTACATATATTTTCCCTTAGTCCCATTTCTCACCCTAAAGTATGTACTCACATTTTGAGATGTTTTTTCTTTTTATTTCCATAGCTAATTAGACCATATTCTTTTTTATTTGGTAAGCCAGAGCATCAGTTCACTAATTTGCAGTGAAAAATGTAACTCATGGAATGTATATCAATTTATGGATATACATTAACTCATGTATATCAATTTATGAAATCAATATAATATACAGCTTCTTTGCTAGGCTTTGGGTTGATATGAGTGGATAAGACAGATTCTTTAACACCATGAAATTTGCTTCTGCTGCTGCTGGACCCACTCTTTTTTTTTTTTTTTTTAAATGGTGTTTGTAGATCCAACTGAGTCTTGTGTTTTATTTATTTATTATTTTTTAAAGATTCATTTATTTATTTATACAAGATTGATTGATTGATTGATTTATACAAGCACTGGGTACAGTCAGAAGTGCGGGAGGGTGAGAGAATTCACCAGAGCGGAGAGCAGAGCAGGCAGACTGACGAAGTACACTGCTGAGGGGAGCAGCGGGCGGCAGAAGAGGTCTGCATGCCATGTGGGACCCTCCTCCGGTGGCCGGGGAGCAGCTGGGGATCAAACCGGCGCTGCAGAGGCAGCGGGCAGCTTCGCAACCCAGCGCTCAACCACTGCGCCACCGGGGAGGCCCTGGACCCACTTTCTAACCTGGGTCATTGCTTAGTGACTATGGGGAGCTGGTGGTGGATGCTGCATTTATCCACAATAGGGACCAGTCAGTCTGACACTGGATTGGACAGGTTGAGTCTAAATGTCATGCCATCTCCTTCCCGGTCAAGACTAGATACCCTCATTTCTTCATTTTTTTTTTCCCAAGATTTTTTTTTAAAATACAATAACATTTGATTGCTTATTCATGTTCCAGGCCACTGAATCAATGGGAGGGGGTTCCTAATCTGCCCTGTCATTCAGGGCTCCAAGATCCTTCCATCCTAGGATGCCATGTTCATCAATACTGGTCTCCAAAGTTGTCACAGCAGGGGAAAATAGAATGGAGAGGATGTGTGGAGATATTTGAAGCATGTCACTTCTCTGTATTCCATTTGCTGAAACTAAGTTATCTGGCCTCAGTGCAACGGGTCTGAAAACTATAGTCCCATTGTGTGCCTAAGAGGAAAATCACAAGGGTTTAGTGAACACATTGACATCTCTGTCAGTGTCTGTCCTTTTGGTCACCAAATGTCTACTTTTATTGTTCCTCCCACATACAAAATATACCCACCCCATCCCCTAGGGTGACAACTCAAGTCCTGTCATTAATTCATTGTACCCAGCTCAAAGTCTAGGGCCTCTGGTTGATGTGTGATCCTCGGGTTTAGGTGTGCCTTCATTGGCCAGTAATTTAGGAACTGAAACTCCCTTCTCCCAAGTATTTAAAAAGTAAACAAATTCAGTATTTCATTTTCTCATAGTTTGACATTTTTACTCATTTCCCTCACTCCCTAACATGTATGAGGTTAAAGATGCTTATCAGTGTTGGCCTGTCTATCTGCCTTGTTCTGGTTTCATTGTCTATGTTTCCTCCTGTGCCTCGGCTCCACGATACCTAGCAGATGCCCTGGAGAACATGATGGAGCCACCACAGCGAGACTCCAGTGCACCAGGGAGGTTCCACGTCGGCAGCGCAGAATCCATGCTACATGTTCGACCTGGAGGATACACGCCCCAGCGGGCGCTGATTAACCCTTTTGCCCCCTCACGAATGCCCATGAAGCTCACATCCAACAGAAGGCGCTGGATGCACACTTTTCCTGTAGGTAAGTTGATTGCCTAGGAAAGAGCCTTGGACTGGGAGCTCATAGTCCTGATCCTCAGCACTAATCAACTGAGTGACCTTGGCCAAGTATCTCAACTTCTCTGCACCTCCAGAACCCCACCTGAAAGATGGGGATCACCATATCCACGTTGCCTGTCCCAGAGGTTCTTGAGAAGATCCTTGAGGACAAACTTGGGAATGGACTTTGTAACTACTAACTCTCCTTATCAGGCTGAAGCCTTCGTTTTTCTATTTGAAAGAGACTTCCCTTTGCCACCTGCCTTCTTTCCTAAGGCTAAAGTCCCTTATTGTTGTTCATTCCTCCTTCTTCTAGCTCTGAGTATTAATGATACTGTCTCGGTTTCACAGACTTGTATTACTTTGTCTTCTTTTGAGAGTCTCTGACAACTGAAAAAAAATTTTGTTTTTCTCAAATTGACTGTATTTCTAACCCATCCTTTATGATCTGTTTTGTCCTAAGGAAGATGACGGTAAGGTTTTATGCAGCTATGGCTAAAATTAAACTTCAGCTTAATGGACTTTGCCTGGGCTAGGAAGGAACAGATGCAGTTAACTCTGGGGTTTTTTCATAGAAACCATCCTGCCGAATGTCTGGAAACATCTAGTTACTTTCTTCAGTACTTTCTTTTAGTGTTCAAAGTTAAATAGGTGAGAAATGAATCTGGTTTTTTGGGCTGTAATTGGGGGTCATTCCTAATTGTCTTTTTGTCCCCCTTCTCTCTGCAGCACTCACTCACATGACTTGATTCTCTCAGGTGTCTCTTTCTTTCCATTCTTCCTCCCCCTTTGAGTTCTATTACAAGAACCACTTCTGTTTCTTCCAAGACCTTCAGTTCTTGTTTTCAGTGCTTTTCCTCCTCCCACCTATCACATACTCATCACTAAAGCGTTCTGTGAACACCACTTCCTTTGTTTTCTCCTCCTGCCCAACTGGCCTCTGCTAGCTGAGCCCCTCCTTTGCCAGTCTCCCCAACTTTCCATTTCCCCCTGCTCATCCTCAGCAGTTCTTTCCTTTCCCAAGCTAATCGTGTATTCTCCTGCCCATGTTTTGCCACTTCCACACTTGGGATTTCACACCCATCATTTCTTCTACCCAGATGCCCTCTCCTTCCTTTCCTGCTAACCTTGTTTAACACTCAGCTCTAAAACTTCTCTTTCTCCAGGAAGTATTTTAGATCTTCCTAATTCTGACTTATCTCCTACTTGATGTCTTTTTTTGTACTTATGCATCCTCTGCTTGTAGAGTCAGTTATTATTATCTTATGTATTAATAGCCACTTAGTATTTCCCTTCTCATTTAGTTGATGTTAGCCCTCTTACCTCTTCTGTATTTCTCTCCAACATCTCAGTTGACAATCATGAGACAGAGGCTTCTAAAATCTTTTTAGCTTGAACAGGGTGACAAACATGAGGCCTCCCTGGAGGATGAGTCCTGAGTGGGAGAGGAAATATCTTGTGTGGGAGCTGGAGGGCCATATCTGTGTTCCTCTATGGTGTGCTCTTCTTTCAAACTCTCCCAACACTCACATCACAGCAGCTGGAAAGAAGGAAGATTGAAGTTAAGTGCACAGCACTAGCTGGCAGGTGGGAGTGATGCTCAGTGGATCTTTGTCTGGGTAGGACCATCCGGAGAGGCCATCCAGATCCATCACCAGACCCGGCAGAATATGGCGGAGCTGCAGGGCAGCGGGCAGAGGGACCCTACTCACTCCTCTGCGGAGCTGCTGGAGTTAGCGTATCATGAAGCTGCTGGAAGGTGAGGTTGTGCACAGGACTCTGGAAGGTACCTCAAGAACATTCTCTAGCACCCAAGACAATGTACAGACAGAATGCCGTGTTTGTAAGACTTGAAGGGACTGTATGAGATCAGGGCCTTCTTTGTCAGTTAGCACCATTCCCTTCAGTGGGCCGAGTGTAAAGCAAAAAGCATGACATTTGTGCCAGAGATGTTACCTAGCCTGTTCTAGTTTTCACTTTCATTCAAAGTACACCTTGTAAACCTTAAACGTGAATTTCTACTAAACCTCAGTCAAGAGTAAAAACAAGTGCTGAGACACACATTCTGTGTGTTCTGGGTAGTATGTTTATGACTTTTGTCAATGTTGGATATAAATGTTAATGTAAGGGAATTCGAGACCTATGTTTATAGAAACAACTTTTTTTTTTTTATAGAAACAACTCTTTGAATCAGAACTCTGAACATGTTACAAGGTATTTAAAGAGAATCAGTATAGGAAGCAATTGTTTAAGACTTGACAAGCAATCTTTGGCCCCTTCAAGTCACTTCAATGTCCCATAGGTTAGATTAGAGATATGGCAGGACCTGCCCCTCTTACCGAATTAACTTGGTCTATCTATTCAAGCACCTCATAGCCTCCTGTTGAAGTTGGCAGGAGAAGGGTTAGGACAGAAAGGACAGGCATCTCACATGGCAGTGGAAAAGCAGTGGGGGTGCCAGGGCAGGAGGAGCAGGCCACAGGAGGCCAGAGCTGGCAAACAAAACAAGCCCTGAGGCCTGCTGACCTATGATATGGATCCCAGTGGTTGTCAGCCTGTGCGGCTGAGTATTCAGTTCTGTTTCTAATGAAATCCCCTGGGATACAGGGTGAGCATGAGAAAAGGTGATGATCTGCATTAAGCCAGGTGGCTGGGCTCTGTTCTCTGCAGGCACAGCACTTCCCGCCAACCTGGTGACGGCATGTCCTTCTTGAACTTCAGTGGAACAGAAGATCTTTCTGTCAGCCTGCTTAGCAACAGTGGTGCAGGTAACCAATCCAAGAGGTAACAGAGTTGGGATCCTCAGAGCAGACTCACATCTAGAAATGACAAGAGAACCGGAAAAGCAGGACCATGTCTATTTTGAGCTCGTTTCAGCCACAATTTTGTGTGACCTATTTAGAAGCAGTGCTATATAATGCATGGGATTATAAATGAACTGCACATTGTGTTTTTCGCTGAGAACATGAAGGCCAAGCAACATTTATCATGTCAAGTGAGTCGTGATTGAGAACTGACCATGAGCTTGGTTTGGGGCAGCTCCAGGGACAGTGCTCGGCTCTAGAAGAACTTTTAGTTGTGTGTGGGGGGGACAAACCCACCTCTATAAACATAATCAGAAGAGACCCTGAGGAGAACAGTGTAGTTAGCTATGAGAGCAGAAAAGATAAGGGTGTGTAGTTCCTTAAAGTAGTTGTCATGTACCTCAGACTTAAGGGGGTAGAATTTTGTTTGGTGGACTTTGAAGATGAGGATTATTAGTGTAGGTTGTGTGGTGGGGAAGAGTATGAAGTTACCTTAATACAGGTTTTATGTCTTCTAGAACTGTTTGTATGTTTATTGCTTCATTTAATCATCTTAGTAGGGCATGTTATTAAATATATCTTAAACATGGGCTACTCAATGCCCAGAGATGTAGAGATATTAAACAAATCTCTCAAGTCAGTAGCCAGATGTCTTGACTCAGAGCACCACTTGATGCCTTAACGGGTGTAGGGCAACATGAATTGGAATGGGTGGGGGCAGATTTTGGAAAGCCTCAAAGAATAGATATTATATAAAATAATTGAAAACTGAAAAACAAAACGGGGCTGCCACTTCGTGTCTTAGTTTTCTGTTAGCCAATTTGCATTTCTAAAAATTAGGTTAAGGAATTTTGTAGTGAAAGTGAGGTTGTTGAAAGCTGGTTAATAAAGTTTTCCTTCCTCAGTCGGTAGATTCATCAACACTATATGTGAGTGCACAAGAAATGAGACCTGTTATTTTGATTATTGGGCAAACATTTTATATTCCAGTCATCGCTTGTGCCTCCAGAATATCCTTGTCCTCATATTCATTTGCACAGAGAAGTTGCTCTTTGAAGTCTTCCCTGGTGGGTCTCTCTCCTGACCATGCCTTCCCAGATGTTAGGCATGTTTCCACATAGTTCCATACACATAACCCAGTTGTATTACTTGGCACATCATGATCCCACTGTTTATTTCCTTGTCTGTCTTTCTACTAGACTGAAAGAATGTATCTTCATTCATTTTCTCTGCATAGTGTTTAGCACATTTATTGACAAATGAATTTATACTTCCAAGATCAAGCTGCCATATGTGAGAAGCACTTGAGTGGGCCACATGATTACTGTTTAATTGGTATGCAACTGTTCAATTACATAACATGTTCTAGAATATTTGGCATCTTAGAGAAGATGTGGGCTCTTTGGATTGTTTTTCTAGACAGGATAATATCGTTAAATAGGGTCATCCTTACCCTTGCCCAGTATCCTTCTGACCAGTAGCCTGTGTTTTTGAAGGGCTCAGGGGTCATCAGGAGGTGGTCTGTAGCTCTGCACTCACATGGAAGTTACACTCAAATTTTTGATCTTGTGCTTTCTGGCCAGTTATGTTAGCCAGCCACAGAAAGATATTAGATAAAATTACCTAATTTTTACTACCATGTATATTAACCACTTAACTCATGTGCAATAAATAACCAGCTAATTTCAGATCTGTGTTCAGGAGCTAGCCAGAATGTAGCTGAATCTCATCACCTCAGCCTGTCCTAGTCCAGTCCAAGGTATCATCATCTTTCACCTGGTTTGTTGCAGTAATCTGCTAACTGACTTTCCACCTTGCTATCCCATATAATTTATTTTAAATAAAGCAATTCAGTTATCCTTCAAAAATAAAAGTCAGATCATGAAACTTCTCTGCTTCCCGACACACTCAGAGTACAAGCCAAAGCTGATGGAGCTACCTGTTCATGTGGCTTCTTGTTACTCTTAGACTCTTGTGCTCTCCCTTTCATTTCAGTGTCATGTTCCCCAAATGTTTCGGGCACATTCTGAATGTCAGGTCCCTTCTCTTGCTCTCTTCTTTTTTTTTTTTTTTTTTTAAAGATTTATTTATTTGTTTGTTTGTTTGTTTATTTGTTTATTTATTTATTCAAGCACTGGGTACAGTCAGAAGCGCGGGAAGGTGAGAGAATTCACCAGAGCCAGAGCGGGGAGCAGAGCAGGCAGAAGGACCGAAGCACACTGCTGAGGGGAGCAGCGGGCGGCAGGAGAGGTCTGCGCGCCATGTGGGACCCTCCTCCGGTGGCCAGGGAGCAGCCGGGGATCGAACTGGCGCCGCAGAGGCTGTGGGCAGCCTCGCAACCCAGCGCTCAACCGCTGCGCCACCGGGGAGGCCCTCTTGCTCTCTTCTTGCCTGTGTTCTTATATTAGAGAACTCTTTGGCTAAGGTCCATATGTCTGAGTTTCCCCAGGACAGTTCTGCTTTGAATTTTTGTCATGTGTGATTATTAGTAGTATCCCCTTTCACTCGGAGAGGTGTCCTGGATTGGATTATAAATTATAGTCACCTTTCTGAGGGCTTGCTCTTTTACTTCCTTAAGGCCTTACCTGAATTGCCATGCTTGATCTTGGTACTTCCCCTCCTCTTCCCTGCCTAATATTTCTCTATATTGTCACCTGACATAATAGAACTTCATTTGTATTTTTTTTATCATAAGTCCAATGATGGCAAGGATTATTATTATTTTCATGGCTGTTTCTCAAGAGCATGAAAAGTTCCTGGCACATTCCAGGTAGTTGAATGAATGCTGGGAACCTTCTGAAGTTAACTTTCTCTTTACGGGGCATGTTGAACAATTAACTGGATTCCTTTCTACAAAACTTGGGCAGCCTTTTTCTACCTTGCTTATTTTAAAACGACTTTAACTGAACTGTAATGGTTCCAGTGCTAATGTGTAGTCTGAACATGTGATCGTTGCTAAAGGCTGATATGATAGTTGAGGGAATGTGGTTTGATGAAAATGATCTGGAACAAAGTCCCATCCCTCCTTTTTAGTGCCTTTGGATTTTTACCTTTGACCTTGACTGATATTTAGGTTCTTCATTTGTATAGTGGGCTTTAAGATCTTACCTGCCTGGCTGCTTCACACAATTCTAGTAAGGATCAGAATTAGCTTGGATTCTGAGTCATCAAGGGCAATATCCATGTTAGGTCCTCGTTTTGGGACAAGGTCTAAACAGACAACAAGTTACCATTTCCTTTGTTAAAAAATAGAAAAGAAACAGGAAAACCTCATCTGTGACCCTCCCTTCACCTTCCGGGCTTTACAGTTTGCACCATATGCAGGCACTGGAGCATGACTCACATTTTCTCCTGCTTTTGGACAGGATTCAGATGTGAGTCATGCGTCGCAGGAGTGGTGTCTCTGTGGGTTTCCCTCTTGGCTTTGTAGAGTTTCACTGTGAGCTTTGTGGACTAGTGCCCTGTGCCTGTGCTGCTCACATGTTCCTCACCATGTTCCTTGGTAGGGTCCAGGTAGTTGTTAGGCTGGGGCAGGTAGTTTTATCCCTCTGTTCCTTTAACTGGGTACCAGTTTATACAATTGGTAGTGTCATTCCTTTCACTGGGGAGAAGTGCTCTAGATAATTTTGGAAAGGAATCTTTTCATGTGCTTATTTGCCTTCTGTATAGATCGCTTGATGAAGTATCTGGGTGAGGCTTTCACCCATTTTCTCACTGGTTTTGAGAATTTATTCTATATTACGGATACAGATCTTTTGCCAGATTTATGATTTACAAATGCTCTCTCCTAGGTTGAGTTTATCTTTTCAGAGATTTCACAAAGGATTTATGATTGTTTTAAAAGATTCAGATGACACAAAGGTATTTCGAGTAAAAAAATCACAAGTATGTTTTACCTCTTACCACCTCCTCTGGCTTTCCTTTGGGAGGTAGCTGCTGTGACAGTATCATGAATGTCTAATAGTTATTTGTGTTTTGAAAGTTAAGTATTGATATATGTATTGTAAAATTAGTTCTGTTTTTATCAATAAGTGGCTCTTCAAGCAATCTTCCTGCCTTTTCTTTCAGCCCAGTTATAGGTAAAATCATTGCTTTTCTCTTAAAGCAGTGTGTTTTGATGGCCTGTGTTATATTACAGAAAGCCGTGATTTGGGGAAGAAAATCACAGAAGATAAGGATGACTATTGAGTGGACTAAATTTAAATAGGTCATTTTATATTTGCTAAGATTGCTCCAGTTAGTTGACTTTGAAATATGTCTGTTTTCTTAAAATAAGTGGTGGGTTGGTTTTTGTGTATGTGCTTTGTGTGTGTGTGTGTGTGTGTGTGTGTGTGTGTGCGCGCGCACACACACACACGAGCATGCTTACACACATGCACTAAAGGTCTCATTGTACAGAGAATGGTATTTATAACTTCAGAGTACAGTTCTGGCTCATGCCCAAATTTTAGATTGCACTTTTTTTCTTTGATTGATTCTTTTATGCTGTTTGAAATACTCAGCACAGAATTTGCACTTGGTTCACATTTTTATTTTTAGCTACAGTTTGGGCTTTTTCAACAACTGATCAGAACTTTCTTGCAGAAAGAACCTCATTAAAACAAACTTTTCTTCCCATAGGTATGAATCCTAGGACCCAGAATAAAGATTCTCTTGAAGACAATGTTTCTACCTCTCCAGATCCAAGTAAGAGGGGAGATGGCTGACTGGGATGATGTGGGGGCATGGGGGCTCATCAGAGCATGGGGAAGCAAAAAGGAAGCCCTGTGGCAAGAGAATGGTCTGGAGGTCCATTCTTGAAGTTCTAGAGTGCTAGGAGATAATGTACTGAGGGAAGACTTTAGCCTCTTCAGTGGAAAGTGAGAGGGATGTAGCCAAGTGACCCATCTCAGAATGTGATTCAATAAGTGGGGCATATGGGAATGGTCATGGAATTCACGTGAGATCCATTTACCAGTCCTGAGCTGGCCTTAGCCCTTATGTGCTTAGTGGTGACTTCATGGAAAAGTTGAAAAACAATAGTAAGAACTGGGATTGTGTACATATCTGTAGCTAAGAATGTTGGGCTGTGTTAAATTTGTTTTGATCATCCTTGTCTACTGAAAAAAGCTGTGAAATAAGAGAACACCTAAATATGTTAACAGCAAAAAACCGGAAAAAAACCCTGCTACCTAATAGAGCTTACTTTACTTAGCCATGACCCATGTATATACATCACAGACTCCCTGTCTCCACTTAAGATTAATTTAATAATCCTTTCACTACTTCTTCAGTCCCTTGTATCAATCAAGTTTAATGGCTTTATTGAACATAATACTGTATCCCAGTTTGAGTAGTCATTTCTTATCAGTGATCATTTAGGTAGTTTCTAGTTTTTTAACAATAGTGTGCAGCGTGGACATAACACATGCTATAGTAGGTGTACTTTTCTTGCGGCTCATGTCCTGGGAATATATTCCCCAAAGTATGGTTGGCAGATTGGCTATTTTCCAGAAAGCTTACAGCAATGAAGAAATGAGCCTGTTTCTTCTCTACAACCACCCCAGTTTTAACTTTATAGTCTGTGTTTATCATTGTTGTTCATGTTTCTGAAGTGGAACCTTCTCAGGGGCCTTCTTTGTTGGGCTTGAAGAGACCAGAGTCAGAAAAGAAACCACCACCCTTAACCCAGGGAAAGAACATCATTAAATTAAGAATCTATCACCACAGGATTTTGGACCAGGCATTTGAATTCTTTGCGTCTTGGCATGTGCCTCCAGAAAGCATTTTAAAATAATCGCCATAATCCTGAAGGTCAGGAAGCCAACAAGAGAATCAGAATGATCGAAGAGGGTGTAAAGATAAAGCTGTTTTCTGCTTCTGGCTGCCCCACTGTGGCTTTGATCAGGCCTCTTCCTTTGGCCTCTGGATTTAATCAGGACGCACAACAAACTCACCCTTGTCTGCCATTTAGGGAAACTGGGTGCTTAATTAGGCTATTCTGGGATATGTTTTGAATTCCTGAAGTATTCATGAGATAATAAGACTTGTGTACAGTCAGACTCGTCGAATCAGACGAGTCCCTGGTGGTTGCCAGGGACTTGGCGGGGAGGGAGGAAAGAGATTTGCTACTCAGTGGGCATAAAGCATCACCAATACAAGAGGATTGAGTTCTGTGGGCATGTGGTACAGCATTGGGCCTAAGTTAACACTAGTGTGTGGAAAATTTAAAAATTTAAGTAGGCAGAGTGTGTTGTGTATTAAGGGTTCTTACCACAATAAAATTCAAACAAACAAAAATACATCTCAAGACCCTTATAGATCATGAAGTTAGGTCTGTTGTGGGTGACATTTTTTTACCCAAGGCAGTGGTGCTGCACAGGGCATGTTTCCTGCTGTGACTTAGCACATCAGTACTCTTGTCCTTTAGCCCCAGATTCAGTGGGACTCTGTTGTACTGGGTAGTGGTACCTACCTAGTGGTGAGCAGAGAGGCTTCTGGTCCTGTAACCTCTAGGAAGTTGGACTTGACCAGGTGTTTAAAGGGGCTGGAGAGTCTACCATACCTGCTCCTTGGAGGCAACATGAAGGTGGGCTATACCATGACCAGGGGCCCACTGGCTGGTTTCGTGAGTAGAGTCTAGGGATGCCGCTCACCACTGTGATTGCACAGGGCAGCCCCCACAACAAAAAATTACCCAGCCCAGACATCATTAGGGCTGGCATGGAGAAACCCTGTTTAAAACTGAGAGAGCAGGCAATTCCAGACAGACCACATGGTCAGGTCCATTGTGTCGGGCAGTTTTTATTTTTTTTTTTTATAGGTTGTCAAACTCTGTCTCTTAAAATTCTAGCCTTACAACTTCCCAGACATCCTTCCTTAATTTCCCCTCCCACCCTTTTGGATCTGCAACTTGTTTTTGCAATTCTAAAAGTATTCCTGAATTCTGCTGCCATGTGCTGTTCACTCCAAGATCCAACTGAGCTCTCCTTTCCCCACCCAGCCTCTCTGCAGTCCTCTGGAGGGGCTCTGGCTTCTGCTCTTGGAATGTTGATTTGCTTCAAAGTGTAACTCTGCCTGCCCTGCCCTACCCTGCAGTAACCTCACTGGCATTGCGGCTGTAGCTCAAAACCAGCAGAAAATGAAAAGTATCAGCTGTGACTCCCATTTGCATGATGGGATTGGATAAGCACGTGCACTGCATTGTCTAACAAACTCTGTTTCTCTCTTTCTCTTTCTCCCTCCCCCCCTCCCTTCCCTCTTCCCCCTTCCTTTCCTGGCAATTTTATCACCTTTCACTGAACTTTTTTTCCCCACTATCTCTTTCCTCTCCTCCCCACTCCCTGCCCACGTCCCACACCTACCATGGTGACCACGCATGCCTTTTTCCCCTGTTACATGAGGCAGTTCTGACACTGTCTGCTCCCCCTGTAGTGCCAGGCTTCTGTTGCACAGTGGGAGTGGACTGGAAGTCTCTCACTACTCCGGCGTGCCTCCCCCTCACCACCGACTACTTCCCCGACCGCCAGGGCCTGCAGAATGACTACACAGAGGGCTGTTACGACCTCCTCCCGGAAGCGGACATGGACAGGTCGGTGTCAGAGGACCGCACTCAGCTTGTTCTAGGAGGGGTCTGGATATGTTAGGTATTTGTGGAAACACTGGCTTTTCAAACCTGTGTCCTTTTTATTTAGGAGATTTTATGATACAGGAATTTCTAGTTTGTTCCTTAGAATTCCATTGATACATGCCCTTTAACCATTTCTCCTCATTGATTCTTTCTTAGATTTCTTCATGCAGTTGTTCTGAGCACGCTAAATATGATCTTTTCTAAAATGTCTGGGCATCAAATTATCTGCCTTCTTTTTTCACCTGCTTGAATTGATCATTCCTCTCAAAGCTGGTTTACAAATTGTTAGTAGTTTGAATGGTGACCAGGGATGCTTGTGATGCTTGGTGATGAAGCGAAGCAATAGAGAGGAAGGGGCTGAGGACTCAGGACTATCAACTGTGTCCAGGGCCAATTGTATCAGTGTGAACAATTGTTTGCTTTTTCAGGAGGGATGAAGAGGGTGTGCAGATGACAGCCCAGCAGGTGTTTGAAGAGTTTATATGCCAGCGGCTCATGCAGGGCTACCAGATCATAGTGCAGCCAAAGGCACAGAAACCAAACCCCGCTGTCCCGCCCCCGCTGAGCAGCAGCCCGCTCTATAGCCGAGGTGAGTTTGTCTCCTTGGGTTTGTATTTTTCTTTTCTAAGAAACTTGTGGGAATAGGTTCTTTAGAGCACAGGGGATTAGGTAAATTTGGAGTACTTGTTTTTCAACACAAAATTTTCCTCTCTAAATTTTACTTTTCATGAAGAATAGTCTTCATTAGATACAGATTTATCTTCAACACTGTCTTCAATCTTCAGATCTCCTTTTAAGGAAGAGGATATGACCAAGTTCAGAAATGTTACTGCCTGGTTTGGGCAATACTGAGGAATAGAGGTACCTGAACTAGGACTGAGCTGTCAAAGTTCATGACAATATTCTAGATCCAGAAATCTGAATTTATTTCTAGCCTAGTACTTGACACACAGAAGATTCTCAGATGCTACCTAAACCTTAAGTTTACACTTGTTCTTTTTTTTTCGTATTCCAAATTCATCTTTCTCTTGTTTATTGTGAATGTTAGTGACATGAAGCAAGAATGGGGTGTCTATGAGTGACAGAGGCTAATAAATGACAGAGTCCATGACACTGATTAAGTTAGAGCCAGGCTCTGGAGAGTTTGTCTAAAAAAAAATCAGGCAGAGAGAATTAAGTGTGGGTGCCTGGAACAAGAAAGTAATGATCACTTCCTGGAACAATCAATGCACAACTGTCTACTTTCTTCTCATAGCTAATGTGACCCCCATTTCTCTAATTACCCAACTCAGAAACCTCAGATCATCTTTGGATTCATTAGTGCTCCTCTGCCAGATTAGAGAAGTGTGGACCTATGATTAGAAAGGATGAAGCTTAATGGTCATCCTGTCTAGGCCCTGGTTCTTACAATGAAGTCTGGGCTTTCAATGGATTTTCTTTGAAAGCCCCTTGTGACATTTATCACATGTTGCCTTCCATTCATATTCTAGACTCTATTGAATATTAACCTCTTTGAGTGCCAGGGCTGTTTCAGACTGACCTTTTTATTCTCCACAATAGAAACCGTTGTGCTTGGTGACTAGTGATATGGGTCAATAAATATGCTTATTTATTCAACAGTGTTTTTGAAGCTCTTTCTCTGTATAATCACATAGTGTGAAAAATGTGTTAGGGAAAAATCAAGAATTGGTGAGAACATTTAAGATGGGACCTGATCTGGTCTAGTGGAGAAGGAAATGTTTGAGTGAAGACCTGAAGTATGTGCAGGAGTGATTAGGAGAAGCAGGATGGGAGCAGAGAGTGAGAATAGAAGGGATGACACTTTCAAGCGGAGTGGTTGGTATATGCAAAGGCCCTGTGGCAGGAGGCATTGTGGGTACAGGCATGATGGAGCATAGGGAGTGACCAGAGACTGGGCCAGAGATATCAGGAGATCCTGGCCTCAGAGGACATTGTGAAGGATTTTATTCTTTATACCAAGAGTAGTGGGATAAATTCACCTTTGATCTCATTGGCCCTGTCCACACTCCCCACTTGCTTTTCTCAAAATTCCTTGCACATTCAGTTCTGTTCTGATTGATTCATAAACTTCACATGATGTATCATGTCAGATACTTGACCAGAGGCTTCTTGCCTAACTATGTCCTTTCTGGCTGTTTTTCTCCTTTGGTAAATTTAATCCCTTTTAAGTCTGTAGTAACAGAAGTGGTACTGTTGTTATAATTACTGGAAAAGTGGCTATCGTGTCTTATGCTACTTGCTGATTAGATTTATTGAATACCAGCTGTGAGTGAGACCCTGTGCTCAGAGTTTACAGTCTGCAGGCAAACAGACTTTAAACTAATTGTGAACAGTGCTGTGCAAGGTAAAGATGGGAATAACTGGTTTCACCTAATGAGAAATGAGGTATCAGGCTACCATGCTAGATGCTCATGAGCATTATCCCATGGCACTGTCTTCCTATGGCCAGCAGGGTGTTTAGTGTGTAAATGCAGGAATGCTGGGTGGGTGGAAGCCCTCTCTCTACATGCAGGAAGTGAGACTAGAGTTTTGATACCCAGTGTCCTATGAGACCAGGACCTCCTGACATCTCTGGCTCAGTCTCTGCTCACTCCCTATGCTCCGTCTCTCTTGTCTCCTTGGGAACCAAGGAGTGAGTTTCCTTGGGTACCAAGAGTGAGCAAATGAAAGAGATGGTATTAAACTGGGGTCTCTCTTGCAGGCAACCTGCCTGTTGCTCCCTTGGCATCATTTGCAAAGTTTCTATATCACAGTGAAGATCCTTTCAGATTCCACTGTCCTCAATTCTCCTGACCACTCCCACGCTCCTGCCACCATGTGATGCTCTCAGCTGAATGAGAAGACTATTTCACCTCAGATCATGGGAATCTAGTCTTGGTGTAGTTGTTCACTGAACCGCTATTTGACTCTCTTGAAAGTTTGCAGTTAGTTTTCCGGGAGCCCTGCCGATATCCCTAGGGGCCTGGAGAGTGGGGCCTGAGAAAAGGCAGGGCCTCCTGAGGATGCCAGAGCAGATGTACTGAGGGAAACTGAGCAGGGTAGAGGGCCTGGGACTGTGTGGTTTGTGTAGAGGTGTAAATTGGCTGCTGAAGCCAACTGCCCTGCAGTCAGAGGGAAGGAGGAAGGTATAGGTGTTCCAGGGCTTTAGAGGTGCTGACTGTCTGCAGCCTGCAGCCCCTGGGAGATGACTGCCCCAAGGCAGAGGGGGTATTCTACCCAGGTCTTAGGTGGGGCCCCCATGGGCTCTGTGGTCCCAGCCCAATCCTCTCAGCACACTTACCCTCAGGTTCACTATTTTCCTCTTTCCTATTTAATTTCCTAATACTTTCTAATCCCTACTGTGGGCAAGGCACTTTATCAGGTGCTTCTGAAAATATGAATACAAACAAGGGTTGGGCCCTGGCCTCCTGGAACTTTTTTAGTATGTAAGGGGGTGAGACAATCACACCAGGGCTACATAGGGATAGAATTCAGACCACTGACCTGATGTGATAGCTTTCTGGAGGAAGCTGCATTTGAAGGTAACCTTAAATGATTTCAGTAATGGCCCAGGAAGGGAAGGCAGAAAAAAGCAACAATTGCAGCAAATAAAGAAATGGTCATTCAAGACTGAAACTGCAGGCACGAAAGTTGGTTGCCAGCTTGGACTGAGGGCTTGTGCTTGGGTGGAGTGGAGTTCTATGTTAGCCTTACATTTTCTCTCAGACTTAATAACATCAGCTCCAGAACTTTCCTTCTCAAAGGATGAGGCATCGGGCTGTTCTACTTCGAGTGTGTCATCTAGGTGCTAGCGTCCCCAAGCTCTAACCTGCTGTCGGTACGTTTAGTAACAAAAAATTCCACCAGCTCCAGGATTCTTTTTTAACCAAGAATAGCCTTTTTCCATGAACCTGCCCCTCAACAGAAAGTGTTTGCCTCCTTTGTTTCTCCTCTTCTGCATCTGTCTGGAGGAAGTGATTTTGTTCTCTGTTAGGCCTCGTGTCCCGAAACCGCCCTGAGGAGGAGGACCAGTACTGGCTGAGTATGGGCAGAACTTTCCACAAAGTGACGCTGAAGGATAAGATGATCACAGTGACACGATACCTGCCCAAGTGAGTCCTTGGATCTTTAAAGTGTTCGGCTTCTGACCCAAATGGTGCCCAGGTGCCAACTTAGTTTATAGCATGTGCTGCCCTCAGTGAATTGTGGTTAGCACATAACTCAGGAGGTTAAGTGGTTGGTTTTTGCTTTTGAAGTTATTGTTTTATTTTCTAGGATACTTTAGAGTTGTAGCTCACCTACTCCAAAAGGGATTTGATTCCATTTACAATGTTTAGCCTGGTTTGTAACATGCAATTAAACATGAAGAACGTGAGGACAGAAGGAAGTGAAGGTTGAGGAAGATCTGAGGACTGCTACCAGTCCCCTGGGCTGAGTCAGTTGCTGCAGTCCAGGCTTGTGTGCTAAGGTGGTGTTAAATGTATTAAGACAGAATGTCCAGAAGCAATGGGGGAATTCTCTTTTGGACCTCTGGGCATGCCCTTTATTTTCCAGGTATCCTTATGAATCTGCCCAGATTCACTACGCCTACAGCCTCTGCCCTTCCCACTCAGACTCGGAGTTTGTCTCTTGTTGGGTGGAGTTCTCCCATGAACGGCTGGAGGAGTACAAGTGGAATTACCTAGATCAGTATATCTGTTCTGCTGGCTCCGAGGACTTCAGGTTAGAGAACGTACTTTGGCTTCCATCCTTGCTGCCTTGGGTATATCTTTATTTTAACACTTCTGTCCTTTTTTTCTGATTACACAATGATACCTGTTTTAGAAAATAATAGAGAACAGAAGCACATCGGCCTAGGGTTAAGAGTTTAGTGATGAGGGCCTCCCTGGTGGCGCAAGGGATTAAGCACTGCACTATGAAGCAATTCGCAGCCTCTGCAGCATGAGTTCCATCCCTGGCCGGCCAGAGAGAAACCCATATGGCGCAGCAGACCTCACCTGACTCGTCCGCTGCTCCCCTTAGCAGTGTATTTCAGTCAGTCTGCCTGTTCTGTTCTCTGCTCTGTCTCTCGTGAATCCTCTCACCCCCCTGCATCTCTGGCCTGTACCCCAGCTCTTGTATGCATAAATAAATAAATCATTAAAAAAAAAAAGAGTTTAGTGATGAGATGGGTGGTGGTGATGGCTGCCCAGGAGTGATGTATTTCATGTGAGTTAATTGTGGGTTTAAAGATAGTTTTTAGGGCCTTCCTAGTGGCCTAGGGGTTAAGTCTCATCACTGCTGTGGCCTGAGTTCCATCCCCAGCCAGGGAGCTGACCCACATGGCACAGCAGACCTCTCCTGTCTTGCCTGCTGCTCCCCTCTGCAGTGTATTTTAGTACATCTGCCTGTTCTGCTCCCCACTCTGTCTCTGGTGAATCCTCTTATCACCTGCACCTCTGGCCTACACTGCAGTTCTTCTGCACAAAAGTAAAAATTAAGTAAATAAAAATAGAGTAAAAAAAAGATAGTTTTTAAAGTAATAAATTTCACATTTCACATATATCTTACCATGCAAAGTCCCCCCGCAAAAATCTTGATGATGAGTTGCTCTCTGACGGACTGTCAGTGCAGCTTACATTGTTGGCATATGCCTCACTACCTGTGCGGCCTCATTTTTAGTTTCTGTGTGTGCTCTGTGATTGTGATGATAAAAAGCCACAACTTCATTGGGTCTGGGTGCATAGACAAATTCAGATGTCTCTACGATGTGAAGTGAGCTCAGCCTTCATGCTTTTCCATGAGAACTTGTGTTTTAAATGACACCATGAGAGGTACTGTCAGTGATATGTGTTCACAGGGTGGGGTACCCTCCTGCACAGAGTGCAGGAAGAGGTTTATTAGAAGCACTTCTTATTATCTACTTCTTCTCACCTCCACTCCCTTTTTTTCCTTTGGCCCTCCATAGCTTAATCGAATCTCTGAAGTTCTGGAGGACCCGCTTCCTGCTGCTGCCAGCCTGTGTCACTGCCACCAAGCGCATCACGGAAGGGGAGGTTCACTGTGACATCTATGGGGACAAGCCTCGGGCAGACGAGGAGGAGTGGCAACTCCTGGATGGCTTCATCCGCTTTGTGGAGGGCTTAAACCGGATCCGCAGGCGCCATCGCTCAGATCGCATGATGAGGGTGAGGGCTCTTGGGCCCCTGGGGGATTGAACTTGATCTTGCGTGCAGGAACTATCTCCTCGATTTCAGAGACCTCTCATTGGCTAGTTTACTTATTCCACAACTGTACAGCATTTATTTTTTTTTTTTTTTAATTTTATTTATTTATTTATACATGCGCTGGACACAGTCAGAAGCACAGGAGGGTGAGAGGATTCACCAGAGCCAGAGCGGGGAACAGAACAGGCAGACTGACGAAATACACTGCTGAGGGGAGCAGCGGGCGGCAGGAGAGGTCTGCGCGCCATGTGGAACCCTCGCCAGTGGTCGGGGATCGAACCTGCACTGCAGAGGCTGCGGGCAGCTTCACAGCCCAGCGCTCAACTGCTGCGCCACCAGGGGAGGCCCATGTGCAGCATTTATCTTAAACCCAAGACAAGTTGTTCTCCCCCATTGAGAGTAGAGGAGGGAAGACTGGGGTATACAAAGGTGACTGGATGGTGTTCTTGGCTTGGGGCCATCCCTCCCAGCCTGAGGACATAGTTCCTTCATGTGCTCCCAGGTGAGACACTGTGTTGGGCGCAGATACTTATGTAATAGGATGCTGGATTGCTGAGTAGAAATTGGCCTAAAAAGGTAACAGCAGCAATACTTACTTATTCTTATTTCAGTCACTATTAGGGTTTCTAGCACCCATGGGCATTGTTTTAGCCACATTACCCAGAGAGGACACTAAAGTACTAGGGCTCATGGATGTGTCTGAGGACACCCAGTTAATAAAAAGCAGTGTGTGTGTGTGTGTGTGTGTGTGTGTGTATTCTGGTCTATGGATTTTAACAAATGTATAGATTCATCTCATTACCACTACCACACTTAGGTTACAGAATAGCTTCATCACTCCTGAAAAACTCCCTCATGTTACCTTTTATCATCATACTCCTCCCATCTCCTACCTCTGGCAGCCACTAGTCTGTTCTTCATTATTATTATACTTCATTCTTGTCCAAATGTCGTATAAATAGAATCCTATAAGATGTGACCTTTCCAGGCTGCCTTCTTTTACTTAGCATATGCCTCTGAGATTCATTCAAGATATCTCTTGTATCAGTAGTTCATTCCTTTTAATTGTTGAGTGGTGTTTCATCATTCGCGATGCTTTTTTTGGTGTTGTTTTCAACCTCAAGTTCAGTGTTCTTTCCCCTACACCAGCTGCCTTTTGTATAAGTACCACTTGTGATTAGAAGCATTTCCAGGAGAGCTTGTATACTGGAAAGAACCTGGTTTTTGCAATCAGGTACTTGGAGAGAGAATTCTAACCCCAGTAGGATTTGAGATAAGTTTCTTAAGTTTTGTGAGACTTACTTTCTTCTGAAAATTAGTTATAACGTAATTTACTCCCTAGAACTGATTATAAAGTCAAATGCGATGGTATGTATGAATAACCTCAAAAAGGCAGTTTGTTTTGAGTCCAGGAGGCATTTGGGATCTGCAGTTCAAGAAACAAGCCCCTTTCTGGCACTTACTGAAGAGGGAGAACCTGTGTTCTTTAACTCTGTTTATTGGATTCCCAGGGCCTGAAGTGTGACAGATGTAGCAACACACTTAGGGGTGTCACTGAGGGTGCTCCCATGGGCTGATGGCCTGTCTTCTCTTCTTTTTTAGAAAGGGACTGCTATGAAAGGCTTGCAGATGCCTGGACCCATTTCCACACACCCTCTTGAGTCAACTGGACCTCCGGTTGGGAAGAAGGGAACCTCAGCTCTGTCTGCCCTGTTGGAGATGGAGGCCAGTCAGAAGTAAGTGCCTGGTTGGAGAGACTGCGCCTCACCCTGTAGGCCCCAGGGTTTTTAGTGCTCCACTTTGAATGGGATGAAGTATGATTTCTATCTGCAAGGAGCCTATAATTAACCAAAAGACATATACATGAAAAGAAAACTAAGTTAATACCTGATAAGTGTCACTTAGTATGAAATATGCCAGAAGTTAGAAACTTGCAGTGTGGGGCTTAATTTTTGAGCTACAGATGAATTTGGTTTTACTCACAATTGTTTTGTTTGTTTGTTTATAGACTATATTTTTTAGAGCAATCTTAGGTTCATAACAAGGTTTAAGATGCAAAGTGTACAAAGATTTCTCACATACACCGTGTTCCACACATCCATAGCCTTTCCTTACTATCAACATCCCCTACCAATGGTACATTTATACAGTGGATGAATCTATATTTACACATTGTAATCACCCAAAGACCATAGTTTATATTGGGGTTCACTCTGGATGATGTACATTTTGTGGGTTTAGACAGATTCAAAATGACACATAGGCACTATCAGAGAGTATTTTTACTACCCCAAAAAACACAAAATATTTTTTAAATAGCTTAGTTAAGTTTCTTTTAGTTTGAAGATTTCATGTAAAAATCTGGATTTTGTATGAATTCTGAAATGGAAAATAAATATGTACATGATTATGTTAATAAAATGTATAAAGTGGAATTATAGATAACATAGTATTATATATAGATAATACAACATTATATAAATTCCAGGTTTGCCTAAAATAGTTGAGGCTTTGTTAACACTGGGCCCATGCTCACACCTAGGCACGTGCTCCCAGGTTTACCTGAGACCAGCACATCTGGACTTGTTTTGCATGCTCAGTTGTTCTATCTGACTAGCTTCTCTAGGCATTTGAGTGTGTGGTCCCTTTAGGGACAGTACTTGCCAAAGTTCCCAGACACTGGTGGGACCATATCTTGTTTAGGGGCCAGGGAAAGCATCACAGGGGCTGGGACCTAAGTTTGTCTTATAGGAATGGAGGTGTTTATTTAGGTAGGAGGAAGAACTTGGGGTAAAGGAGAAAACACTGCTGTGTGCAGGTGGGACCTTGCTCTGGGGAGCCTTCCCTGACTCTCTACTCTCCCAGCCAGCTCAGGTTCCCCTCTGTGCTTTCCAACATCCTAGGCCTGTGTCCATTAGAGCACTTTCAGTACTCTGGGAAGGACCACAGTCATCAGCTCACCTGATTTCCCCTCAATTGTCTGTGTGTGAGGAGAGGCTCTATGTTATGCCTGGCACAGAGTAGATACATGGTAGAGGTTTACTGAATGGGGAGGAAGGGCTGTTGAGGGTCTCCATGTATAGACCTGGGGCCCCCAGCATGTTAGGTGAGGCTACAACCTTGTTTGTCTAGCATGTAAATCCATGACTTGCTCTGCAGGAGTCAGTGTGTTATTAGACTTCCTCAAAGTAACTTCAATTGAGCAAGTGAGCACAAAGCATTGTGGGAGATGCCCTTGCAATGACAGAGTGGAGAGTTGGAGGCCTGGCTGTCATTATGCATTCTTATGGCAAGAGGGGTCCTTTTAAAGTTTTTTGTTCTTTTAATAGAAATTTTCAAATAAAAAGTAGACAGAGTCATACAGGAAATCTCCATTTCTCCATCACCCTACTTCAGTGATCATCAACTCTTATTGATCAAGAGCAAACTGATCTTGTTTCATTTATATCCTATTTGCTATTACCTTCCTTTTTATTTTTCATTAAATCTATAATATTTCATTAAATCTATAATCTACTTCATCTATAATATTTCAATATGTATCTCTGAAAATTAAATGCTTTTAAAAATAACCCAAAATCATGATGCCATGATTTATCTAAATAGTTCCAGCAGCTCCTTAATATCATGAAAGGTCCAGTCAGGTGTTTGGCAGAGTGGTGTTTCCAGAGATGAGCCCCATGTTTCTGGAAGTCTGGTGGATGGGCCAAAGGAGGAAGAGGCAGAATGGAAGGTGTTGATGACATGGCAAGGAAGGGATGCAGGGAGAGACGTGAAGAACAGAGCAGGGTCACTGTGGGGGGGCAGATGAAAGGAGGAACAGGTTGGGTTTATTACTGAAGGCACCACATCCCCTTTAGAAAATGTCTTCATTGGACCAAAGAAAGACCACAGAACTCTGCCCAGCAGGTTCTTCCTGTAACACATCCCAAACCTTTCCCGCTGGAAAAAAGAACAGGGAACATATGTTGCTAGGAGGAGTGTGAAGTTGGGGGTGGGGGGGGCCTTATTTTAATATGTCAGTGAGTCATTGTTGAGTATGTGCCAAGGAGCCTCTTTCTGCTCAGATTGGGAGAGGAAAGACAGCTTGGGGTGGTAGTGTCCCCCAGTGTGGAGGCTGAGACTCTCAGCCAACCCCACAGCCAAGGGCAAGCTGAGATTTATGCTTGCCCAGATGACTGCTCCAGGCGGACACAATATATTTTCTCAATGCTAGAGGTAGAGTGAAGCCAGAGCTTTATGTAATGTTTACTCACACAACACTTCTTATGTGCTTTTCTTTTTCTTTGCCGTGTCAAGCAGATCTAATTTTATTTAAGGTGAAAAACAACACATAGCAACATAACGAAGAATTATTAAAATATCACCTGTAGTCCTGTCATCATTCCACCACTATGTTTATTCCCTCCAGTTCTCTCCCAGTCTGGATCTGTAAGCATGTACCTTTAGTTAGGCTGTTGGGGAAAGGTAGAGGCTCCTGGAGTTTCAGCCTTTGATTGATAAACAGCTTGACTGGAAGCGGTCTGGACTGCAGGTGCTGGTCAGCAGGTTTCTCTGCTCCTTTTGAGTGAAGAGAAATGGCTGAGTCAGAGCAGAAAGAGGGAGTCAGTTGCCGCTGCTTGGCTAGCGATTTCCTCCCACCGGAAGGCTGTGTGCCCTCGTGGACCTGCTCCCGTGTGCATGTGTACAGTATAGCTGGTCGTTTTCCCCGACATTAGACAAGGAGCCTCCAAGGGCAAGGGCAGGGTCTTACTTGACTCTAAATCCTAGTCCACAGATCAGCACCTAGAAAGCAACTCAATAAACGGGGATGTCATGTGTATCATACCACATGTCTGAAGGGTCACTGGGGAGTAACTAAGGTTTCCTGCCATTGCTGTCCTAGTCATAGCCTGCCATGGCAGCCCTCAGGAAATGCAGGGAAATGTGAGTGTGTTTACGGATGAGGATCAGAGGAGGCACCTGAGATAGAGACAGTGTGGTCTGAGCGGACAAGGGAAAGAACAAAGCATTTAGTCTGGGTTTCCTGTGTGAATTATACCTCAGTGTGACCAAGTAATTGGTGTGAGGATGCTTCTCTTTTTTAATATTCCAGCTAATAGGTACAGAAGGAACAATGGAATAATGCCTCATGTGATTGCTAATGCACTAATGGATCTATCAGAGACCATCAGTGGCAACTAATATCACCAGGGAGAGACCACCAGGCCTTATGGGCCTCCAGATAAAAGTACACAATGCACTTAGGAAGAATTCTTGCCCCCAAATTGAACCTAAATTAGTTTAAATCTTTAGACATAACTTCTAGTTCTCAGGAAGTGCCATGCACAGAGGAACATGATAAACAATAAGGAGACATAAGCAGCACATCCAGGCTGTGTAAGTTTACAGGACAAATGAGCTACTTTCTTCAACAAATAAACTGTAAGAATAAGGAGAGGTGAAGAGGAGCTTGTGGCTTAAAAGAGACTTATAGGGCCTCCCTGGTGCGCAAGGGGTTAAGATGCAACCTATGAAGCTATCTGCAGCCACTGCAGCACGAGTTCAATCCCCAGCCAGAGAGCTACCCACATGGCGCAGCAGACCTCTCCTGTCTCACACGCTGCTCCCCTCAGCAGCGTATTTCAGTCAATCTGCCTGTTCTGTTCCCCACTCTGTCTCTGATGAATCCTCTCACCCCCCACACCTCTGGCCTGTACCCAAGTTCTTGTATGCATAAATGAATAAATCTTTAAAAAAAAAAAAAGAGAGACTTACAAAACCTAATTTATTGCAATGTAGGGACTTTGATTGAGTCCTGTTTTATGTGAATAAACTATAAAAAAGTTTTTGAGATAATGGGGTAATACTTGATATTAGAAAACAAACCTTTAAAGAATCAAAAAGTGATTGTGATTTTTTTTTTTAAGTTTTCTCTTAGCATACATACTAAAGTGTTTATGGGTGAAATAATATATGTGAATTTCCATCTAATCAGTAGGTAGAGGGTATAAACAAAGAAAGATCGGCTCTAAGTATATAAATTTGGGGCCTGGATGTGTAGGGGTTCATTATATTATGCTCTTTTGTGTATGTTTGAGATTTTTCTGTAATAAAAAAGAAAGTGTAGCAGGTTACTATGGAAACAGGTTTCTTAAATCTCTGGTTTGTCATTACTTCACAATCAGGTAACTAAAATGGCAGAATTTAAAACCAGCAAAATAGCACAGATAGGGTTCCCAGAGAAGCAGGTTGAGATGGAGTTTGACATATAGGATGTTTAGGGAGAGTGGTTGGGCTCAACGCCTGTGGGAGGGAGGGGACAAAGCAGGGGTGGGCACAGGGAGAAACCCAGGTGCAGTGCAGGCCCAGTGAAGGCTTGGGCAGCCTCACTCAAGCCAGAGCAGGTTTCAGAGGTGAGCCAGGTTGGACCAGTGTGACCACCTTCAAACCCCCTCATGGTTCATTCACTGTCTATGGGCAGCCAGAGGAGGGCCAAGAACTTAAATACGGCTGCTCTACAGTGGGGCTGTCCCGGAACGGGCTGGCAGCTGAGCCCACTGAACAACACTCCTGGCTTCTGTGGCAAAATGGTCACAGCAGAGGGGTCTGGGCACTGCCTCATAGTTACAACAATAATGAAGCATTTAGGACTATAATGTGAACCTTCTGAAACTTACCAAATAAAAAATGCCATGATATATTAAAACAATATAATTTAGGGGAATATTTAATTTATTATCATTCCTGGTTAATTTTAGTTAGGAAAATACAGCTAAAGGTACATCTTTATGTACATCAGAACTGAGATGGGGGCCTGCCCGGTGGCACAGCGGTTGAGCGCTGGGTTGCGAAGCTGCCCGCGGCCTCTGCGGCGCCGGTTCGATCCCCGGCTGCTCCCCGGCCACTGGAGGAGGGTCCCACATGGCGCGCGGACCTCTCCTGCCGCCCACTGCTCCCCTCAGCAGTGTACTTCGGTCCTTCTGCCTGTTCTGCTCCCCGCTCTGGCTCTGGTGAATTCTCTCACCCTCCCGCGCTTCTGACTGTACCCAGTACATGTATAAAAAAACAAACAAACAAATAAATAAATAAAACATGCCTCTATAAAAAAAAAAAAAAAGAACTGAGATGGGATGAGATGTCATAAAGAAAGCCATAGTTGCCTTGTGTTATGGGATAATGCCTGTTAGATTTGTGTGATGGGGAGAGGTGGGGTTGTAAGTATATATATTTGAAAGATTAACTTATAAACACATTTCCCCCAGTTTAGCTTATGCCTCATGTTAATGCAGCCCTAATTAGCAGAATGTACTTTTACTGGTATATTTAATAAAACTGAGAAAACTTCTTCCCAGAGGGTTTAAAAAAATGTGTTCAGGGCCTCCCTGGTGGCGCAGCGGTTGAGCGCTGGGTTGCGAAGCTGCCCGCAGCCTCTGCAGCACTGGTTCGATTCCCGGCTGCTCCCGGCCACCAGAGGAGGGTCCCACATGGCGCGCAGACCTCTCCTGCCGCCCGCTGCTCCCCTCAGCAGTGTACTTTGGTCCTTCTGCCTGCTCTGCTACCCGCTCTGGCTCTGGTGAATTCTCTCACCCTCCCGCACTTCTGACTGTACCCAGTGCATGTAGAAACAAAACAAACGAATAAATAAATAAATAAATAAATAAATAAATTAAAAAAAAAAAAATGTGTTCATAGCAGTCACTTAAACCACATCACTTTGCCTTTTCAAAGTAATATGTAAGTACCAGGTGCTACAAAGATGCTTTTTAAATTGGGCTGTTTTCTGAAGTACCATGAAGGGCTGGTCATTATTTAGGGCCTTGAATGAAGTGAAGGGTGTTACATAGGGCATGAAAGAGGAACAAAGCAGAAGTGTGTGTTCCGAAGATGGCGGCCACAAAACTCACTTCATTTCACCTTGGCTAACAAGGGTCCTTCCCCAGAGGGCTCTGAGCAAGCTACTGTCATGTGTTTTTCCTCATTCCAGGTGCCTAGGAGAACAGGCAGCTGTGCATGGTGGCAAGAGTTCCGCCCAGCCAGCTGAGAGCAGCAGCAGCGTTGCCATGGCTCCCTCCTACGTGGATAGCCCACGAAAGGTAACAGAGGCCACGCTAGCAGGGAGCTGCCAGGTGTTCTCAGAGACCCACTGTGGGGGGTAAAATGGATAGTCATTAGAATTCAGGATTGAACATACTAAGGAGATGGATGAATTGTACCCTGAACCCTTTTAAATATTACTGTTTTTATTGAGGAACTTTCCTGTTCACAGTTGTAAGGAAGCTAACTTCTTGATAAAGGTAGACATAAATCTGTGAAGCTAAGTTGTATTGTTCAAGACCCAAGATCCTGCTTGGGCTTTGAAATTGGCCATTTGGTTCTTCTTCAGCCACATCTTTGGCTTTCCCTAAAGGGTGTAGAAGCTACTAAGGCAGCTTCCATGAGAGTACACTCTTCTTTGCTTGTGAAATTTCTATCAGTTTGCTATTCTCCTGAGAATTATAGTCAAGAGGGAGCAGATCATAGCTTGGGGGGCAAGAGGGGTGGTTGGGAAGGACCCAAAGCTGAGGCTATATATTTCTTTACAGAATAGCAAATACAGTGAGACCCTTTGCATAAAATATCTTCAGACCTAGGAGATGGTAAAAGGCATAAAGTCTAAACACCTGGAGGGAGGATCATTGAGAGAAAACTCCATAGGTGAGGCTTTTTGTATCATTAGACTTCGTCAGTGTCTTCTCCGGGGAAATTCAGAGCATGAGATCATTCTGATGTGATAGGGTGAGTTGACTGTACATTCTCTTATCTAGTTTCAGTTCACTCAGAGAGAGAAATTCAATATATGTATTTTATTTTTCAAAATTGTGGTCAAATTGTATGTCCACCTACGTATTTATTTTACTTCCATATCATGAAAATTTCCCCATGTTATTAAAATATTTTTCAAAAGCATAAACTTACAAAACAAGTATATTCCATCATAATGATATTTTATCACGACTTTTTAATGACTTTTTTGTTAAAAAAGTAGATGTTACCTGATTTTATAAGTAATATTTGGTAATTCCATAAATTTTGATAATTTTGTGTATCACAGTTATATGCAGACACCATCCTTGTTCATAATTGTTTGACTGCATCTCTGATTATTTCTTTAGGATCAATTCCTAGAATTAGACTACTAGGATGGAGGGATTAAAATATGAGGAAAAATATTGAATGAGGCTGCAAGCGGCATGTAGGATCTATGAATAAGCCAGAGGCCAGCAAACCTAACAAGTACTTTAGGCTTTGTGGGCCTGGAGACAAGACCAGTGCTTTGTGAAGGTACTTCCACAGCCACTTAAATTTTAACAGCCATTTTAGCTCACAGACAGTAATAACCAGGTGGCTAGATTTGGCTGGATTTCGCTGACCCTCACTCTAGTATATGATTTGAGGTACAGTTTAAGGATTATCTGTATATAAAAACGATCTGTTGGTCATGGAAGTCTTTTCATCTGTCTTCACTCGCGAGTGCATAAATCTCAGCAGCATTAGCCTCTCTGTTTCTTTATGTTCTGGCAGAAAAGGCACACAGGTGGAACAATGAGAATGTACAATACCCAGTGTCCTGCCCACTAGCTGTTACCTCTACTCATTGCCATCTTTGAGATTAGAAACAGTGCCAGGGACAAGGCTGAAAAGTAGGAAAAGTACGGAGCACAAGCTTTAAGGCTAAAATGCACTGATGACCTGATATTAGACTGCTGTTTAGAACGCTCCTTATCTCCCAACTGAGCACCAAAGTTCACATGTATAGCCATCACTGCGCCAGATGTCGATTCCTGAGTTACAAGGAGAAACACAGATGTTCCATGATAGCCAGAGTGGAGAGCCCTGTCAGCCCTTTCAGAAATGCCCAGCACTTCCAGGCAGAAACTTGTGGTAGGATATATCAAGGGGTAATTGAATGTGTGTCTCCATAGCTGCACGTTTCCACGGTTAGTGAAGCAGGCTCACAGCAGCTTGTGGGAAGTGGCAGCCGTATTGATAAAATGAACATCCGACTACTTTAGTGATTCCGCTTTTAGCATTGAAGAAAAGCTGTAAGAATGTAGGACCCTCAGATTTATCATGTGCCATTTCTGAATTTCATTGATAATAGGCATCAAAAATAAGTTTTTGAAGGGATAAGAGGATATTTCTTGACCTAAAGAAAGATAAAAGGAGGAATTGCTGGAAAAGTTCTCTATGCTGTTTTTGTTTTAAAAATGGCAACTTGAACCACACAACAATAGGGTGAGTTGGGGGAGACAGCTTCGGGAAGCCCCTCCAGTGACTACATATGTATCCAACATTTATATGTCTCAGCTGCTTGTGATTTTGTTATACACCCAGTGGAGGAGAGGTATTGCTGCTTCTGTATCTGCTGTTTGCTTTGAAAATTAAGCAAAAACTTTTCCTGCATTGAATCCTTGTCTCCTGTCTGGCTACCATATTGAGTAACAGGCAAAAATGAAAACCCCAAGCCTCTGTATATCTCTTTAAGAGGTTTGCTGCTCACCCAGCCAGGTGGGAGGCCAGGATGCCACCATTGAAGCTACGCCCCTCACCCCCCAACCCCGCCTAGACTCCCACCAAGCTGCTCTGATGCATTTTCCCTCCCTTGGCATAGGTCTGAAGGAAGTTCAGAGCTATGAGGGAGGGCGCAAGCATCCAAGCCAGGCTCTGATGAGACCTGAGGGAGCTTGGACACACCTTCTAACTCAGGTGCTTTCTCCCACACAGATGGGATGTTCTGTCCAAGAAGGTGTGAGTTCCTGCTCGTGCTTTGCATTTGGATATTGTCTTCCTAGGTGGATCTCTCTCTCTCCCACTCCCTGGTACCCCCCTCCTTGCACCCTTCCCTGCTGCATGCCCTTGTTTATGCTCTCCTCTCCTAGTTTTTAATTTTTCTTTCATATCCCTCTCCTCCCCCTGATGGTACACCACTGGCCCACATCCCGTTCCTCTCTCCCTTGCACCTGCTGTTGCCGCTGCTGCTTCCTCCTCCTCTGACTTCAGGACGGGGCCTTCTTTATGGAGTTTGTCCGCAGCCCACGCACAGCATCATCTGCCTTCTACCCGCAGGTCAGTCAAACTCAAGGGCTCTGCAGCCTGTGCATGCCTGTCCTATCAGCAGAAACCACGGGTTGGCCGTCTGCTTTAATCTGAACAGATGGAATTGGACTGAAACTGAGTTTGAGGGGTACTTGCAATTGAATTTGGTCTCAGAGTGTACATTCACATCCCTGCTGTTAGTGGCCACAAAGGGGATGGAAATGAGCAAACTAAGAGAACAAATATAGAAACACCAGTGTGCTCCCGTGTGCCCCATCTCTGCCTGGATGCTTTACAAAGTTACCATGGATTTTTTTGCCACATCATGCCTTCCTTTTTAGGCATTTTTGGCCATATGATATGAACAACATGAAATGTGCCTTCTTACAGATTGAAAACTTATTTTTTTTCCCTCTTAATTCTACCAGATAAATTTTAGCAGTATCTAAGGAAGTGGTAAAAAACAGAACAGGGCCTCCCCTGGTGGCGCAGGCAGTTGAGTGCCGCGCTGTGAAGCTGCCCGCAGCCTCTGCAGCACCGGTTCAATCCCGGCTGGCCGACAAGGGTCCCACATGGCGCGGCAGAACTCTCCTGTCGTGCCCGCTGCTCCCCTCAGCAGTGTATTTCATCAGTCTGCCTGTTCTGTTCCCTGCTCTGTCTCTGGTGAATCCTCTCACCCTCCCACGCATCTGGCCTGTACTCTGGTTCTTGTATAAATAAATAAATAAATCTTTAAAAACAGCAACACCACCAACAGAGCAAACATTAATGGGCACACGCTTGGTCAGAGGCTCGTCGTGTGTGACCGAGGCAGGTTACCTTGGCCCTGGACTTCCCTAAACTCAGTTGTCAAATAAAGGGTTTCACCCAGATCTCCAAGAGCCGTCCAAGCTTTATGTTTCTTCAGTTGCTAAGTGCTGAGCACATAGCATTATCCTCACAGTATAATGTATGAATTAGGGAGACATTTTATCTCAGTTTTACAAATGGAGAAATCAAGGGCCTAAGAAGTTATGCTTTATGCAGTAGGGAGTAGAGCTGAGATTTAAATCCTAGACCAACAGGCTTGACTCGTGATCCCCTGCTCTGTAATTAGTATTACTGATTACTGTAAGGAGGCCTCAGGTTCTAGGTGAAGAGAAAGTGGCCCCCTTGTCCTTCGTAGAGGTCCCTAAGTATATGAAATTGACTTCATTGAGAGGGTGTAGGCAAAGTAGGGCAGCCTAAGGAGGATAGGGCTTGGGAGGTTGAAGGGCAAAGGTTATGTGATAAAGCCTGAAAATCAACATGCATTGAGTGATCATTCTCTAGTTACTGTACTGGAAATGAGGAAACTGAGGCTAAAAGTCATTACTTGGTCCAAGGGCACACAACTAGCAAGTAGATGAGGCCCTGCACCATCAGAGGGGAAGGGGTTCGTTAACATAGGAGCTCCCCCTTTCTTAGGAGGCCAGAGAGTGCCTTACCTGTCTGTGCAGGTCTTCAGATGTCTGTGCCTGCTTCATCCCAGTGAGCTGCATGACGCTGGCAAATCCATCAGGATCTGAGTGTGAATTCAACAATCTCCAATCTCTAAGCATGGGAGGCATACTGTTTTTGGTTTAAAACCAACTCAGGTTGAACTTTCTTTTTTATTTGAAGATTTATTTATTTATGCATACAAGAACTGGGGTACAGGCCAGAGGTGCAGGGGTGAGAGGATTCACCAGAGACAGAGTAGGGAACAGAACAGGCAGACTGACTGAAATACACTGCTGAAGGGAGCATTGGGTGAGACAGGAGGGGTCTGCTATGCCATGTGGGTAGCTCCCTGGCCGGCTAGGGATCAAACTTGTGCTGCAGTGACTGCAGGTAGCTTCACAGTGCTGTGCTTAATAACCCCTTGCACCACCAGGGAGGCCCCAGGTTGAACTTTTACTTTCCAACATTTCTTGTGAAAAATTTTATACTTATGTTAGAACATAACAGAAGAAAAATCAGCAGTGCCAAAAAAAGAGAATTGTTTTATAAATACTATAATAGTCCATACAACTTAATATGGTGGAATTTGTAGGTAGAACAAAAGTGGACAAGTTTCCACCATTTGAACTAGCACACAGAGATGAGAAGCTGGAGGAAGCATGTGAAGTTAAAACTCCACCAGCTGTACAGTTAAGAAAAATATATAAACTAAAAAAAATTATATCAACTCATTGGGTGCAGTAAGGGGTCTCCAAATACTTACACATAATTAAATTGTACTTTGTTTTTTATTTTTCCTTTTGCTTATCTGTTTCTTATTTATTTTGGAAAATGGTACATAACAAGATTTGTTTGTTTGTGTCCTGACAGTCAGCATGGAGACTGGAGAGAGGCCACTGGAGTCTGATGATTCCTTTCTGGTCTTGATTTCGCACTGTAGGACACGGCTTTTGGCACATTAATTAACCTCTGAACCTCAGTGTTCTCATTTATAAAAGGAAATAAAAATAACTTCCTTGTAGGCTTGTTTTGAGGATTAGAAATAATACACATTTATTAATAGAGTTCACAGGTATGAAATCATACACAGAACATGTGTGTAATTAAGTTACCTGTCAGTGACACAAAGATAACTAGAAAAGCCCCACATATTTGGAAATTAAAATGTAGCACACTTCTAGTAAGGCATGAGACAGGAGTAATACATGTGAAGGCAACTGGTGCTTGGTATGTGGTGGGCACACAGTCAATGAGCTTGTAGCTGCAAGGAGGCTCAGAGTGACTAAAATTCCAGGTTTTAATGTCAGTTTTGCACATCTGTTTACTGGTGCCTACTCTCTATTCCTGCTGCCTCTGCTGTCCATCCTAATGCCAGAACCAAAAAATAGAGTATGGTGAGCTCCTTAGGAGAAAGGGCCTGCATGTTAACAGGCTGCCTGAGACGGCCCTGGTGTCAGCCTGCCCACCGTGGCACAACTGGTTGTGAAATTTTCGGCAACAGCACTAGACTTTCTGACGTTCAGGTTTCTCATCAGTAGACTGGAACAACTAACCATGTTCTCCTTATAGAATTGCTGTGAGAGCCGACTGAGATGACGCATCTCTGTGGTTAGTTCAGATCCTGGCACGCAGTAAATTCTCCAGACATGTATCTGTGTGGGGAAGTAGGGAGTGGGGAGTGCAGGGTGGGGTTGGGCACACACTAGTGGAGGGGCTTGATTGGCCTAGCCAGCTCTTTCCTCATGAATGTGTGTGTAAAAATGGGAACTTCCACCATTCTAGCTCTGAAATTCTGGGATGACCCTGAGGGACCTTGAAAGTAAGTCCTCCACCTCAGGCTAAGTTACAAAGGTGTTGCCTATGTATTGTTGCCCCTTAGAACAGTTCTCTACTGAGAAGGGACTCCTGTTTGCTAAGGAGGGTGAGATTCTGATTTTGCTAAGAGAAGGAAGTACCTGTAAAACTGAAACAGATAGCAGTATGCAGAGGTAACAGGCCTACACATCCCTACTGGAAAGTAGTTCTTTATGCCTCCAATTCGTCATTCTGACGATAATGAATGTGTCACTCTCTCTGATAACAGAACACTTCCACAGTTTCCTCACCTTATTCTGCTCTCTGGAAATCTATTTTAGTCTTCACAAAGTTCCACAAGAACTTGGAGGCATAAGAAATACTTGGTAATGGGATTTTCCTCAGAAGTCAGCCTGATGATATCTTTTGTCTGTACCTTGGAGCCTGAAGGAACATATTCAAGGAGAGAGGGTCCTGCCACATGAGACCTGAGCTAGTGAGGGTCTCTCCCCTTCTCCCCTGCTGTCCCTTGACCCCCCAGCAGTTACTCTCAGAAGGACACGTGGCTCTTGGCAGATCCGGCTCTCTGTCTTGTTGGATTTGCTTGTGTCTGGGGTCATGCGCTTAGCTCCGTACTTCCATATGCCCCAGCTCACTCCCTAGTTCACGCGACTGTATCTCACCTTGATCCTGCCCCAGCCTCCAGTGTGTTCTCCCTGCTTCCATCCTGCTCTCTCCCCATCTTTTCCAACTGTGTCTGGGATTTACCTTTTGAAATGTAAGTTGGATTGTGTCACTCCTGATCAAATCTATATTAGCTCAAACTCCTATAAGAAAATACTGTAGACTGGGGGCTTAAGCAGCACGTTTACTTCTCACATTTCTGCAGACTGAGAAGTCCAAGACCAAAGAGCTGGCACACTTGACTTGCAGATGACCACCTCATTGTGTCCTCAGATGGCAGAGACTTGGAGCTCTGGTCTGCCTATTGTAATGATGGGACACTAACCCCATCATGGGGCCCCTACCCTCTTGACCTCATCTAATTCTCTCCCAAGGGCTCCACCTGCAAATACCATCACATCAGGGATTGGGACTTCAACATGAATTTGGGGAGCACGTAAGCATTCAGCCCATAACACTTCTTTCCTTTAGGATAAAGACCAAAATCAGTACAATGTCCTACGTGATTGAGGCTCTGCCTTTCTTTCCAGCCTTACTTTTTGCCATTCATCTTCCTCACTCTTGCACTCCAGCCACATATGTCTTTCTCCAGCTCTGCAGACAGCAGATTTCCTGCCACTGTGCCTTGGCATGTTCTGTTCCCTCTGATTGTGGCTGGTTAACTCCCACTCATCAGGTGAATCTCCTGTCACAGACTTGCATAGCTCCAGTTTTCTTTTCAGTCCTTCTTGTGGTTCTACTTTGCATTTGTATGACTGGGATTTAATTAATGTCCATCTTCCCCATGAGACTAAACTCCAGGAGGGCAACTTCCTTGTCTGTGTTGCTTAGTGGTAACTCTCCAGCGCTAACATGGCACTTAGGAGGGCTTAGTAAATACCACCTCAAAGATCCTAGTGCAGGGAGACATACACAAACAAAGTTTATTTAAACAATAGAACCCTTTTTTTCCACAATGATAATTTACACCAAGCCCGGAACTATAACCCGATAAAACGTAATGGGAACCGCTCTGGCTTGCGTATGTGGGAGGATGGGTGGTGGAGAAGGCTCACAGCCCTGTGCAGTCGCACCCTGTGGTAGCCCCAGAGAAGCTGCCCCAAGTTCTGCAGAATGCACTCTGGGGCCATGCCTGTTAGGACAGCAGTTTTCAGCATGCACATGCGGGCACTGAGAGAATTTTCTGGGGAATCCGGCAATTTGACCAAAAGTGGACTTTTTACTCTAATGTGTTTTTTCCCTTTGGAGACACGAGTGAGCAAAAGGTTTCTGTCTCCAGGGCTGACTCCCCAAAGGGGGCTCTCCAGACACACTACTCAGCCTTTGCCCTAACTTAAACCCTCCACCCTCAGGTTCTTGCCAGGAGTCTGCAGCAGGGGCTCACCGAGAAGATTGTCAGTCTATTGCCAACTCCTGAAAATATTTTGGGACTTGCTGTGTTTTAAAATTTTTGAGTTAGTTGGGCATACTTAAAAATCTGTAGATTTTGTACAAAGATCCAGGTTTCTATCTTATGTCACAAAATCAGCTAGACCTTGGACCTGGGTTCTTTCCCGAAGAGAGTCATATGGCCACAGAACAGGCTGTGGTTTTTCCTTTTTTGTTTTATTTTTAATAATCTGCCAGCTGTGCCAATATGTGTCCATCAATTTTTTGTTTTGTTTTGTTGTTTGTAACATTTGCTCTAGATCAGTGCTGCTTAGTGGAACTTTCTGCAGTGATGGAAATGTTCTGTATTTGTGCCATCCAGCACCATAGCTGTAAGTCACACATGGCTATCGAGCATTTGAGAAGTGGCTGGTGCTACCAAGGAACTGAATTTTACTTTTTATTTTAATTAATTTTTAAAAAATTTATTTATGCATACAAGCGCTGGGGTACAGGCCAGAGATGCAGGTGGTGAGAGGATTAACCAGAGACAGAGTTGGGAAGAGAACAGGCAGACTGACTGAAATACACTGCTGAGGAAGCAGCAGACGAGACAGGAGATGTCTGCCTCGCCATGAGGGTTGCTCCCTGGCCGGCCGGGGATCGCACTCATGCTGCCGAGGCTGCAGATTGCTTTATAGTGCGGTGCTTTAACCCCTTGTGCCACCTGAAAGGCCCTATTTTAATTAATTTATACCTAAATAGCCACATATAGGAAGTAGCTATGGTATTGTAGGGCACAGGTCTGACCATTTAAAACATTACAGTTAGATCAAAAAAGGATTTAGATGCAATGATTTCATATTTATCCTACCCCTGTTTTCACTGGATTTTCTTGTATGTTTATTTTGATTTACTAATATGTCTATTAATTAGTATCCTCATCTTATTTTGGAGTGATGTGAGATACTAAAATAGAGATAATCATTCAAATAGGAGGTTAGGATAGACTTGGTAGAAGGAGGCTCTCCCTGTGGAGAGAAATTCAGCTCAGCTGAGATTGCAGAGCCTACGTGGCTGTGATAGAGCTGTGCCAGGTGCCGGGGGAGGCACAGGGAGGAATATGGGACTTCATGGACGTTAGTTGTTCAATGTCTGTTTTCCCCTCCTCACCCCCAGATAGTAAGCTCCATGAGGGCGGGGGTTTCGGTTTGGGATGTTACTCCTTCCTTCCTTGACGGAGCTTTGGAGCTCTTGGAGGTGTGTGGGTTCTGTCTTGGGTCCTTCTCAGTGCCCTGAATGAGCTGGATGACTAGGAACCAGATGCACTTAGCCCACTTTGTCTCCAGTTTAGATTGGAATTAGGGGTTTTGGAAAAGAATACCTCACAAATGAGGTACATTTCTCATCACATCATATCAGGGCCTCCATGGGAGCCACACAACATCATTAGTGACATGACCCTTCCATCACTTAGTGGTATTATTTGCCAGCTGTCTCCACTATGAAATCAATATTTTCCCCTTTCTATTCTCTATGCTTTGGAAGCAAGTCACTAAGTCTAGACCACTCAAAAAAGGGAGAGATTAAACTCCACCTCCTGGAAGGGAGAGTACCTCCCTAGGAATCTTTCTGTAAGGATGATTTTGAATGACCTTCTAAGATGAGCTGCATCCTAGACAGACCAGGCCTCTGGGGGAGAGACTGCCATCCTGCCCATTTAGCCCTGTCTTTTTGGTTACACCACTGGTCTTATTCCAAAATGTTACTGTTGGTGGATTTTTTTAAAGATTTATTTTTATGAATATAAGAAAGTGAAAATCAAAATCAACAAAAAACTATGAACCAGAGACACTTTTTGGGGGGTGGGGGGCGGGAGGGGAAGGATTGGGGTCAGAATGGGGCGTTTGCAATTGTATGGGGGAATATAAAAATAAAATTTAATATTTAAAAAAAAAAATAAATAAAAAAAAAAAAAAGATTTATTTTTATTCATACAAGAACCAGGGTGTAGGCCAAAGGTACGGGGGTGGGGTGAGAAAATCAGAGACAGAGTGGGGAGCAGAACAGGCGGATCTACTGAAACACCCTGCTGAGGGGAGCAGCAGGCAAGACAGGAGAGGTCTGCTGCGCCATGTGGGTCAACTTCCTTTCTGGGAACTCATGCTGCAGTGGTTGGTGATAGCTTGATAGCGCTGAGACTTTAACCTCTGTGCCACCAGGGAGGCTCTCCAGATGGGTTATTGAAATAGGTATAATCTCCAGAGTGAAAAGGTGACTAGGTGGAAGACATTCAGGAATAGAAAAAAAGAAGATAGGACATAAAATGAGGTGTTATAAAGTAGCTAGAGTTTCATGCTCAATTCAACCCTGAACGTCCATTGGTAGCCAGAGAAAAGTGGGAAACATCTGTTCCAGGATTCAGAGTGATAATGAGATAAACATAAACCATAAACATTAACACCAACCATAAGGCGTAACTTTTCCTGGCATTAGTATCTGAGCAAAAGGCCATTCTGTGAAGGCCCTGGAAGATGGACATTGTGTGATATAGCTCAGGGGTCAGGAAACTATGGGGCAAGTCTGACCCGCCATCTGCTTTTGTAAACTAAGTTTTCTTGGGGGAGACTCATGCTCATTCATTTCCATGTTGGCTCATGGCTGCTTTTGTGCTTTTTCGTGCAGAGTTGAGTAGTTGTGACAGGCCATCTAGCCTGTAAGTCTAAAACGTTTACTATCTAAGATTTTGCAGAAAATGCTTGCCAGTTCTGATATAGAGGATAGCTCCTAACACACCCGCCTGAAATAAAACCGCGGGAATCATGCAAATTTCTGGTGACATCCCACAGTGTAGCCTGGTAGGGCAATTCTCAGGGTGCAGTAGAAGAGAGAGAACTCTACTCCAGGGCCTCAGAAGGCAGCACCTAAGAAGCACACTTATGTACATGAGAACTGGATCTATTCCCCCTTAATTAGCTTCTAAGTTAATGTTATGGTATAAATACTGTTCCTAAGTCTTGCTGGTTAAGGGCAGATGGTGATTGGTAATTGTAAGCTGCTTCTTAACTGCATTTCTCCATGTAGTTTTAGTGCTAGCAAAGTCTTGTTCTCATTTCTGTTTTTTTCTTAAATCATTGAGCCTGCTGTAGTAGAGCGTAATCATTCTTTCAGAACAGGGGCAGTTTTATCTGCCAGGGGACATTTAGTAGTATCTGGAGACATTTTTATTTGTCATGACTGGGATGGAGGGAAATGATAGATAATGGGGGTGTTACTGGCATCTAGAGGGCAGAAGCCTGGGATGCTGCTCAGAATCCTACAATGCAGCAACCCACAACAAAGACAAATCTGGTCCCTAATGGTCCCTAAGTGCTGAGGTTACGTATCACGTCTTAGAAGGAGTGCTTTTTACATGATCTGATGAAATATCTAAAAATATAAGGCTCCATTCTGGAAATACTGGTGAACCCTATATAAGAGGGACTAGACACTGTATTTTTCTAGAACTGTTCTGGAAGCCTTCCTGTTCTCTCTGGGTGTTTGTTGTGCAGTGAGCATGTCAGAGCAGTGCCTTCCAGAGCTTTTAAAGGGATAAAATAGAGATAACCAATGTTTGAGGTGAAATCCAGTGGCTGCCAGGAGAGAGTCAGGGAGGTCCTAAGTGGAGAGTAGATAGTTTCTCTTTGGGGGCTGAGGTGGAATGAGAAAGGAAACATTTTACTATGGGAGCAGCATTTGAAATGGCCTTCAGGAGTGGTGGGTTTTTAGCCTGTGGTTGTGGGGAAGGGGTCCCACGTGATGGGGCATGTGGATTCAGCACCCAGGGTTTGATTGAACTGGAAACGTAGAGGTGGGTGAATGGTGGGGGAAGCCATGGATCCTAGGTCACTGCTGTTGGTGCAGGACCCTCAGTGGCCGAGAGGTTGCTTCTTGGTGTGATAGCCCGTGGGGAGACTTGAAAGATTTCCAAGTAAATGAGTGACAGGATCGGAACTGTCCTTTAGGAAGATGAAAAGGGAGGTGATTCTCAGGTCGAGTATTTGGCAGAGAGGCTGCAATCAGGGAAGCTGGGGAGGAGACTGAGAGCCCTCCTCAGCAAGGAGGGCCTGAGTGAAGGTGGTGGGAGGGTATGATTGGAGATGTGCGTGAGTCAGCAGAAGGGAGGCCTCAGGACCAGGCCTCTCTAGAGGTGAAGTTGGAAATGGGCACTGTTAGAGGCCCCTGGGCAGTTGGTGGACGGAGAGTACCACAGACACAGGAAAGGAGGAGGGTGGAGAGGTGAGGTGTGGTCAAAGGAAGGTGCCTGCCCTGATGCGCATCCTTTTGTCTCAGCATTCTCTCTCTCCTCACAGTCTCATAGGAAATGATTCTGACTCCTTGTCCTTTCTCTGGAGAGTTTTCTTTAGTATAAATCGGGCAGTTTGAATCAGGTACTGCAGCTATTACTTTGGTCCTGGGGATGTTCTGTGAACGTTGACTTCACATATGCCTTGCTTTGGAGTGCAGGAATTCCCACTGCTCTGCTGAAGTAGCTACAAAGGAGCTGGTGTGGTCTCTCAACTCCTTTAACACTTTCCACCAGAGACCAGAGGGGAATGAGGGAAGAATAGAGAGGATCGTGTATATAGAGTCTTAAGAGTTTTGTTGGACTTTTGTTGTGTGTGTGTGTGTGTGTGTGTGTGTATTAAGTTTGAAATCTTCTACAGGTGTCTGTGGACCAGACGGCTGCCCCACTGTTGGACAGCTCCAGTTTGGGGATAAGCACAGGTCAACCTGCGGACAGAGGCAGCAGCCAGACATTTGGGAATTCCCAGACCTCAGGAGAACAAGGCTTCCCCTCCACAAACCCTAGTGATAACAGGTGAGCTTCAGAATGGCTGGGCTGTGCTGCTGGGCAGCGTGTATGACCTAAACGCAAGGCTATAGAGTCTGGAAGTTCAGAGTGCTGGATCCAGGTCTTACTTGGGCCATGAGTTTTATCTGGGAGGCTGGATCAGTCAGTTACCAGCACCTGTTTAGTAGGGCTCATGATGTGCGCCCTGCCTTCCCCACAGGATAGCAAAGAAGTTCCCACAGAGACGTAGACAAGTTTCCAGCACTGTGCAGGAGTGGGCTTTGGGAAGGGGTCCCAGGCCGAGCCCACCCTATCACCCAGGTGCCTTGGCATGATGCCTTGCACGAGGTAGTGTGTGGTCATTCTGTGCCCCTTGAGGGAAGGAATTTGAATAGTGAAAGAGTCAATAGTGGGAATTTTAGGGAGATTACACCTGAGGGGATAAATCAAACATTATACAAAAATGAACAACAATATAAATAAATAAATAAAATCATGAAAAACAACAACATTGCTTTAAACATTGAAAAGAAAAGTCAGTGATTGTGCCTGAATAGGGCCATTCTTATGTTGTTCCTGGGTATCCAGGGGAAAAATGACATGAATCAGGACCAGTGACTGAAAATTACAGAGAACAGATTCCATTTCATGATAAAGGACTGACTGGCAATTGGTACTGTGGCAGGGAAACTTACTACATGGAGAAGCTGAGTTCTCTGCCATTGAAATGTTTACATAGGTGGCAAGGGCTCGGGTCTTAGAAGTTCACATCCAAAGTCTTTCAATAATTTTTTTAACCCTGAGATTCTGAAATGTTCCAATGGGTTTTGGATCCACCAAAGCGGAAGAAGAGGCCTGCACTGAGGAAGGAGGTTTAAGAAGCTTCCAGATAAGCACCAGAACTGGCCCATTTTGGTGGGGTGGGTGGTGGTGTGTGCCCAGTGATCTGGGCTTAGTTGCTGAATATTTAAGCATGTTTTAAGGAGCTACCATATTATTGAAGAATTTGAATAGCAGCTGATGGAAAGATCTAAACTCTGGAGTCAGGCAGAACTGGCTTCACATCCAGCCCTGCTGTTTCCCAGCTCTTAGACTTTCACCTTTAATGTATACACCCCCACACCTGTGCCCTATGAGATAGCCTCAGGATGTGACTCTTCACAATTTGCTCAAGTGTTCAGTGTCAGTATTATCCTGGTCTCCAGCTCTGGAAGAAGTAGAGTGTAAGATCTGTGCTCTTGACTATGCATGTGCCCCCTTGTTTTGCTAACCAGTCATTCTGTGTTCCAGCTCTCAGCAGCAGATGGCAAGCTCCTTGACATCATCCTCCACCCTGGTGGAGATCCTGGAAGCCATGAAGCACCCCTCGTAAGTGGCTTGTCTGTGAGTACAAGGGTGGGAGGAGCTCAAAGATACAAGCCATGGCAGTGCTCAGCAGTGTGCTTTAGAAGATTCATACTTGACTACTGCTCACCAGCTGTGAGACGTTAGGCAAGTAACTTGACCTCTCTGAACCTCTGTTAACCTTGTAAAATGGATAACAGGGTTGCTCTAGGAGTTAAATGAAATAATTATGTAAATTACCTAGTATAATGATGGACAAGTATAGGTATTCTCTAAATACCATGTCCTTTCTCTTTCCCCTGTCTTGTTTTCCCCTGTGACACCTCTTGTCCTACCAGTGGGTTTCCTCTTGGCCTAAAGAGAAATTGAAGTTTGGGACCAGAACAGAATATCTGCTCTTTGTTTTGTTTTTTGCTTTTAAAGATTTATTTATTTATGCATACATAAATAAATAAATGGCATGGGTGGGGGGTGAGAGGATTCACCAGAGACAGAGTGGGAAACAGAACAGGCAGACTTAACTGAAATACACTGCTGAGGGGAGCAGCGGGCGAGTCAGGAGAGGTCTGCTGCGCCATGTGGTTAGCTCCTTGGCCGGGGACCGAACTTGTGCTGCAGTAGCTTCATACGTTGCGTCTCAGCTTCCTGTGCCACCAGGGAGGCCCTGCTGTTTGGATATTAAATGCTTTAGTGAGAGTTTCTTCTATTTCATCTTTTCTTTCTGTTCTTTGCCACCATGTACATACCCACCCTGCTCCCTCCCTGCTGTGTTGGAACTCAGGACAGGAGTCCAGCTGCTCTCTGAACAGAAGGGCCTCTCACCGTGCTGCTTCATCAGTGCAGAGGTGGTGCACTGGCTGGTCAACAACGTGGAGGGGGTCCAGACGCAGGCGATGGCCATCGACATCATGCAGGTGAGACAGCAAGGCCAGGGCCTGTGGAACCGTCTGCTCAGGCCCCCCTTGAAACCAAAGCCTGTCTCTGAAGCAGCTGTCCTTTCCAATAAAAAGATCTCCAGGTTGGGGTGAGGATCTGTTTTTATTGAGTGTGAGGCCTGTCTGGTATTGATAAAAGAGAAAGGTTTTGCTTTGAAAGATGTTATATCTTTTTTTTTAATTAATATTTTATATAATTCTTATATCATATTTCATTTTTGCACAATGTATGCATTATCATTTTGGCCATATTCCCCATACAATTGCACCCCCCCTTATTTTGACCCTAGTCCTTCCTCTCCCCTTCTCTCTACCCCCCTCCCAACCGTAGTGTGTCTCTGGTTTATAGTTGTTGATTATGATTTTTACTTTGTATTAATTAGTGAAAGACATTATATCTTGACTTAAAAATCTTGCAGAATTTGTCATATGAACTGAAATCCTGGACAAAATGTGTACTTTTGAATCTAGAAGGGATACCTGTGGAGGGATTCCCAGGGACTGCCCGCCCTTTGACCTTGAGCCCCTCTGCTCCCCTGTCAACACCTCAGTCAAGACAGGAAGCTGAAGTCAAGGCTCTGTCTACCTCAGGGACCTTGTGGCAACCTTGTACTTGCTCTGTCAGAGCCCTTAGCACAACAGTGAAGATTCTATCCATATCTCCTTCGTCTCCCACCAGAAGCGGGAATATTGAGTGAATAACCAAAATACAGAATGATAGTATTACTCCCTTCATTTAAAATGTAAAATCTGAGGCCTCCCTGGTGGTGCAGGGATTCAGTCTCATTGCTATCAAGCTGTCGCCAGCCACTGAGGCATGAATTCAATCCCTGGCCAGGGAGGTAACCCACATGGCACAGCAGACCTCTCCTGTCTCGCTCACTGCTCCCTTCAGTAGATCCATGTGAATTTCTGTAAATCCATGTGTTCTGCTCCTCACTCTCTCTGGTGAATCCTCCTACCCCCCACACCTCTGGCCTATACCCCAGTTCCTATATGCATAAGTAAATTTTAAAAATTTAAAATATATATATATATATATATATATATATATATATATATATATATATATATAGGGCCTTCCTGGTGGTGCAAGGGGTTAAGTCTCACACTGTGAAGCTATCAGCAGCCACTGCAGCACTACTTCGATCCCCAGCCTGGCAGCCACCCACATGGCACAGTATAGCTCTCCTGTCTGGCCCGCTGCTCCCCTCAGCAATGTATTTCCACGGATTTGCCTGTTCTGTTCCCCACTCTGTCTCTGGTGAATCCTTTCATACCCTCCACCCCACTGCCGCACCTCTGGGCTACACCCCAGCTCTTGTATGGATTAATAAAATAAATCTTTTAAAAAATAAATAAATATATATGTAATATAATGTAAAATCCCATGAAAACACTTCATATTCTTTATCAAAACATGTCTTATAATCAAATTATTAAAACCATGCTTGAGAGTAATATCACACTAGCTATTTCTGGAGGGAGAAGATTCCATAGAGGTTTTATTCTTTTTTTTTTTTTTTTTTAATAGAGGCATGCTTTATTTATTTATTTATTTGTTTGTTTGTTTTGTTTATACATGCACTGGGTACAGTCAGAAGCGTGGGAGGGTGAGAGAATTCACCAGAGCCAGAGTGGGGAGCAGAACAGGCAGAAGGACCGAAGTACGCTGCTGAGGGGAGCAGCGGGCAGCAGGAGAGGTTTGCGCACCATGTGGTACCCTCCTCCGGTGGCTGGGGAGCAGCCGGGGATCGAACCGGCGCTGCAGAGGCTGCGGGCAGCTTCGCAACCCAGCACTCAACCGCTGCGCCACCAGGGAGGCCCAGAGGTTTTATTCTTAATAAAAATATCTGAAGTCAGTATAGCAAAATGTTAAATTTGTTGAAGTTGGATGTTGGTATAAAGATTTTCTTTATATTTTTCTGTATGTTTGAAATATTATGTGGTTGCATTTTATAATACTGTTTACACCAGCACAGCATTAACATAGGTGGTCATCGTGGCTGATGGCAGGAGGGGGGGTTGCATCTCCTTCGTGCTGCTGACTCTGGGGCATAACTGAAGGCTGCACCTCTGTAGGAATTTCATTTTCAATATCTTTCCTTCTAGAAAATGCTGGAAGAGCAGCTTATCACCCACGCATCTGGTGAAGTCTGGCGGACCTTCATCTATGGCTTCTATTTCTACAAGATAGTAACGGACAAAGAACCTGATCGAGGTCAGAAATAAGATAAATGCCTCCCACAGGGCAAGAGATCTGCTCTTTCAGATGACAGTGCTTTTCGAACTCCTTATGTAACTTTGTCTTCTAAGTTGATGCGTGTCAGTTTCCTTGAGCATTTGTGCTTAATTTAAGCATAACCAGAGGGACAAGCATTTCTTAAATTCACCGTTATGTTCTTGGTAAGAATGGAACAGTGTAGATGAAAGATAAACCTAAAGGAGGCGGAGAGACCTGGTGTGAGCAAATTCCTGGGGATCAATTCTTTGGTAACTATGGGAATCTTGCATGATACCACTACACCAGCGGCGCTGTTTCTTTGGTAACTATGTTTAATGATTTTGCCCCCCACCAAGAGCCAGTGGCTCTGAGTATACCATGACAGGCTCTAATCAGTAACTTCATGGCATTTTTACTTGCTCAGCCTTCAGACTCCATTTCTTCCCCTGGAAGATTGTCAAGTCCTAGTAAGTTTTCCAAGATATATTTTAAGTTTTAAATTTTAATGAGAAAAAGTAGTAGCCAAGAGGGGAGCAATTGCTGGCATGGTCAGAGCTGACTCACAGTAGTTCTGGAAGAACCAAGGATTCAGACCAGCTTCTCCAGTTTACCCAAAATACTTGGCTGGAAGTGACTTTGTCCTGCACACACCTGGCTTCTCAGTCTCTGGGGTCAGGACTCACACGCCAGCTGAAGCAGCTGGTGCCACTCGCATGCGCTCTCACCCAAACACGTGTCAGAAGTGAGCCTATGCAGGTTTTCCACCCTGTCTTGTGTATCCATCGCCACCTCTTCCCTTCAGTCCCAAACCTGACCAGTAGATGCCTCCTGTTCCTTCAGGTTGAAAACACCTGGCTGCCATTATGTGCTTCAAACTGAGAGGTCTGAAATGAGCATAAAATATTTTTAAAAATTGAAGGTCATATAATATAAAATGAACCACTTTAAAGTAAACATTTGGGTGACATTTAGTACATTCACAATGTGGTGCAACCACCACCTCTGATCACCCAGAAAGGAAACCCTGTGTTTACCAGCTGTTACACCCAAACTCCTCCTCCCCCTAGCTCCCGGCCACACCAGTTGCACTTTTTCTGTAAAGATTGGCCTGTTCTGGACATTTCACTTGAGTGGAATCATACAGTAGGTGTCTGGCTTCTTTACTTAGTGCTATGTTTTCAGAGTTGATCCATGTTGTAGTATGAGTCAAGAAGACAACAAGCTTTTGTGCTAAGGGTACCTTCTCTCCCCTCTGCTTTTCTCAGTGGCCATGCAACAGCCCACCACCTGGCACACGACAGCAGTAGATGACTTCGCCAGTTTCCAGCGCAAGTGGTTTGAGGTGGCCTTTGTGGCTGAAGAGCTCTTGCACTCCGAGATTCCTGCCTTCCTCCTGCCCTGGCTGCCCAGCCGGCCAGCCTCCTATGCAAGCAGGCACAGCTCCTTTAGCCGTAGCTTTGGAGGACGGAGCCAGGCAGCCGCACTCTTAGGTACATGCCTGCTTCAGGTGGGGCCTGGGGGTGCACGTGTGGGTGTCAGAGAGAGCGGCAGCTTGCCAGGGGATCAATGCCATGTGAGCCAGGGTCACAGCCACTGTTTTGGCACTGTGAGCTTCTACTGGCTGAGTAGTTCCAGCTTATCTTTGTCCCAACCAACAGACAGTACCCATCAATTCTCAAATCAGTGCCCTTTGCTAAACCTGCATGGGCAGGAGATAAAAGAAAATGTGGATACAGAGCATGTGAGCATCAGGGCTTGGTAACAAAGGCCTTTGGGCACCTGGAAAAGCAGGCAGCAAGCTCATCCATTTTATGCCATGGGAGGGCTGAGCAGTCCATTATGGGCACCAGATAAAAGGAAAGGAGCCTGTGGCTAATGGAACAAAAGTCAGTAGTGCAATAGCAAAGGCGGAGTCGCAAAATCTGTCACAGATATAGCAAGCATGAGAACTGGAAGTGCAGCCTGGGTTATTCATTTCTAATACTAGACTGCATACAGGAAGCTTCTTGAGAGACTAAGTTTTACTTCCTTTTCCCCCATAAGTCATGCTCATTTTAAGTAGCCAGGTTCTAAAGTTCACTTTTTCCTTAGCGATTGAAGCTAAGCATGTCCATCTTCTCCAGTGAATAAGGAGAAAAGCCTAAAAGCCAGGTGCTATTAGATGCATGCTGAAGAGAGTGTTGAAGAGTCAGCCTCTCATGCTCTTTGAGGTTACTTTCTGAGCTCTTATAAGACAGTGCGATCTCAGAGATTGTGTGGGATCATGTAAGTTGAGACGTTATTTATCTGAGAGCTGAAGGAAGCAAAAAAGGTTTCTGCAGAACCCGTGTAAATGCCACTATCCAGTGTCACCTGGTTACATGGGGGTCCCTCAAGTAGCACCTCGAGCTATTAGCTATTCCTCTTTTTTACTGGTTTGGATCCAGATCACTCAGCAACACCTAGAGCAGAGGCAGAGAATTTGTAGCATCTGATGGCAGCAAGTACATGAAAACATTTTAGAAAAATGTATTGCAAAATAAATTTGTTATATTTTGGCCCTTTTAGGGTTGGAGCCAGCTATCAACTAGAAAACTTCTTTCTCTTGAAGTGTTTGATAACCTTGAAGTGCTTGATAACCAGGCTTGTTCTTAGTTGAGTCTTCTCCTGCAGGTTTCTCAACCATCACACTACAGATATTTTGGACAATTGAGGGGGGCTGTCCTGTGCATGGTAGCATCCCTGCCCTCTCCCCACTAGTTAGCAGTAGCACCCACTGCCACAACCCACTGTGAGACCACATGTCCCCAGAGGAGCACAAAATTACCCTCAAGAACCACTGCTTAAAAGGAATTGAAGAATTTCAGAAAGGAGCCAAAATTGGAGAGCTCAGCAAAACGTGATAAGCATTGAAGTTAATCTAAGCATGTGTCAGGTTGAGAAAGAGGGCTTTTCCAGAGGGTAGGGGTAGAATGAATGATTAGAGCTGGAACTGGCTAAGAAGGTAGCTCTGATTTCTGCTTTGTCCTGCCAGTGCACTCTTCTGCTCAGCAGGGGCATTTGTGGTTACTTTAACCTTACCTGATACAGTATAGCGGTGGTAATAACATTAAATGCCAGAGATTTCTGGAACATTGATATGTCAGGCACAGTACCAAGCAGAAAATTATCCCATTTAATTTTCATCTCAGTCCCATAGGATGCTATAATTTTTGTTGTAGAGTTCACAAATCTGGTTCAGAGCAGTGAAGTCAGTTTGCCCCAGACTCTGCATCCACTAAGTGCTGCATCTGGAGTTTCTTCTTGAGACTGCTGGCTCTGGAGCCTGAGCTCTCCAGCCTCAGCAAAAAATAGTCCAAGCCTATCTGGACTTCAGATGGTTTGCATAATGGCTCAGCTTCATGAGTGGCAGGCAGCCCTGAATGATGACGACACTCAGGTCCAACTCCTTGCTACAAAACTGTAGCTCTCTTGACAAAAGTGTGGCTTTTTTCCCCCTTCTGTGTCTCCAGCGAGCTCTCTCTACTCCCAACTTCAGCAACTTTTTCTTTTTAAAGATTTATTTATTTATGTGTATAAGAACTGGGGTACAGGCCAGAGGTGTAGGGGGTGAAAGGATTCACCAAAGACAGAGTGGAGAACAGAACAGGCAGACTGACTGAAATACACTGCTGAGGGGAGCAGCGGACGAGTCAGGAGAGGTCTGCTGCGCCATGTGAGTAGCTCCCTGGCTGGTGATAGAACTTGTGCTTCATGGCTGCGGATAGCTTCATAACCCCTTGTGCCACCAGGGAGGCCCAACTTCAGCAACTTTGACCCCACCACGATCCCCAACCAATTGTTCTTGCCATCTTTCAGTCTTCCCCACCCACTTCCTGTCCTCACTTCTCTCATGGCACTGCTCAGAGCTATTGAACCTCTAACCCCTACCCGTTCCCCACCTTTAGGGTCCTGTATCATTAAGAAAACTGAAGCAATCAGAAGTAAGTTCCAGATGCCCACCTGCCATCGGCCCTCCCCATAGCCAAGGCTATCCCCACTGTGGGTCAGCCACCCCTGATCCACTCAATGCCAATGTCTCCACTTTTGCACAGGGGCCCCACCCGAGCAGTCCTCCAGTCATCCCCTCTCTCTACTAAAGCATCCCCATCAGTCTACAGGCACACACCCTTTCCTGTTGACAAAAGCAAAACAAGCAAAACCCAGGGAAACTTGAATAGAGTCTCTCTGCACCCCCTCCACTAGAACAGCGCTTCCCAGAATGACCTGGAACCTCCTTGTCGCTCGGTCTAATGGTTGAACCTCACTCTTGGTCTTCCTTGTCCCATCAGGATCATTTGTTCCATAGCCCTCAACTCCTTTAAATGCTTCTTCTTTAAATAAATAACTCTTTTTAAATAAATAAATGCTGCTTCTACTTGGCTGTTAAGACATTACTCTGAGCTCTCCTCTTCACATCAGTATTCTTTCTGGTTTCTCTTTTACAATCTGATCTGTCAACATTGCTGCACCTGGGCCTCTGCCTGCGCCCTCATCCCTCTGTCCCAAGACATCTCATCCATTCAGCTAGCCTTAATTACCCTCAAAATTTGGTCACTCACAGATTCCTGTCCACATTTCAATCCATGCCCTCAGCACTGTGAGTCTGCTGGTAAGTATTATTAAACCTACCCCTGACATAGGAAGCCAGTGGTGTTTTGAACCAGTAACCACTTGGCTGAATAGTATACTTCCTTGGGCATCTTCAGACCAGCCTGTTCTGAACTTGATATGCCAGATAGGATGAGAAGAGATGTGCCAAGGCCCCTGCTGGTATTTATCAAGTGCCCCTTTCTTGGAGCCAGTGACACATGGCAAGAAATACACAGTTTCCAAGACCAGAGAGCAAAGCTTTCCTCCTTTGACTTGGGCTGTTGAGTGATCTTGGGACACAAGCCAGTGACAGAAACTAGTTTTGATGAGACTGTCACATCAGAGCTGCTAAGTGTTTTAACATCAAGTGTCACTGATGGCTAAGCAGCATCCCTTGGAATGATGGACAGGCCTAAAATTGCGCATTGGTGAGTTTATACTAGGAGGAAGGAATAATAAGAGGTGGAGGAAGAGAAGAGTAGAAGACTTATTAATGAGAGCAAAAGAGAGAGGGGGAGTCCATGACCCAATCTTTCACTTGACCCTCACCCCTCTGTAAGGAAGCTCGGTGGGTACCATCGCATGTTGCACAGATAAGGCACCTAAAGAACAGAGGTGAAACCACATTCTCGGGGTGCAGGGCTAGTAAATGATAGAGCTTAGACCTCTGACTCCAAACCAAGGGTCCTTCTCACTTTGCTTATTTTGGTTTTGAGAGAATAAGCCACACAATGGGCTGCTGAGTACTAGTCCACCTGGGCGCCATTCAGTGCCCTGACTGTAGCTCAACAGAAGTTCTTTGAAGTTGCTGACTCAAAAGCCATTTTGATTCTTGTCAGTGATAAAAGCCGCTCAGGGCTTCTACCTGCAGATCCCAGAACAAAGCTGACTGCTTTAGATAAAGAAATGCCACTGGATTCATGGGGGAGGATGAGAGACCTGCAATAGTTGGAGAAACCCTGCCTTTGGCTGGGCCCAGCAGACTGAGCAGAGCTCCAATCTTTTCTTTATTCCTGAGCCTCTTTCAAGCCTTTGGTCTGGTCAGGAAGTTGATTGTGTGACCCATCTCTAAAACATCCCAATTTGGGGTGAGTAGGATTTCTGAGCATGAGTCCCAGAAGGGATGAGCTAGTTTAACACTGACCTAGAATCCTTGAGTGACACACAGGTGATGAACAGGACGTTGCTCTTCATTACGAGGTTTCAGGTTTTTTTTTTTTTTTTTTTTTTTGGAGAAAAGATTATGGAACTATTTGCCTTCTTATTTTGAAACCAGAGAAGCAAAGACTTCCTCCTCACTTAGCTCCTCACTGTGGCCTGGGCTGCTTGTCCCATTGTGTCCCATTGTAGGTCTCTGGAATCAGAAGATCTGGGCTCAGCTTGGCTGAGGTCCTGACCATAATCTTGGCCGAGGCACTTCCTCTCTCCTGGCTGTTTCCTCATCTGTAAATGAAGAGGTTGCATTAGCTTAGGGGAAGGCAAACTACAGCTTAACCAACCAAATCAGGCCTGTCAACTGTTTGTTTGTTCATTTGTTTGTTTGTTTTATAATAGCCTTTATTTTTAGAGCAGTTTTAGCTTCAAAGAAAAGTTGAGCAGTAGTTATAGAGAGTTGCCATATACTCCCTGCCCCAGGACAGATACAGCCTCCTCCTCCAGACTGGTGCATTTACAGTTGGTGAAACCCGCACTGACACATCATTCTCACCTAAAGTCCATGGTTTGCATTAGAGCTCACTTAGTGCAGTACATTTTGTGGGTTTTGACAAATGTGTAGTGTCATGCAGAAAAGTCGCATTGCCCTGAAAAGCCCTCTGTTTTATCAGGACACAGCTGAGGTAATGTCTGTGACTGCTTTTGTACTATAATGGCAGAGCTGAGTAGCTGAAACAGAGACCATATAGCCTACGAACCCTAAACTATTACATGGTCCTTTGCAGAAAAAGTTGACCTGGACTATGATGCCAGGAAACTTTGAGAATCTGTGATTTTTCTGTAGGTGATTGTGCAGTTTCTATCTGTATGCTTAATTGTTTGTTCTTCCTCTTGAACCCACTCCCATCTCTTCCCTGCCTTGGTGCCCCTCCTGGGTACTGACTTAGCTGCCACTGTCCCAGAGCAAAGGACCGTAACCTTGGATGTCGACGTGAACAACCGCACAGACAGGCTGGAGTGGTGCAGCTGTTATTACCATGGCAACTTCTCCCTGAATGCAGCCTTTGAGATCAAACTTCACTGGATGGCAGTGACCGCTGCAGTGCTCTTTGAGATGGTGAGAACCTCGTTAACTTTGTGGTTGGGACCTGGGCTTCCCTTACACAAGGACAGTGGAGCTTAGAGATTCATGTCACTTTTTTAAAGTTCTGGCTTCTATTATCATTTTCCTGACTATTGAGATAGTCTCTAGAAAATTTTATTTTATTTATTTTTTTTTCTAGAAAATTTTAAACATAGAAAAAAATGCAAATAGTCAAAAAGGACATAGGTCAGGGTTTCTGAACCTTGGCATTAGTGACATCTGGGACCAGATAATTCTGTCGTGGGGCCTGTCCTGGGAAATCATAGAATGTTGGGCAACATCCTGGGCCTTACTCATTACACATCTCCCTTGAGACAACCAAAAATGTCTCCAGCTATTGCCACATGTCCCCAAGGAGGGGGAGTGTTGCTCCCAGTTGAGAATCACTGGTTTAGGATAAAAGTAAGTCTCACTTCCTAACCTTAACCCTGGTCACTAGAACTTCTATCTAAAAGCACCCACTTTGTTGAATATACTTCCAGAGACATTGTATACATATGCAAAGCCAAGTTACCTTTTTTAAAAAAAAATGAGTGGTAGGAGGGGACACATAATATTTACCTTCTATTTATCCTGTTCCGTATGTATCTTCAGTATCAGTGTACAAACAAGTCTGCCACTTTGTTGTTAATTTTTGTTTTGCTTCATTGTTTCTAAGGATTGTAGAATATTCTCATGTTTATATCATAGCAGACTTAACCAGTCCCCTGTTAGTGAAAGTCACTGTTTATAACTCTAGTTCCCAACTGGGCTAGAGGGGAGATTTTGCCCCCATAGGTGTCTTTAGCAATATCTGCAAACATTTTTACTTTCTACAAATAGTGGGGGGTACTGTTTGTGTCTAATGGGTAGAGAACAGGAATGGCTCTCATCATCCCACAGTGCTTAGCACAGAATAGCTCTGTAACAAAGAAAGAAGCAGTCTAAGATGGCATGAATACTAAAGTTGATGAGCCCTGCTCTAACTGGTCTTCTGCCTGTCTTTCCTCCTTCTGACCCTACCCTGGCCGGTCTCTCCAGTCGGCTCATTCATTGCTCCTGCACTGAGACGCCAGTCCTGGTTGCCCCTCCTCCTGAGTCCTAGTGTCTGTAGAATAAACACGCCTTAGCCAAACTGTCAGTATCTCCCAGGAGCTCTCTTTAACCATCTTAGCAGTCTGCTACTCTTTTTATACACTCTCCCCTTCAGCCAAAAAGACTGTTATCCTGTGCCTTCAGTTGAGTCTCACTCCCCTCAAACATTGGCCCAAGCATCTCATCACACAGCTGAGAGCAGCTGGAAAGTTCAAAGTTTACAGAAAGCTAGGAGATGACCACAGAAATGAACACAGCATCGGCTGACATATAGTTGGGGGAGGGGGTTTCCTTTTTTGGTTTTGTGGGTTTTTTTGGTCCAGGGCTCATAGGCCCCGTTTTACCCCACAAAACATGATCTCCTGGGGCAGAGACTTGTCTAGATCTCTGCCCAGGCCCTGTCTGCCTCCACACAGCATTGGTACCTTTGAGACGAGACACACAATGGGGAAGCATCCATAAGGCCCAAACCAAACAAGATGCCAGTTGCCAGTCCTGCCTGACTTGACGGGACACCAGCTCTTCCCCAACTGGTTGACACTGGGATGACTGCTCGCTCCAGGCAGATTTAACCCTCTAACCTGGTAGGCTAACAAGCCTTCTCCTTGGAAGCCATAGCCCATATCCCGTCTCAAAACAACACGACCACAACCTTCATAGACACATACACATAGTTAAACGCGTAGGAAGAAGAGTATTTCTTTCCTCCGAGGAATTTAGCAACTGTCTCTTAAAGCATACTTTTCAAATCAATCCATATAAAGCCCAAAGAAAGCTGGTGACCCATTATCATTATTTTAATAAAATTTTAGAAATCTCTAGGGTAGGTTAATTATTGTTTTAAGGCAATGTCCAGATTTGTTATAAGTCACATATTATTGGGCTAAATATATAAAATAAGGTGGTTTGAGAGAAATGATTTTGATCAGAGACCTTGGTGTTTTGGTTGTTGTTACGAGTGTTCCTGAGAGGAGAACTGAATGGTCCCCTTCAGCTTTTAACCTGATCATATCTGTTAAAGTCAAGGAAGGACCTAAACTATATTTTTTGAAATATAGTCACAGATCTCATATGCCATACTCACACGTATTGACTTTTAATATGTGTGTGCGTTTCATGGCCTAAAAAGTATCTTAAGACCTAGAAAGTTGCTGCTGTTGATGTAGAAAATGTTTGTCTTTATTCCCCAGTAACTTTCATTCTTGGTCAGCTTTCGGACAGACAGCTTTTGGGGGTGTGCCAGAGGGCGACTCATTCTGTCAGGTCCCAGCTTATCGCTCTTGGCCAGAGGCCACCACAGTCATCTTGCACTCTTGCGTCATGTCCCTCTCAGCCAGCCTGAGTGGATTGTTTTCCTCTTTGATACTTCAGACTTAGTAAATTTTTGATAAAGGACAAAATTAGGACTTAGCCTATATCCTATGACTGTCCTCCAACATCCTATAGGATGAGAAGAGTTTTTAGGAGGCAAGAAATAGCCCTATCCAGTGTCTTTCTTCCAGAAGAAACACTGAAGTAGCAGAAACGCAGGCTGTGAAGAGGAGCATGTGCTTGACTCACAGCTTTTTGAGTATTTGTCAGGAGGTTAACTGCACTTTCTCCTGCCCAGGACTGACTTGGAGCCAGTGGATATTAATAAATCAGCATGCCAATCAGTATGCGCGCCGCCACTCTGGCGGCTTCACCGCCTGGAAATATTTTCTGTTGTCTGGATGAACTTGGAGCTGACACTCTTTGTTTCTGTGCTTTCCACCAGGTCCAAGGTTGGCATCGAAAAGCCACCTCCTGTGGCTTTTTGTTGGTCCCGGTATTGGAGGGTCCCTTTGCACTGCCCAGTTATCTGTATGGTGATCCACTTCGAGCCCAGCTCTTCATCCCCCTCAACATCAGCTGCTTGCTCAAGGAGGGCAGCGAGCACCTGTTTGATAGTAAGATACTCTCCTCTGCGGGTTCTGTCTCCACAAGTAAGACCCCCTCCCTCAAGGACACGTCTCTAAGTACCGGTTGACACAGGCTGGTGAAGAGAGAATGCCTTCAGACAGGAGGAGGTCAAAGGATCTGGGTTTAATCCTGTTTCTTTGTTTAGTGACTGGGCAAGTTACTTAATGTCACAGAACCTCAAAATCCATAATCCTTAATGAGGGTGGCTGGAGCTGCCTTGCTAACTCATGGAGACCCTTGTAAAGCCAGGAGCGGGCTGGTGGGTGGGAAAGGGCACAATACCCTGTAAATCACCAGTGACCCTGCTCTTCTCCCCCACCCTGCTCTCTGCTCCGGTCTGACTGGTTTGGGCTGCCAGAATTTGAACCTCATTGGATGCTTGAATCTGCTGCCCCATGCATAAAGGCCAGAAAAGGGAGGCTTAGAAAGCAAAACAGGAAACAGTGTCCTATTGTGGGAAGCTGTGATGTGTCAGCACCTTGTACGTGGCACGTGGCTCCAGCCTCGCATCTCAAGGAAGATAGAGCAGTGGAGGCTCAGAGGAGGGTGGCAGGACCCTGATCAGAGTCCTCCTCCGAGGCAGGGCTGTCCATCAGAAAAGGGAGCACTCAGAGCCAGCCCACCCTGCTGCTCCACCCTAGTCCCCCAGAATATGGAGGCAGGTTTCGGACAGATTGAAGGGCGAGTGTTACTGCACACAGCTCACAGCTTTCCATCACCAAGTGCGCATTGAGGTGAGCACAGAAGTAGCTCCTGCAAAGTTCGCAGTGAGCTTGCAGGTGATATTTCTTTAAATGAAAAGCTAGAGTTGCTGCTGAGATGAGGAGCCCTTCATTTCTCAGCTAGAGAGATCATAAATATGAAAGGAATTCTTTGGATATCAGAAAGATACTTTCTTCCCCTGCCCTTGGAACTAGCAGAGAACCTGCCTGGGGTGAGAGGTCCCCCCAGATCCTGTAGGTCAAACTAAGAGTCCCTGCGCTTTCCCAGTGCCGGGCTGGCCCCTGACACACGCAGCTTTTGTTCCCAAAGCCATCTATATATTCCGTGTTTATATCTTAGAAAACATTTCTGTACAGATGCAACATTTTAAAGTCATCATAGAGTTCCAGGTGAGCCCTGGGGCCACTGGCGACCATAGACGCCGCAATCCAAAGCACTCTGCACACATTCTTGGCTTGCCTCACAGTGCAGCGAGAGAGGACTGTTTATGCAGCCCTGAAATGCCAGTTGGTTATATTCCTATCTGACGATTTCAAGCCAGGCACTGCCATAGATAGCTGTTTTTAATATGTTCAAGAGATAGGGACATCTTGCCCCACCCAACCAAAGACAAGTCTTCTGGGGTTTTCCACCTCCACTGTAACAGAACAGGGTTGTTCATGGGGCTGGCATTGGAGGACTTTTTTTTAATATGAGCTGATGGTTTTCTCTGCCACTTGTAACCCAGTCTTCACGACCAGCATCCTCTGTTGGTTGCTATGGTTACAGCTGAAGAAAGGAGTCCTAGTTTAAAGGAATAAGGGCTGGAGTCTAAAAATCCATTTTCTTCTGGTCCACTTCTTTTTCTGCTATTTTCCCTTGTGATAACCGTGAATTTAGAACCTTAGAAATCAGACAAAATGCACTGTGTGTTGTGTGCACACACACATTTTCCTATTAAAGCCAATGTATTTTTCTCTTTTGCTCCTAGAATCTTTCAATCTTTCTTAGATAGAAAACCCCAAGTGTGGACAAAGTAACAAGGAGGCCACCACAGGCAACCCTAGTCTTTCAGGTGTCTTGTCAGTTGCAGCTGCTCAGCGCCACAGCCCTCAGAGTGGCTGTTGCTGTGTGACAGCCTGCTGTAGCCCTCCTGCCTCCTCCCTGCCTCTTGTCCTCACACGCAGCCCTGCAGAAGGAGCGATGAAGTGGGTGATGGGGGAGATGGAGGAGGAGGTGCTGCTGCTCAGCAACCCTCCCTAGCTGGCCACTGTTTCCAAAACCATCTTTACATTTATTTGCTTCAGTTTTCCCATTCCTAACGTGAATCTTGTAATGTTGCCTTTTCCTTGTGGGGAAATGTAGAACTGTAATACATTTCCTTTTATTTTCTTTTCTCCTGAGAAGCAAATAATATGTATTTTACAAGTTACATTTTATTTATACTTTGATATCACGCTCCTTTCTGCTTTTGGCAGAGGAAGTCATTAGGATGGGCCTTATCTTGAGTTCTAGTAGCTCACCTGGGTTGCTGAGACCCCATCATATTCATCCCCTTTCTAGGCCCTCATCGAGCTGGAGGGGAGGGTGGTGAGATAGATGCACAGCTGCCGCCTTCCCTAGGACTTCGCTACTGGGGATGGGCACTAGTTGTCCTGGAGGCCGGCAGTGGGGCAAAGCCCAGCTTAGGCTCAAGGGGAGGAACTGCCTGGAGTAGTTCAGGATACAGAAGGCGGGGCTCCGGGAGAATGGCAAACCTTGGGATCCCAAGCAGCATTGTCTCATTTTCCCTTTCAGGCTTTGAACCAGAAACGTACTGGGATCGAATGCACCTTTTCCAGGAAGCCATTGCACACAGGTTTGTCTCTTAGCAAGAGGGACTAGTAGGAAGGCACTGGTGTCTTGAATAGCAGTTACCTGAGCAAAAAAATTCCAGTGTTTCATTTCTGGGAAATGGATTGAGTCCACCAATAGCAAATGTGCTGCTTATCTCCAACAAGACCCTTTGCCCTGGTTTCAAAGATAAGCAGCTCTCAGATTCCTGTAGCTGTTGTTTTTCTGACCTCATTACCTTCTTCTTTGAGTTGAGGGGAGACCAGAGAGCTCTCTCCTTAGCCTTCAACAAGACCCTGAACAAAGCTATCCAAGAAAAGGGGCCTCCCCAGTGGCGCAGTGGGTTGAGCACAGCGTTGTGAGGCTGTCTGCAGCCTCTGCAGCACCGGTTCAATTCCCAGCCGGCCAGGGAGAGTCCCACATAGCATGGCAGACCTCTCCTCTCTCGCGCTGCTCTCCTCAGCAGTGTATTTCTTCAGTCTGCCTGTTCTGCTCCCTGCTGTGTCTCTGGTGAATCCTTTCACCCTCCTGCACCTCTAGCCTGTACCCCAGCTCTTGTATAAATAAATAGCTACCCGAGAAAGGACATGAATGGAAAACTATAAAATTCATCAAAAGATCCTTGACACATGTTGAAAGACATGTTAAAATTGGTTAAAAAGGGCCTCCCTGGTGGCCAGCGGTTAAGCGCTGGGCGGCGACGCTGCCCACAGCTCTGCGGGCCTGTTTGATCCCCGGCCGCCAGGCAAGAGTCCCACATGGTGCGCAGACCTCTCCTGCTGCCCGCTGCTTCCCTCAGCAGTGTACTTCGGTCCTTCTGCCTGCTCTGCTCTCCGCTCTGACTCTGGTGAATTCTCTTACCCTCCTGCGCTTCTGACTGTACCCAGTGCTTGTATAAATAAATAAATCTTTAAAAAATAAAATAAAATTGGTTAAAAAGCAGTCAGTAAAGCCAGTAGATATTGACTGGCACCTAATATGTATGCCAGGGAGAGCCTTTCCTAGGCTTAGCTGTCTCCCCTGCCTCCCAACACCCATCTAGCTTTTTCTCTAGAACATCACTAACACTATCCAATTGTTGCATCAAGCTAATCATGGCTAAGGCAAAGCTCCTATTCTTGCTTCAGTAATCCTGTTGCTGCCCCTGCCTTCTGTGTCTTATCATCTCTTTCTTCACGTGTCTTCAGTTATTCCCCCTGCCACCTTCACCACAGAATGAAGTCCAGACTCTTCAGCCATGTCTCGCTCAAGTTGGTGCCAGCCTTGCACCTTGTCCTGCTCTTTTCTTTGTAGACCTAGCTCTGATCATAGCAAAAGGTGCGGGAATAATGCTAGGGCAGGTATTTCCTCCCTCCGGTAGGAGGGGATGCCAGCCGGCTTAGGGCAGAAGGTAGGGAATGTGTTTGTAGAGGAGGGGGCGGGGATTGAAGACCTGGTCACCTCCACCTCCCCTAGCATCTGACTGAAGAACTATGGGCAAGTCCCAGAACTGCTTCACCTTCATTTTCTGCCCCTTGCAGGGTTGTTGAGAGAGCTCCGATGTGCCTGGCATTTAGCTCTCAGACAGTAGTTTCTGTATGCACTCAGACCCCAGCCACATGATGAGATTATAGACAGGTCTCCACTGGCTGGATTTCACTCCGGGTGTGGCCTTGATATATCAAACCTGTTTTTTTCCTCATAGTAGCCGCCTTAGTCCAGTCATCTTTCTAAATGATTGCCCTTTCTTCTTCAGCCTGCTTTTCTAGCCTTCACACTCCTCAAATCTTATGTGTATCATCACTACACTAAACACTGCTGTGTGCCCCTTCACACCTCACCTCCCCATCCAGACCCCCTCTTACCTTCCCCACTTAGCCCCCCCACACCTATACCCCCATTCTTCACACCTACAGCCCTCCCCTACCTCCCCAGTCAGGCCTCCTCTGCCTTCTACATCAGTTGTCCTGTTCCACCAGGGATCCCCAGGGCTCTTCACTCTGACCCATACTGCTTTCTCCCGTATACTCTGACCATTACACTAATACTAATTTGGGTTCCCGAGAGCAGAGGTATGCATTTTTCTCTTTTTGTTTCCTTCCCCAAGGCCTAGCAAAGTATGTTCCCCAGAATACTTGCTCACTGTGTAACTTTTCCATAGGGCAGTATTGGAATTGCAGCTCTGAAAGGAAGCATTAGCTCATCTGGGAGTTCCAGCTAAGAATGCACTAGAAAAGTACCCAGCACCTCCTTTATTTCATCAGGGCAGTACATCTCCTCCCCAGGGACTGGACCCCTGCTGCCCTCACTGCCATCCTTGCTTGTGTTCTCCCCATGTGGACAGCAAAGGGTCAAGCACCCTATGCTGAAATTGTCTTTTAAAAAGTAAAGATCTTTCCTGATGACTTAAGGAAGAAATGAGGCAAGACTCCTGGCAAGCTGACCCAAGCCGAGTAAATAAATAGCCTTGACTGGAAAGTAGAAAGGAAAGGAGGCAAAATCTAAAGCCATTCCAACAGGCGATATAATCAGTGCGTGTTGGCCTGTCCATTTAATGTACATAAATGGCTTCACGTGTTCTTCAGTAAACAGTTATCACATGCCAGTGGAAAATCAGCTGATACAGAGGATGTGACCCAGCACCTCCCCGAGGAACTCAGTCTCAGGATGGAGATGGGCATTTTACCTCTTTAATTTTGCCTACATCACAGCCTTCATTACATAAAGCCCTCAGACTCAGGGCAGGCACCACATCTGTTAGCACGTCCTTTGCAGCACTTAGCAGGTAGAGCTGTAATAAATGTGCCTTATGGAAATAGAAAAACCAGGAATAGAACAAGCTGTAGATGAAAATGCAGTAGAACAAGTCATAAATGAAAAATGACTCCTCCTGCCCATTTCCAGAGCACAGAGAACCCAGATTCTCACTTTTCAGAAAAGGATTTCAATGAGGATACTTCATTCCATTTCAATTCAAAGCCTTAATTGAGAACCAACTATGTGTTCATCCTGGGAGAGCAGTGAGGAAAAGGAGAGGTATGGCTCGAGTAATACAGGGACTCTTCCCTGGAGGAGCTGGCAGCCTCAAGTATGAGAATGGGTGCCTGACCAGCTAGGGTGTGAGGTGAATTCCAGGGAGAGAGACAGAGTACCTGCAAGCTGGGACCAGCAGAGGCAGCAGTGGGGTGGTCTGACGGGGCTGCTGGGGGCACAGGAAAGAGGCTTGACTGGCATAGGTAAGGCTAGATAAGGTTGAGGGTAGCAGGTGAGCGGCCTTCTGCTGCCTTGAACATAAAAGGAGGCTGGACGGGAGGAAAGCAGATGAGCCAGTGAAGGGGTCGGAGTTGGAACGTAATGAGGATGAAAATAAGCAGCTGAATGTTTCCTCTTAAAAGAGGTCTTTCCAGATCCCTTCATTTCAGGAGAGTCCTGTTAGCCACACTTGCTCCCCTGTCCCTTTGGCTAAGGAGGCCCTAATCAGTGTGTCTTCCTGTCCTTCCCTTAGGTTTGGGTTTGTCCAAGATAAATATTCTGCCTCTGCTTTTAACTTCCCCGCTGAGAACAAGCCTCAGTACATCCACGTGACAGGTGAGGAGCTACTTGCAAAATGGTGGGCAGGTGGGCCTGGGCCCCTGTGGCAGGAGCAGGCACCCTGCGAGGGACCTGCCATTGCCCCAGGCGTGTGGTGGCAGAACCAGCCAAGCCAACCCGGGCGCCCTCTCCTTCCTCTCCAGGAACAGTGTTCCTGCAGCTGCCCTACTCCAAGCGCAAGTTCTCGGGGCAGCAGCGGCGGCGGCGGAACTCCACCAGCTCCACCAGCCAGAACATGTTCTGTGAGGAGAGGGTCGGCTACAACTGGGCCTACAACACCATGCTGACCAAGACCTGGCGCTCCAGCGCCACGGGGGACGAGAAGTTCGCCGATCGGCTGCTGCGGGACTTCACGGACTTCTGCATCAACCGTGACAACCGCCTGGTCTCATTCTGGACCAGTTGCTTGGAGAAGATGCATGCCAGCGCCCCGTGAGGCCAGCCCACGCTGGGTCAGGAGGATGGGGCCAGATGTGGTCTCGCTATTGATATTCAATAGGATCAGTCAGACTCTGGGCGTCCAACGTCAGTTTGCCACTATTGGTGAGAGGGGGCCGTTGCTGCTACTGCTTCCCCCAACAAGTGTTCTTCCACTGGAAGAGAAAGACTTGGGAAACTGCTAGTGCCAAGAGCAGGTGGGAGGCCCAGATGGTCCGTGGGAGGGCTTTAGTACTGGGGAAGGGGGCACGCAGCCCCCTGAATGTCCTCAGAGGGGGTGGCTCCTGTGAGCATCCCTTCCCTCTACCATCCGTGGAGGTGGAGCAGAATCTGCCGCTTCCTGACCAGAAGTGCGCACAGGATGTAAGATAATTTTGTGAAATAATGTACCATAGGCTCACAGCAACTGTACATACCTGTATATAGCAAAGTAGGAGTAAAGTGCCATGGGCAGCATCTCTGGCCCCAGCCTGGTTCCTGGCAGCAACAGTCCCATCCTCAGCTGGGCAGTCTAGTCCCTTTGCTGGGACTGTAGTGACAAATAAGGCAGCTGCAAATGGTGAGGAGGACTCTAGGATTCAGTGTTTGGCTGTGAGTTTCCGGCAAGATGTCTTTCTCATCTCATCTCATCCATGCTGCAGGGAGCATGGATGGTTTGTGTAGCCCCAGTGAGCAGGCAGCATAGCATACTAGCAGACGGCAGGCTTGTGCTGGCAGAGGTGAATCTCGTTGATGGAGCGAGCCCAGCTGTGGCACGCAGACCTCCTGGCATGGGGAAGAACTCCAAGGAAAACCTCTATTGACTCTGAGGGTTAGGACCCTCTCCTTAACCCGACGAGACAGCTCAGGGCCTCAACTTCAGTGCCCTGCCCTCACCTACTGAGGCGGTAGGGCAAAGGGAGTAGATGGTTATCAACTCTTCCTCCCCGTCTAGTGCCACACAGTGCTAATGAAAAGCCCTGTCAACATACTTCCACAGCAGCTAGTGAATCCATCCACGTCTTCCCAGGCCCTCTGCTGCCATCTAAGCTTAGCCCTCGTCCACCTTTGTTGTCTTCTGCATCTTACATGACTAGGAGAGCCTTCAGCTCATCTTTGCTTTTTCTTCAGGCAGTCAGAACCATTTTGAAAAACTGCTCTGATGGTGCCTGAGTCATAGAAGGCACTTTTTGCTGTTGAGAAATGAGATGATTAAGGCCCAGACCTGTGCCTTAGGTCACCCTGTGTGGGTGGAGAGAAGTGTAGTTGGCCCAATAAGACAGGAGCCTTAGAGCAAAGGGCTCCATGACCAGGCTAGAGCCACCTGCCTCAGGCTGTAGGTGGAATCAGAATGAGGACCCAGTTCTCTGGCTCCCAGCCCCGTGCCTTTCCAGACATTGGGCTGCAGTCAGTAGCGTGGTAAGGAGGGCAGGCTCAAGAGGCAGGTGGCCAAATTCAGTTTCTAGCACGGCCACTTGCCAGTGTGTGACCCTGAGTAAAGTCAGAGCTTCCATTTCCTCATCTCTAAAGTGAGATGGGAATGCCACCTGATGGGGTCATGAGCAGCACAGGAGAGACAGTGGGTAGAGAGCTTAGTGCATGGGATGTTGTGCTCCACTAAGTATTAGCCATTACAATGATAATGCCCTAAATTCTGAACCCCGGGAGTTTAGAGAAGGGACTCATCAGAGGGCTGGAGTGAATAAGGTAACAAGGGAGTAGTCTGGAGCCTGTGGGATTTGTAGGAGTTGGGCTGACTAAGACAGGGCCCAGTGCCCCCACCCCAACTCCATACCCTCACCCTGCCGGGCCTAGAGGGCTGTAGACTAACTGACCACTGTGGTCTTTCACCTTATCCGGGTCCCAAGAACATCTGCTGGGAGATGTTTTTTTACCCCCCCATTAAGTTTTTCTTTTTTTGCCCAGCAGATGTGCCACATTGCCAAGAGCAAGAAGGGTGGCTTTGCCCCTCTGCCCGCTGCCCACATTCCTGGCTCTTCTGAACAGAGTGCTTGTTGCCTGGGCAGGGGCTAGGCAGCTCTGGAGAGATTTCTCAGCTTTGTGGTTCTGCTTGAGGTGCACACAGGTCCTAGAAAACCGGGCACAGCACCAGTCAGCCTCCTGGATGTAGAAGTTAGCCTGGGGTGAGGAACCACACAGGATGGCCTGATGGGAACAGAAACAAGGTAGAATAATGCCTTCCTCTACGAAAGGAACTTGAAATTAACTGGAAAACCTTCAGAGCAGAAGTGGTAGCCATCTTAGTCCCTCACCATAATTCTCCAGTGCTCCCATGAGTAAGAACTCACTTACATCACCAATACCAGGCTTGTCCCTCCTGCCCACCCCCTCACCACCACCCCCATCCACACCATGATTCTGATTCAGGAGTCCTGGGATCTTGCACTGTAAATAGACAGTGATTCTGCTATCACCTATCCATTTGAGAAACCCTGCCCCAGATTTCTTCTCTGGACTTCTTCCTGCTTACTTTACCTGGAAATCTGATTCTCAGACCGAAGCAGATGAGAAACCACACACTGGAAGGTCACATGGCAGAGGCAGAGAGCACGGCAGCAGAGGGAATGAGCAGCTGAAGGCACAGTGGCAAGCAAGGGGAGCAGCTGAAGAATTACTGAGGCACCAGGCCACCACAGGCTGAGCAGCTGGGCTGGCAACTGCCAAGTACTATGTTGGATAAGCATAGAAACCCCAATCTCATCTGGGGGATCTTTCAAAATAATGAAAATGGAGACTCCGGGTATTACAAGAACATCATATATGCCTGTGGCACTAAGGAAATCTGTGAGGCATTGCTAAAGGGATAGGAAATTGCGGCAGAGAAAGCTAAATAGAAGCCAATTTACAGGCCTCCTCAGTTACCCCCCTAAGTTTCAGATACATGATATAACAATGGTTGCTCCATTTCTTGAGCATTTCCTGTGTTCCGGGCAATGTAGCTACTTTATATATAATCTTCCCTTTGTGTCCTCTTGCCAACCCCCCTCATATCAGATGAGGGGGAGAAGACTCCAGGAGGTGGAGCCCAAGGCCACGCAGCTGACAGAGAGCTGGGAATCAGCTCTGTGGGGCTGTGGACTCCAGCCTCCACCCATTGTGCTGTCCCCCTCGCCTGGTGCTGCCCTCTCAGTGAGGTCCCACCCACTCTCTGTCCTGAGGGCAGGCTCCCTCTCTTCCTTTCAGCTGACTTTTCCAGGTGTGGCACAGACACCATATCACAGGTCCGCATGGATTCACATTTATGTTCTGTGGTAGGGAGCAGTGGCCCTTCTGAAAGCCTCTCTCCCGGGCTGCTATCTGGAAGCCACTGCCTGCTCCTTCACTCTGGCCCATAGCTATCGACTTTGGTTTACAAGTGCTTCGGGCAGCTTCCAGCCTTCTCACTTGCCCTAAGCCTGGCCTGGTATGTGTGGGCTGTGGGGGCAAAGCAAGTGCCAAGTACACCAGTCCTACCAGCCTGTAGGGTTGACCTCCATCTGCTGCAGTGCTGTTTCCTCCATGAGTCAGCATATCATCCTTGCAAGAAGAAAATGTCCCCCCTCATGGGGGCAACGGGAAGTGGGGAGTCACTGGGGGATCCCCTGCAAACCCTTTCTCAGCCCTGGTGTTTTTGTCTGAACTTGCCTGCAGTAATTCTTGGTGAAACCTCAGGGACCACAAGGTTGCAGACCTTTCCCATTCTCAACTGATGAGAAAGCCGAGTGCTGGGAGCGAGTGAAGTCCCCGGGCAGCTCGTGGCGGTTGTGACTGGAATTGAGTTTTCTTACCTCCTCTCTGCACTTTGAGTTATACCAGTTTCTCCCCTTTAATCCTCAGTGTCTCTTAAGAAACAGAAATTTTTATTTTTAAGCCCATGGCATCCTCAGAGAGAAACATTTTCCTAATACCTTTGATGTCCATCCAGCCCTTGTAGTTCACATTCTGGGTCCTCCCCACAGTCAGAGGGCATCTGGTGGGCACGATTGGGTGCTGTCGTGGGAAAGGGCCCCTTCCCCAAGGGGAGACATCCTGCCTCTTCTCAAGCTGTGTTTCCCCGGAACCTGAGTAGACACAACCTTGATGGAGTCAGCAGGACTCTGCCAGGGCAGACATACAAAGTTGTTCTGATGCCATCTTAGAACACACCCACCCCTTTCCAGGTCCCTGGACACAGTGCTGGAGAACTGGGAGCTAGCCAGGGGTTCTCCGCTGGGGGCGATTTTGACCCTCAAGGGACATTTGACAGTATCCGGAGACATTCTGGTTGTTGGTGCTGTAGTGGGTGCTTGTAAACACTGCATTGCACAGGACAAAGAATTGTCCCCTGAAACAAAGAATTATTCAGCCTTGAAATCAATAGTGATGAGACCTTGAACTAAATTCTGATCAGGCAACATGGTCTTCCTATGATTTCGGAGGAAGAGGAGCCTGCCACTTGCCCCTGACTCTGGCACTAACCCTTCCTCAGTGGCAGCCCTGTCCTTAGTCTTCTTCATGATCACTCTTGTTAGGTAAGTCCTGAGACCAGAGCGGCTAAGAGACCTATCTAGGGCCACAAAACAAGTTATAGACAGAGCCAGGATTAGAATCCTGGGCGCATGTAGTGCTCACGTGCGACAGTGCACTCTTGTTTCTCTTTCCTTGTGTGACAGGGCAGGGGGAGGGGCACCCCAGAATCTCCAAACTTGCCCACTCTAAATAGGTTCTGCCATCTGCTGCCTCAAGACAAAACACTAGTGCATGAGACCTTTCATGGAAGGGAACTTTAATACAATTAGTGTGCAACAAAGAGAAGACAAAGAATACAGTTTTCAAACCAAACACCCGAAGTCACCCATCCCCTCGTGGGTAAATGTCCAGCCAAACGGAGTTGACCTGAAGCAGGGCCACTGAGGCTCAAAAGCTTGCCGTAAATCTAAGGCACCTCCTGGTGCGGACCCATAGGAAAGAGGCAGAAGGGGCCAGGCCAGTCTGGGTCAGAAGGAGCAAGATCAAGATAAAAGCTGCCATTGTTAACCTCCCTACAATTCTCTCACCCACATCTGTTTCAACCAGTCCAGGACCAAAAAGCAAGTGCAGCGTCTTCACATGTGTCTCTGCTCCACGGGCCTCCTCCAGGTCTCCTTGCTCTCCATCTTTTTTTCCTTTTTAAAGAGTTATTTATTTATGCATACTAGAGCTGGGGTACAGGCTAGAGGTGTGGGGGGTGAGAGGATTCACCAGAGACAGAGCTGGGAACAGAACAGGCAGATCGATGGAATTACACTGCTGAGGGGAACAGCAGGTGAGTCAGCAGAGGTCTGCTGTGCCATGTGGGTTGCTCCCTGGCTGGCCAGGGATCGAACTCGTGCTGCAGAGGCTGCGGACAGCTTTGCAGGCTGTGTCTTTTTTTTTTTTTTTAAAGATTTATTTTATTTTTATTTATTTATACAAGCACTGGGTACAGTCAGAAGCGCGGGAGGGTGAGAGAATCCACCAGAGCCAGAGCGGGGCAGAGCAGACAGAAGGATGGAAGCACACTGCTGAGGGGAGCAGCGGGCGGCAGGAGAGGTCTGCGCCCCATGTGGGACCCTCCTCCGGTGGCCGGGGAGCAGCCGGGGATCGAACCGGCGCTGCAGAGGCTGCGGGCAGCTTCGCAACCCAGCGCTCAACCGCTGCGCCACCGGGGAGGCCCTGCAGGCTGCGTCTTAACCCCTTGTGCCACCAGGGAGGTCCTCCATCCTCTCTTCCCTAGTCTCTCCATCTTCTCTTCCCTGCTGAGCTCCACCCTTCCTTGGGTGGAGCAGAGAACCTGAAACCTCCCCTTTTCCTGGCAACTACCGTTACACTCACACATGTAGTTGGCTTTGCTCATTGTATATAAACTAGGGGCAGGGAGCACATCTTGCTCATCCTTGTATTCACAAGAGCACCTCACACATAGGTGCTCGGATAGAGTGGTTGATCCATCTTTCAGCCAACATTTCTGTAAAGCTAAGCCAGTGAAGGCCCTGCTCTCTCGACAGAGGGAAAGAGACATGCAAAGCGCTACAGAAATAGAGGAGGGGGCTTGATTCTGCAGAAGGGAGCTGGGGGAAGACTGGAGAAAGGAGCATTTGGGCTGGGATTTGAAGGCCGTGTAAAAGTTTGGCAGGTGAGGAGGATAGGATAGGGAAGGGTATGTGGGGTAGGGGTGGCTGGGGGACTTTGGCACCAGACCAAATGAGAAAGTGACAGCCTCAAAACTTGGGGGAGAAAACAGGAAATATTACTCCAAAACTGCCACGCCCAACCCATCCTTTTAACAGAGTTTCCAGAGGGAGGTGAGTGTTGTCAAGTTCCAGGACACAGACCAGAGTGACAAATGCTCCATTGTCTGGAAACCCTTGCCAGCTGGGGCCCTAGAGTCATGCCCCAGAGAGGGTGGACCTTGCTCACCTGCCAGGCTTCGCTCTTCTGGCCCCAGTCTGGATAGAACAACAGCCTTGTGCACAACCAGGTTCCAAGGTGGTGGTTGACACCAGGGCTGGTCTACACTCAGAGAAATCCTCTTCCATCATCCCTTCTCTTCAGGGAGCCAGAAACCCTGCTCTAATCTAGTGTCAATGACCTCTGTGATCCTGAGCAAGTCTGTTCACCTCACTGGGCCTCAAGTTTTGGGGTGGGGTGACAACAGTTTTTTCTGCCTCATTCAAGGGGAATGCCATCAGATTTGCAAGAGTCTGGTGGGGAGGCACACGAAATACTCCATAATTATGAGACAACACTATGAGCACTCCCCTAGCAGAGGTCAAACATTCTGCTTCGAATGTGGCTGACAGGTCTGCCAAGAATCTGGAGCCCCACCAGCCAGCTGAAGCTCGGAAGGGAGGGATCAAAAGCAGGAGAAAGGTGATGACAAGTGCTTGCTTTTACAATGAACCCCAAGCAGCCTGGTGCCCTGCCAAGGGCCAAGGACAGCCCCGAGGGAGGCAAGTGGTGCTGGTATCCCCCACTTCCCAGAGGAGAAACTGATTCCTAGCGAAGTAGAGGGACTTCCCCAGGGTTACTGAGCACACACATGATGGAGGAAGGACTCACCCGGGGACTCTCCATCTCTTAGGGGAACATGGGCAAAAGAAACCCACGTGAGTGGTTGCCATTGCATTGCAGACACATCCAGGAAGTGGGGAGAGCCCAGCTTGGGGCCTGGACTCCCTGACAGTGATGAGGGCCATGTCCCCAGGCCCTCCAGTGCCTGATCACCAAACTGGCCAGCATTGGTGGCTGGCACGGGGAGGGCAGGCGTGCTCCCTGGGTGGTCTGACACACAGGATGTGTCTCTCCTCAAAGCAGAAGTGAAATGGGGCGTGCTTCCCCTTGGGAGGTGAGAGGCAAGTTGACTACCCCAAGGCAGGGGTCTGACTGAGCTGAGGGCTTGACAAAAAGTAGCCGGCCTGGTCTGGGGACCTAAACCATGTGCCCCACCCACCCACCACACACGGACCTGTACATTCACATCAGCTTTTAGAGAGACCCCCTTCTACATAAGCCCTTTCCTCCCCAGTCACAGGCAGCCATCACCGCAAGAGGGAGAGTCATCATTGGTCTGCTGGCTCCCATCAATGAAGGTGCGTCAAGAAGCGTCTGTGAGAAATAAATCCACAGATTTATGGTCAACTAATCTTTGACAAAGGAGCAAAGACTATGCATTGGAGCAAAGAAAGTTTGTTCAATAAATGGTGCTGGGAAAACTGGGTCGCTACATGCAAAAGAATGAAGCTTGACCACTACCTCACACCATACACAAAAATCAACTCAAAATGGATTAAAGAACTAGACATAAGACCTGAAACCATAAAATATATAGAAGGAAATATAGGCGAAACACTACGTGATCTGCACATCAAAGACATCTTTACAGACACATCACCCAAAGCAGTGATAGTGAAGGCAAAGATAAACAGCTGGGACTACATCAAATTAAAGAGCTTCTGCACAGCAAAAGAGACAATAACAAAAACAAAGAGAAACCCCACCAACTGGGAGAACATTTTTGCACCCAACACTAATGATAAAGGACTGATCACAAAAATCTGCAAAGAGCTGATGAGACTCAGCAACAACAAAGAAAATAATCCAGTCAAAAAATGGGCAGAAGAGCTAAAAAGAAACTTCTCTGAAGAGGAAATGCAAATGGCCAACAGGCATATGAAAAAATGTTCAACATCACTTGTAATCAGGGAAATGCAAATCAAAACTACCATGAGATACCATCTTACACCAGTGAGAATGGCACATATTAAAAAAACTAGCAACAACAAATGCTGGCGAGGGTGTGGAGAAAAAGGAACTCTTCTGCACTGTTGGTGGGAGTGCAAACTGGTCCAACCACTGTGGAGAGCTGTGTGGAGATTTCTGGACCTACTAAACATAGAGCTTCCATATGATCCAGCAATTCCACTCCTAGGTATTTACCCAAAGGACACAGAAACATCAATTCCAAAGAACACCTGCACCCCTATGTTTATAGCAGCACTGTTTACAATAGCTAAGCTTTGGAAACAACCCAAATGCCCAAAAATAGATGACTGGATCAAGAAGATGTGGTACATATATACCATGGAATATTACTCAGCATTCAAAAAAGATAAACACATGCAATTTGCAGCAACATGGATGGCGCTGGAAGGGATCATGCTCAGCGAAATAAGCCAAAAAGAAAAAGAAAAATACCGGATGGTCTCACTCATAGCAGGAATCTAGAAAACTTAAATAAGGGACCAGGAAAATGAATAACTATAAGAAAGTGAAAATCAAAATCAACAAAAAACTATGAACCAGAGACACTTTTAGGGGGGCGGGGGCAGGAGGGGAGGGATTGGGGTCAGAATGGGGGGGCTGCAATTGTATGGGGAATATAACAATAAAATTTATAAAAAAAAAAAAAAAAAAAAAAAAAAGAAGCGTCTGTGAGCCAGGCTTTGTGCGGATCCAGTGGGGAAGCATGGTAGAGAGGGAATCACACAAATGACTGTTCTGGTCGTGAGGTAAGAAGCGTAGTTGTGAGAAGTGCTTCAAGGGCCCAGGAGAGGCTGCTGACCACTAGGGGTTGGGCAGGGTCACCATTAGTCACAGGCTCGAGGCAGGCTCCTGAGCATTCCAGGCCCGCTGGATGGCAGGACTTGCAGAGGGCAGCCATGGGAGGGCAGTGGGGGCTCCTGACCGTCCAGACCTGGGAAGCTGAGTGGGCCTAGGAGAAAGTATGGGCGCGGTGTCG